AGGAATTTTTTCGCCCTTGTTTTATTTTCACCCCTTTCGCCTTACCCTATTTGGGCGAATTTAAAACAGGGGAAATCAAAGAATACAATATATAATTAAAATTCTTAAACAAAACTATAATTGAGCAAATTTAAAACTGGGCAAATTTGTTTGCAAGTGTGAAAGGGAAAAAATAATCCAGTATACAGTTATACGATATTATAAAATTAAATTTCTTCATGATTGAAAAATTTCATACATTTAAGTTTTAAAATTAAATAATTTTGGTATATTTTTATATGAGCTCTTCTTCATAATGGGATCAATATGATAATATGAAAGTGGCCACAACCACCCAACCCTCTTCAGCAAATGACTAAGCTTTAAACAATGGTGCAATTTCTGCTTTAACCTAGTTAACAAAAAAAACCCCCACTAAGATAAGCAATAAATTTAAACAATACAATGCTTTCTTCCATTGTTAGTCCGGAAATTAATTCCTGTACTGATCAGTTACAACATAGAAAGATATTTTATTGTTTGTATAAAATGTGTGTTGACTGTGTTCTAAAAGAAATCTGTTGCAATAGCAAGTTTATATAAATAATTGAATTTTAAAGACATCTAATTAATAATTAGATTCTAGTTTCCTTCTCTTCAATGTTTTAAGCTAATCATATGGAAAAATCATAATATTTCCTTCCAGTGTGTTTTATTTTGAAGTGATTTTGATTAAATCAAGGAAATTTTAGTTTAGTAGGCACAATTATCAGGAAATGACGATAATAAACTTTTTAAGTCCACCAATCTTTCTATTGTAAGAAACTCTTGGGCCTGCATTTTAATTCAAAGATATATTTCTTGATGTCAGCACTCAGCAACTGTCTCTATCTGTACTTTTTCTTTGCAGTTATAAGCCATTTAAACATGGCAACAAGAAATGAAATTTTTTTTACTTTTAGATAACCAAACCATGCAAAGAACATAATATGCAGAAAGATAGTTGTATCACTGAGAAAGTCAATGATACCCCCCCCCCTTTCAATTCGCCTATGGATTAAAATTAATACTTTTCAATTTTGTATCACTGAGAAAGTCAATGATACCCCCCCCCCTTTCAATTCGCCTATGGATTAAAATTAATACTTTTCAATTTTTCTATTGTATGTATTATATTTTCCTGATTATGTAATAAGTAAAGGGCAAAAAATGGGTCCCTGAGTTACTTCTAATTTTAACTCTCTCACACTAGACCACACCCACTTAGGTTCCACGGGTGGCCAAGGATGATGTTTTATATAATATAGATAGGAATAATTCACACATCTAACAACGTCAAGAATGATTCTCAAATATTAAAATCTACATGCTCAGTTTTTCGGTGACGATGTGCTATTTATAGAAGAAAACCAGCAGCATACCCATGTTGCGAAATAACGCTACTCGCTGCAAAAGATATACGGGGTGTGTCCGTATGCAATGAAAGCGCGATATTTACCTTCCACTAGGTCCAAATGTTGATGAATTCGAACCTCATCTAGAGCACCGAGGTACGCTAATCCCGGGGGCAGACCCTGTGGCACAACTACACCCTGCGGTAATCCCATCTGAGGCTGTTGCATTTGGTTCGCCATGTTTACTTGTACGTTATCTGGCGAAGCTGTTGGGTTTGACATTGTGACTTAAAAATTCTATTTATACTGACGAATAAACTACGGGGTACCCTTGCACTTCAAGACAATCACAATTTAACCCAATTTCAGCCGTCTTCTCTTATCTCTCTCTCGTTTGATGACTGAATAATAAACATCCGGGTCATTGAGCACTTGACGCGTGGATCCGCCGAAATATGGGTAACATTCAATTGATTTGATTGGGTAGCTCAAATCAGGTAGCGTTTTCGGACATCAGACGGTTTCAATATAGTTCAAGTCCATGTGATTTCGGTCCTAAGAAAATTAAACCCCAAAGTGGCCGTCCGAAATAAGTGTCTGAAAAATAAAAAAAAATATCCTCAATGATTGTGGGTAAATTTGCCTTATTATTTTTTTAACAGTTGATAAAGGATAAAAAAGATAAAATCAGGTAATTTAAAAATTCTCTTTGAATCAAGTGGATGTCAATGATTCGATCTTCAACAAAAGCCATGCATTATAAAGTTTGGCGAATGAGATCGAGTGTATCTCTGTGTTAAACTTTCTTTACATGGATAATAAATTTTGAAAAAAAAAGGGTGGGGAAACATACTCGAACAAGCCCGGGACACCGGTTAGGGGGCAGTAGTATGACTGTGCAGATTCCTTTCAACTTTCGGCAAAAAAGTGGTCGACCCAGCTTAATTCTAGAATATTAATTTTTCCCTATATCGTTTTTTTTTTCTGCGAGCATAATTCAATAATTCAGAGTCCAATTTTATTTTATTAAATCATCTTTTCAAACATTCGTTTGGTTTTTAAAAGAGAATATTAATTTGGCGATATCGAAAAATCCATTTGAATTTTGATGGCACAAAATGATTTTTTTTAATATCAGAAGTTCGAATTTTTGATATAAAAATGATTTTCTGATATCAAAAATTCGAATCTTTGATACAAAAAAATTCCGTTTATTCTTTGTTATTAGAAAATGAATGTTTAGTATAAACCAAAGAAAAATAAATAAAAAGTAATCAAAATTCTGATATCAGAAAATACATGAAAAATATCAAAACGGTGCCTCATTTATATAATATCAAAGTAAATCATCCACATTGACATAAAGACTCTGCACAGGAGACCGACGTAATATTGTCTGGAGCCCAGCATTGTGACGTCATGGCATACAACGTAACAATTACATTATCTTATCTACCAAACAAAAGGGCAGTGTAAATGGAGAGTATAAAAATTTATTTGCTTTTTTTTTTATATGAGAATAGTGCAACTACTTTTATTAGATGTAAGCTTAGTATACTCGATCCACCCTTTAACCCTTGCGTCTCTCAGAATACTAGAACCCCATAATTCGGTTGTTCATTGAGCCCGGCTCGGAATGGATCGAAAACATGAAAAGGCTGCTTGGAATTTTATGCTGTATAGACGAGAGAAACGTATCTCCCTTTCACATCAATAAGTAACAATTCATGTGTTCATTCTCCAATTTAAGCTAGCAGTCCATATTTAACTAATATACCCTACATACATAATTCCCAAATCAAATAATATGCTATAGGAATTGATATCAGTGTGGATTAGTAAGTTTTTATTAATACTCAAAAGAAACATATTTCTTTTAATGTTTGAAAAATCAAGGTCCCGAATTTCACTTAATAATGATCTACTCAGTTATTGCGTATTTGAATTTCTTTCAACCTCGACATATCTTTTCATCAACCAGTCAAACTAAAACTACAGTTTCCAGTGTGGCCAAGGATGACATTGTTTACCACAAAGCAGTACTCTTTTTTGAGTCTATTGCCATCACAGTATAAATCAGTGTGACGGTGTCATCATTTTTTTCTTTTTGCTTTTTTCAAAACTCATTTACTGCTCGTCATCTTCAGATTTTTTTATGAAATAAGAATTTATAGCGAGTAATTATTGGTTTCCTCGATGTTTAAAATGAAACTGGACATGTTAAATAAACTCTGTTATCCTTTATATAAATATAAATTTCACAATGACACTATTGTTATATGAAGTCAATACCAATTTAAAAAAAAATACAGTCTTAAAAATGAATTAATGCATGTTTGCTTTTATTCATTATTTCAACGAGCCGGAAAAAAATTGCACAAAATTGTGTAAGACATCATAAAAACACACACAATTTGAACGCAACAATCAATGTGACGTAACTACAACAAAAGTGGATGCAGATGTCAAATATATTGCTGGTAAAAATCACGACAATTTCGTTTATTTTGCTATTTTTCTTAGGTGTAAGTAGAAAATGTTTATAGATATGGCTTTTTGTAGAAAATCATGGGTGTTATATTGGATTTTGGTGACGAAGTGGTAAAATACATGGTAAGTTGTTTAGCAGAAGTAACACATCTTGACTAAAAATGTCGAGGAAAAAAACCCATCTTTTTTTCATTGAAAATCTAGACCACAATATAATTGGAATATATTAACCCCCCCCCCCCCTTGAAAAAAAATGAAATTTTATGAGTGTTTATTTGAAAATTTAAAACGATTTTTAATTAAATAAAAAAGAAAGGTTTTCTTACAACTACATTTTTGAAATTATGATTTTTAGAATACAAAATTGGAAATCCTCAAATTTGCCTACAACTAGGCTGAATATTATCAATTTATTTCTATATACGTTACACTGTTTTAGAATTTGTTTTAACGAAGATCTTGCATATTGAAACAACTTGGAAACATAAACTCCATATGAAAGTGATTATGGTACATGTATATATTGCTACATAATCAAGTTGGTGATAGTATTTAGAAAAGCTGAAGTCATCACATTTATCAATAAGTTTTGTTGTAAGGTTACCAAACATGTAAACAATCATCTTCCAGCATCAAATTTGAAATTCCATGTCAACCAATTTTAGTCTTATGAAATACAAATCGAAAATGAATCTATTCATATATGGTATATGCAACTAAATGGCTAAACCCCCCCCCATCCCTTTATGTTTTTGAAGTAAAAAATAGACTGTGCATATTTTAATCTTTTTATTACTGTATTTGATTTTTATTAATATCAGGAATTAAAAAAATAATAAATACAAAATTCAGAAGAAAGAAAAACAGCAACCATCTGTTACAAAAAAAGGTGTAAAAGAGATACAAAAATGGAAAGAGATTATGTGTATCAAACAACATATAGATGAATAAATAACAATACTTTCATGGAATAAATAGAACACCTATAAGTTACATGAAGAAAGAAAACAAATTATGTCAATTAAAATATGATTACTCATGATACATGTAAATCTACAAAAGTGTATGCCACATTTTTATTTAGAAATTGTTAATAACAACATCTACTCATATATGTACAAATATTGATAAAGTACAATCCCATTATGTATCATGCGAAAATAAAAAAAAAGCAACTTTCAACATGTACATTGAGCTTATAATGAAATGCAAAAAAATCCCAACAAAAATGGATTTTGTAGAACTGAATGAAATATAACATCAATATTAGTAATACATGTACAAATACAAAGTGCAAATAGTTAAATCACAAAATGACTCTGGAATGTTTTGATTCACAATCTAAGACTTGAAGTCCTATTGGACGGAAAAATGTAAACATGTAATATCAATATACACAATTCTGAACACTTGTCACATTGCACTAAAACCATTTCAAATTTCAGTGATATTTCATAAACACTCACTGACACAAAGTTATTGTATTTAGTAACTGAAAAATTAAGTACATTGCTAAAAATATTTGAAGAAAAACTTTTGGCAATTGAGAAACTGCTATCGGAAAAATTATTAATTTTAAAAATCATTTAATCAAATTCACATGAAATATGCCTAGGTGAAAATAACAGGTCAAACCTTGATTATTGTCGAAACTATTTCTATAAACAAAACCTATTGACGTCATGAATGTATATGGATAAAGCACTACTGTAGCATTAAATATGTGATGTACAACATAAAAATTTTACTAAGATAAATTGTGATGATTCATTTTTGTGATTAGAAAAAAAAACCCCAAACAGATGGGTAATTTTTACATGCCTGTGCAAACATCTTCGACATTTTATAGAAGTTTGATATTAAAAATTGAGGAAAAAAATGTTTTTTGTTTTATTTTTATAATTATTTCAAAGACAAGAAATCTGACTACAATTATCACAAACATTTAAATCATGGTTTTGCTATTGTGCTTTCTCTGACAATATCTCACTCATCTGTTCCTCTTTTATAACCCCCCCCCCCCTTCAAAAAAAAGGACAGGAAAAAAAATGGACGGATTTCACTGTAGTCAAAGTTTCACAATCTCAGGAGACAATATGTGTATAGAGTACCTATATAACAAGTATCTGTGCATTGACTGGTTGTGCTTATTTTATTAAACATTCATTTTCCTACACCACTTTGACTTAGAAAAAAATGTTGAAACATGTATAATTATTGACTTCATTAGTTTAAGACATGCAAAAAAAATGTAACAATTTACTAGAGATACCCTGTTGTTTACTGACAAAAAATGTCCCCAGGAACCCCTACTATTATGACTGTGTCTGGATACTGTTTTGTGAGTTTAATCCCACAATGCATTGGTCCATCCTATGATATGGAGCATCCCCAAGAAGAAGCATATCCTGTGTCCACTTCAGGCGACACCTCTGTTGGTGGTTCCTCATACTCAGAAGGGAAGTACATCCTTAAATTTAAAGACAGATACTGATTACGGGAAGTACATCCTTAACGAACAAATACTGATTAGGGGAAGCAAAACCTTAAATTAAAGACAAATACTGATTTAGGGAAGCACATCCTTAAAATCAAAGACACATAGTGGGAGTGCATTCATAAAATCAAAATCACTGATAAACTAAACAAAGTCATGTTTCAGTAAGAGTTCAGTACAATATGGCATTAAAAATCCTGGTACTTATGAGTTTTTTGAACCTCTACAAATGGGCTTATAAAGAATTCTCAATTACATGTACAAGTACGTAATTTGCAATATTCCTATGTTTTAAACTGTACATATCATAAACTTCTTGTACATGTATATTATTTATTATCAACCCTTGTGCTTCTCTGTAAACATGTTTTAGTGCATTTAAAATTCATGGTTTTACAGAATTTGAAAGAAAATGAATGTATCTTCATGTACCTGATTGTTGAGAGATGGTAACGCCCCATATTTCGTCTGATAGACATATCAATCTTGTCTTCCAGAACAGGTGTACTGTAGCCATCAATGTAAATCTGGTATTGAACGGTTTCCACACCAAAGGGGGGCACCTCTGTTAGTGAACAAAGGGGGAAATACTTTTAAAATGAACTAGCTGAATATAAAATGCATTTTTAAGTTAATTAATTTGACAAGCTTTTAGAACATTGTAAATCTTCCTTCAATGTTACACTTTAGGCATTGACAACTTAGTTGGTTTAAAAATAAAATCTTTTTTTGAGTTATGACAGCTCTGTATTCTTGCCATTTTAGATGTCACTTTTAGTATCCCTCCCCCTACACCCCCCCTTTTATAATTGGTTCATTTATTTCATTCATTCAGATTATTTCCTTACTTGCAAAGTCCATCCATTTTGTCAGTCTCATCATTGTCTTAGACCAGGATTCGAACTCGCGACCATACACTCGGACGGGGACAAACAGCCTGGTGGAGAGATTGAGGGACTTGTAGGGCTGTTCTGCAGATTTGGAGGCGTTGATCTGGAAAAATGTTCTGAGGACTTTGCAGTATCTTGTCTCAATGTGCGCTGGTTCTGAGCTAGTGCAATCCTCATGCTCAATTTTCATGAAACCTGTAAAATAAGGAGAACTCTGAGGAAGTTCAAAATATAGAAGCTCACAAATTTAAATACCCGGTATGCAAGTAAACCAAAAACAACCAGCATTTCTTTTTGTTCTCTTTATCTTGATCATTGTATTAAATGCATTTCAAGTTATATGTTTGACAGAGTATTTTAATGCATTGGTCATTAGCAGCAAAACAGAGCAGGTGCCCTGCCATTTCACTCATTTCAGCAGCAACAAAACAAGATTTATACAATAGTGATGATTCCTTGCTATTTGTATGAGATTTTTTTTTTTCATTATATAGTTACACAGTTTTGCATACCTCTTGAATCCATCACAAATTTTACATTGACACTCTGTAGATTCAATACTCTGATGTTCTGAAAATGAAAACATTAAACAGTAAAGCCAACACCATTTATATGAATTGAAATTCTTAATAGCTATACGAACTGTATGAAATATGAACGATTTTTATAACACATTATGTAGAAAAACTCTGAACATTCTATTTGATTTCTTAATGTAAATGTGGAAGATTTACACAACTTTTTGCATAATTACTAACAATAAGCCAAGAATGCAGTTTGTATCATAGAATTATGAGAAATGTACCTTCTGCTTCCTTAGAAACATGCCCATTTTTGCCACAACCCTTCTGAAGGGCAAAAACTTGATTGATGTTCCAAATGAATTATCAGCAACGTCTGGTTGTTCGTCATGGAAACCTAAAGAACATTACCTTTTCTTTAATGAATAGTTTCACAAAGTAAATTAATTCAAGATAAAAGTGCAAGTAAAATGATATAATATTAATAATTACTCAAAAAAAAAAAAATTACACAAGTAGTTTATGTATAACAAAAAATTATGCTCAATTCCTGATAAAAACATCCCCCTTGTTCCAACAATTCCACCAATTTTTTTTTCAGTGTTAACAATACATTATCCTAATATTGCAAGAAAAAAGTCCAAAACTTGTGTGTGAGTGGGTGTTTTTAACAATGTTCAATAATATTAAATAATTCACAAAAATTAAATTCATACATGTAATTATTTTAAAGTTTTGAAGTCAATGCTGTAATTATACTTGACTATTGAAATTTCAATTAGAAATATTCTATCAGCTTTAGTACACACATATAAATCATATATTTATTATACTTACCGAGAGTGACATATTGTGGTTTTCCTTTGATGTAGTAAATCCTCAAGCCATGGACGACAGTTCTAGTCTTCTGTCCATGTTCTGCCCAGCAAGTTTCATCTGGATCCACTGACAGTAGTTCACCAAAGTCTGTTGAAACTCTGTATACCACTGTCTCCACATTTAGAATATTTCCTGTTTAAATTTAAACAAAAATCTTTAGAAATAAAAAAAGTTAAAACTGTGTTCCTAGTAAATCACCATGCCAATGTATATAAGCATGTATGGAAGATTTCATTTAGAGAGGTAAGGAAATTATACTGGAATTTGATGCCATTCATTAAAGGTTCCATGATCATGTAATAGCTGAGAAACAACTCTCAATCAAATAAATGGGAATAATTTTGTCATAAAACTCAAGTTAAAAAAGGAAATTCGTGTAAAAACAAAAATTTCCCCACATTAAGGGACTGAAATTTTGTGCATTTTAACTACATGTATATTAAAATTATTTAGACTTCTTTCAAAAGAAAAAGAGTGTTCAGAATGAACAAAGGGATAAGGAATCTTGAATTAAAAACTTTCCTTCATGTATTTACAACAGATGGTTCCTTAGACATTATCATTGAAAACCCATGGTCGATCTCGCATATGCTTATTGCCCAATCAATAAACGTATGCAAGATTGACTGTGGGTTTTCCGAGGATAGTTGAAAATTTACATAAACATTTTTCATCCTTGTAACTGTACTTCCTCTTACCTGGCAGAGGGTTCTTCATTATCTGTTTGTTTAGATTTCCAATCATATCTGACAGCTTCACCCCTTCTGATACGTTGATACGAGATTCATACTGTCCCTGCATTATGGCTGTTTGTCGTCCTGGTAAAGCTGAGGTGTACCCAATTTCTTCAACAGGAATGTCAGGGGAGGGTCTTGGTACCAACCATAATCTTTTAAATAAAGAACATGTCTAGTTCAGATAAAGTTTATGTTATTTTGTTGCCTAAACAATTACAGTTGAACCGCAGTGTCTCAAAAACAGATATCTTGAATACCATGGATATGTAGAAGTGAATTGGAAGGCCCAATCACTTATTCTTGAATAACCCTCAACATCATGAACACTCCAATATCTCTAAGTTTTTTATCAGTCAAGATAACAAGGTTTGACTGTAATTGAAAACTTATTTTCAAAACAACAATTTATTCATATATAAAAAAATCACTTACAGATATAATAATTTAAAGTAATTACACTTTTCTCCATATAATTATATATTAAACATGGTGCTCTTTATTCTAAATAAACAAAAACTTTCACTTAAAAAATATTACACTGGCCTAAACACTGACAAGGCAAATTTTGCAATATTTACAAGGTTTGTTACATCAACAAACTTACCTTAGACCTGCTAGGAATATATTAGAGCCATAAGCTGATTCCATGTAGTAAACATGATCTGTATCAATGTTTTCTTCTAATCCAACCTTAAAGACAACTGTTTCGCATTTCCACAGCATCTGGCGTGGATTCTCCTTTAACCATTGATTTGCTCTATCAATTAGTGTCCTGGAAGAGGAAAAGGAATATATTATTCCTTAATATCTAGATTGAATTCATTCAACTGTAAACGTAATACTAATTTTCTTGGCTTTCACATTTTAGTGCCTTTTGTGCTGCTTCTTGCCTGATAAATTTATATACATGCTAAAATATAATTCAAATGAATACATGTAATTTTTAAAACCCCAGTGTGATAACTTATGATTTTACTAATCAACTGAAGAGGGCAGTTGAGCTAAATTTTGAGTGCACTTTTATGTGCACATATGTATGTGTAAAGATCGACCATTTAATTTTATATCCAGAATTTCTTTTACCACTACTTTTACAAAGAAGATTTACATTCTGGATTTTTTTCCCCCTTGGATTTTAGAAAACAAGGCAGTGTTTTCCTCTTTATTTCAAAGCAAAGGATTAGAGATCAATTATAACACCTACAGTTGAGATTGTATGACAAATATTTTTTTAAAAAATCTAACAGGTCTTTACTCTTAGCTTCATTTTTATCAATGATTTGAAGAGGTAAATTTGTAAGGTAGTTGATTTTGAGAAAAAACATTGAACAAGTTTGACTATAATATCAATAACCAGTTAAAAATACAGTGATATATCTACTAATTTTCAAAGGAATATACGTTACTTTGTATATGAAAGAACTGACCCAAATCGAGAGTACTGAGGTGCTTGGTCTTTAGTTTCTGCTCTCAAGAGAAGTTCAGGAATAATATCATGGTGTGTTACTGGTGGAATGCATTCCTTGATTTCTTCGTCATTCATGGAGAATGCACCATTAACTGAGCTTTCTTTTTTCTGTGCTCCTGAAGATATTTCTTGCAGTGGTATGGATTGATTTTCAGGATTTTTCGGAGGTATGTTTGGATTTTCATTTTCTTGGTTTATGCCAGTACTGGAACTGTTTGATTTCTCAACAGCAATATTTTCTTCCTGAATTGGAGTCTCAACACTTGCCATGTCTATAAATTAAAAGAACTTCTATTATACAATTTGATAGAACTAATTTCAGTCCACTACCTTTAAATCTTAAATTTTGAATACCCACCATCCCTTTTTTTTCTTCACTACAATTTTAATTGTAGCCACTTGAAATGAACACCATTTCAAGAAGAATGCACCAAATTATAGGAGCTTAGACACAAATTTTGAAGTAAATATTTTCTCAAATTTTCTGCATAATATCATGACTTATATATTGCAATATTTACATTCGCTGTGTTTTTCTACTAAGCCAACTGTGAAATTGATTTGAATACCATTTTTGTGGTTATATACATATGTGTCGAAATATACACAGAAAACTTGCACTTGTATGATGTCTCAATAAGGCTGCAGTGACATTAGTAAAAATGCAATGATAAAGGGCATCAAGAAATTCAAATATTCATTATATTGAGTATATTTTTGCTTTCAAACATTTAAAATGTAAATATAAAGAAAGTTTTAAGTTTAGTGTGAATTATTGATGTGTAAATCACACAGACTTGCATGTAGGCATATTTTCCATGCAGTCCTAGCTTAATTAGATAATCTAAGTTGTAATAAATTAATTGTAGATTTTTTAAAAACGTTTTTTTTAAGTCAATGGACAGTTGAATATTGAAATGCAAGGAACGACTAAAAAATATGTAAATTGTAATAGATATGGGCATTTTCTTAATATAACCAAGAGTCAAATATCTTTGAATGTTTGCAATAAACCAACTAAGATAACATTTAAATATATTTAAATTTAGGTCAAAATACAATACCAGGATAGAACTTCTATATTCTATTAGAATGGTAAAATTTATCAAGTCAAATATTACCTATTTTTTCTTTCTAAACAAAAAAGTAAGAAATACCTGTCTCTTGTAAGCTTTATCCTAAGAAAATGATCTAAAATATCTGCGCAATGTCCAGGCGTCCAATATTGTTTAGACTTGAAATATCATGTTTTGGAAACGCTCAATGTAACATATCTGCTTGATTAGCTATAGTCAGAATCTTTTCTGGTTAAGCGTTTCAGTGATTGGGGCTACAGACCATTTCAAGTTTTACTAAATAACGCAATAAAGCAGGAGCAAGAGCTTTAAACTTAAAAGTTAATCGACTTCATTAAAATTCTATTGATACAGAATTTGTATACATATGTAAAACTCATCATGGATTGAAGAATATGATTTTAATTTGAATGAATATTTTTGTTGTTGAGAATATTATTGTTTTTAAAAATATAAACTTTTTTCGTTTATTAAACCATTCGCGCATGTGTAACGTGAAAGAGGAAGTGGTCATTTTCGGAATTTTGAGAAAATGACAATAATTGAAGATGCGGGGATTTCGTTATGATTGAGATCACAAAATAGAGGTGAAATGCAATGTGTTTTTATTACAGCATACACAGCGTTCATTAAATTAAGATAATTTCTAAGCATCACTTTGGAAAATGATTTCTATCTGCTCAATAACCGACACTTTTCTTGCTAACTTGGTGACATGTGTTACATATGTAGATCAACTTTACTTGACAACTGATACTTTTGTTTTAAAAAAAGGAAAGATTTAAGATTGGAATTCATTTATGATTTATGCTGTGACAACCTTGATAGAGATTTAAGAGATATAGATATATTATCCGTTCTGTTCTCTGTACCATGTGTACTCTAATAATTCACAATTTGATAAAGTAAAAATAAATGAGAACCAGGTATGAATCCTATCTGTGAGTTTTGAGAGAAAAGCAAGTGTTATGCTCAACTAACAGGTATGATTTTTAGTGAGTAGTGAGTGGTTAGATTCATAAAGCTCATGGGTACTATAGGATTCATGCCTATTTCTCACATCGTTGGAAACCCACGGTCGTTCTCATGCACTTATACTTATTATAGATATCATCATCAGAGTTCTAGGAAGAGTTTTTATTGTAGATATAACTAGTACATAATTTTTCTTAACATATTTCAGACAAGATGGGTTATGAACTCAATCGCTTTCAAGGTGATGTTGATGAAGAACTTGTTTGTCCCATATGTAGTGGAGTTCTAGAAGAGCCTTTACAGGTAATTTGAAATTATGTGATGTAGTCGAGCTTAATGTAAATTTCAAAGAAAATTTATATTTGCGCAAACAAATACTACTGTACTGTTAGTCTGACGAATACAAATTTTTTCCTGAGATGTTGAAAAAAGAGGTACATTGTATTACCTCATGAAAAAATGCCCATGAATCCTTAGCCCTTTTCATTTCCAAGTAAAAAAAAATGCAATATTAATTTTTTTTCTTGCATTGTACAAAAAATGCACTGTGTTCAATTGTTGAGCATATATGGAGCTTATTTACATTACATGTACTTTCTTGCCCATATCTTTTCAGGCCCCGCAGTGCGAGCATGCTTTTTGTGGAGCGTGTATACAGGAGTGGTTGACTAGGCAGCCCACATGTCCCGTGGACAGGAATCCCATCACCCCCAACCAGCTGAAGCCTGTCCCACGGATCCTCAGAAATCTCCTCTCTCGTCTACAGATTGCCTGCGATAATGCTACGTATGGCTGCACGGCTATAGTCAAATTAGACATGTTGTCAGCGCACATACAGGAGTGTGAACATAACCCGAAAAAGCCTGTACATTGTGAAAGTGGGTGTGGTATTGTTGTCCCTAAGGATGAATTAAAGGTTTGTTAACTGTTTATCACTTAAATTCTCACAACACCTTACTGTTGTGAGATACTAATATTTTATTCATAAATGGGACAATATTTTAACAATTTATGGTTATTTTTTTATATAATGGCTAATAGTACTGTTATATGCAAGATTTGAAATTATTTTTAGCAGACAGTCTGTAGTATTTATGCAAAAATGTAGTCTCACAAATAATAATTGACACGCAGGACATATATTCACTTTTATTGCATTAACCATCCCTAAAACTTGAAAACGGGGTTTGTTAAAGTGGCAGATAATTTTATGCACAGGATCACAATTGTGTTCGCGAGCTGAGGAATCTGGTTCAGCAGCAGGCATCAAGGATCACAGAAATGCAGACAGAAATTACAGAACACAAATTAAATATAAGCGAACAAAAGAGGGAACTTCAGTTGTTAAAAGTGAGTTTCTAAGAATATGATTTTACTATAGATACTAGTTTTTTACAGATTCAAATGTGTCAGGGTCATCTACTTGTTTTAGAATAACTGCTTTCAAATTGCAAATCAAACAGTGTTCCGAGACTTTCTTGAATTTTGGCATAAAACTGTCTCAAGGGAAAGTTATAACATCAGTTCATATCTCAAACTCTGTTGAATTTTCTTTAGGAATACATGAGATCTATGAGAGTATCTAATCCAAGAATGAGAGAAATACAGTCAGAGATGGAAAATGCTGACGTTCTAAGGTAGGACCAAATGTGAACAGTCTCATTATAGCATATAGCTTATATCAACACATGTACTGCCTTTTAGGGGCAATCTAATGGGAAGCATTGAAAAACCCACGTTCATGAAATAATATACTGTATCACTGTAGATTCCTTATTTTATGTGAGTATTTAATATTGCAGAATGGCCCTTACATGTCAGGCCAAAATAAAATTATAGTTTGTTTGGAATTGCCTCCCGCCTCATTGAAATGCCCCCTCCTGAAAAAATTTTATTGACCAAAAGTAGGAAGATTTTTTTTTATTTAATCAATTTTTATGCCCATTACATGTATCACATGCACCACACAAAACACTGAAATATAGTACATGTATCAGATCTCTGTAAAATTAGTTTTTTTGTTGATGGTAGATACTTTTTTAAAAAGTCAGAAAATGTATAAATTTACTGTTTACTGAGATTTTATCAAAAATTTAAAATATATCTTCTATTAAAAAAAAATAATAATTTCCCTCCCTCCCTCCTGTGTCTGAAACCCTTCAGGCAGCAATTCCAAACAAACAATTTTTCAAGGATGGCCTCAAATTGTGAGAGCAATAATTTGCAGGTGGAGGGTTGATCAAAAGACTTGATAAAGATTTAAGAACCTTAAAAATCAAAGTGAATTACTTTATTTTGCAAGTGCTGCTTCTTTCAAAATTTCTTGATTATCAATTCCCCACTTATCTCTCGGAATATTAAGTACATGTACTGTAGTAATAGTTTCACAAAGAAATAAGGTATTGATTCTTCTCTCAGTGTTCTGCTAGTGTATGTTTGAACAAATGTCTAATATAAATGTTTAATAATTAATGCAACACCGAATAAAGTATTTGGGAAAAAAAAATTGTTTCAATTAAATGTTTATATGAATAAAATTCACTGTGGTAGTTTACCTGTTTACCGTTTTTTTTTCTTTCTTGAGAGTAAAAAAAAGTGATTTGAAATGATCTATTATTTAATATTTTCCATCATTTTTTAGATGGGTGAACAGTTTACAGACTGCCCGGGTAACCCGTTGGGGTGGTATGATCTCTACCCCTGATGCGGTGCTACAGGCGGTCATTAAGAGGGCCCTGATTGACAGTGGCTCCCCTCCCCACATTGTTAATGAACTCATGGAGAATGCACATGAACGAAGATGGCCCCATGGTCTCAGTACTCTGGAAACCAGACAACTCAACAGGAGGCAGTATGAAAATTACGTCACAAAAAGAATTCCAGGTTTGTGATCAGATGTTGGGATTTTAATTTGAATAGTTTTATTGATAAATGGCGGTTACTTTTGTAAATTTCAATCATGGTACAGTTGGGCTTTATTAAGTAAATAAGAAGTTATTTTTAAATAAGAATGATATAGGGTCAGGGATATATAATACATAACGTTAGCCTTTTCACTTCACTGTAAATTTGCCAATACCTTGTAGCCTAGAAATATTTAAGGTCATATACAAGTCAACAATTATGTTACATATGAAGTTATGATCAGAGAATGTGTATTAGATTGAAGATTTATTTGGAAAAGATCATTGTTGCAGAAAAATATGAAAGTCTTTATATTCTCTAGTTTTCTCTGCACTGATTAAACAACATTTCTTTCTATCAATAATTGTTAGAGAATTTTTCAAAGCCCAGAGGTGAGGAGCATGTTGTGTGTATCAATGAAAGATCAGTCTAACTTTATTCTGAAATTCCAATTTTAGGTAAACAAGCTGTGGTGGTGATGGCCTGTGAAAATGAACACATGCCTGAAGATTTGATAATGGAGCCAGGGCTGGTCATGATATTTGCTCATGGAGTAGAATGACCAGCAAATGTAAGATTTTGACAGTAAAAAAGTTTCTAGTTTCTAACAATATAAGGAAGATATTGCTCTTTTTATCATTATGAAATTTTTCAAAAAAATGTTTTCACTGAAAATATTTTTTGTTAGAAAACTAGATATTTTAAAATTATATGTTATAATCTAGATTTAATTCATTTTTTAATATAATTTTTTAGAATATTTTATTTCAATCTTCCTTGCCTGTTGATGATTTGATGTTTTGGTTAAAATTTCCAAAAATTGTGAGGCATATTCTTTTCTTGAAAAAAAAATGATAATCAAGTTCTATTCTTTTTTTTTCCAGGAATGAGCAAAGATCTGTGATAATCTGTGATTTTTTCTGTGAAAGGGTAGATTTTTAAATGAAGTTGTCAGAACAGACAAGTGCTTTCACATCTAGTAACAGATCATGTTCTAGATTTTCACAAAACGTTATATACATAAATATATTGCTGTGAATGAGAAAAAAAACTAACTGATTAAGTTCAGTGTTATGGACAAATGGTGCATTAATGTTAAAAAATTGACAGTGAATATTACTGGTAATAAAAACCAGTATGTGATTTTTCTGATTCATGTAGTGTGTGTATCGGTATTGTTTGTACAAAGTGTAGACTTCATCAAGACAAGTTTTATCTCTGTTAGAACTGAATGCTGTTTGTTCCTAAATTTATTTTGTTACAGTTTTGAAAAAAGTGAGGGGAGGGAGGGGTTGAGTGTGAATATTTTGTTGATCAGAGATTACTGAAAGGCAAAATGTTTGTATTTAGTGCACTAGTATTTATATGTAACAGTAATAGTGACTTGGTAATGTAGAGTCTTGTGGCAAATTGATAGCAGAAAACATTACATTGAATGATCCTATGTATGTTGACTTCTTTTCCAATTAAAAGATTTAGCAGGGATAAGTTAATAGCAACATAACAATTATTGTTCTCTTATTTAGCTTGATCAATTCATTTAAATTATATTTTTTAATGGAATTAAAATCCTTAGCTAGGTTTTGTGCTTTAAGTTAGAATATCATACGATCAAAAAACAATTCAAATGAATTTCACGTTTTACCATTGAAAATCTGTCACACCCTGCTGTCTTTTACAGATATTTATAAACTACTGTAAATGGATATCATCTAATTTTTTATTTAGATTTTTAAATGTAAAAAAAATTATTGCATAATGTATATGTAAACTTAACTCTGCATCACTGTAATTGCTGTTCCATGACATAAGAGTTGTAAATTTCATTGGTTGATACGATGCAAATGAATTCATTGGTTTTCTTGTAATTTGTAAATACATGAATGTTAAAGTTAATGCATTTACAAAAAAGTCATTGTGTATTCTTGACTTTCATTTGTTGCATTCAGCCACAATTCTTGTTTAGATAAAAATAAACTGATGAAAATAAAACCTGTGTTGTTAAAGTAATAGATATATACTGCAATTTTGATAAGTTTATGGAAGTCAAATACATATCTCAACTGTTTTGTTTAACTAAAGTGGATAAAGGACTTTTTTGCTGATCTTTGCATTGGATCTTGACTATACATGTATTTATATCAGAGACATCTGATAATTATTCTCTGATGTATGGAAATTTTTATAGGAAAAATTTTAGCGATAAAGAGGCATGTTTCTTATGCAGATGTAAAATTTTGCTTGCACAAAGGTATGCCAGTAATTTTAGCAGAACTTTTTATGCAGACTCCTTCAAAACCGCTAAAATTAGCCATTTTTGCACCCAGCTAAAAACTCCTGCTGTAAGATATACTAAACCAAAATTTTTATTTAATTAATGGATGTTTCAAGTATTCTCTTTTGACACATTATGGTTAATGAATTTCATAGCTGACGAATAAAAGTGATTTTTTTCATTTATTTTTTTATGATAGAATATGGGGGGAAAAAACCTGGGTTTTCAGGAACTATGATTATTTAACCGGAACAGCACGAGTAATCCAATTTTGAATTTTATAATATGCAAATCTTGGTCTTTGAGAAGCTTGCATGATCATGTAAACCGGTAACTGGAAATTCCAGAAGCCCCCCGTTTTTTGGAGAATACCCATACAGAAGGGTAGAAGCCCCAATAAAGTGGTAGAAGCCCCATAAAATTGAATGATTTGGGGTACATAAAACCCTAAGGTGATGCTTAAAAGACTGATATTGATATCCGTAAACTTTTATAGCCAATTTTACCTCAAAGTCGACAGAAATCGGGCGCCATTTCTTCTTTTCTTCATATACCGTACACCACGCCCGATCTAAAATCGCGATCGCTGATTAAATCATTAGCGTAATCTTGATCAAAAGTGAATAATATAATATATGATTTTTATTTTCAAAAAAAAAAAAAAAATATGAAAGGAAAGTTAAGAATATAAACGAAGCATTAAATATTTACACATTTCCTAAATGAAATAAAATAAAAATTATGAACATATTTCATGGCCTACTTGAATACTTTTATACACACTGGTTTGTACCTACCAAAGAGAATTTTATATCGAAAATCATTATGGAAAATATGAAAATATTTGTATAGCTGATGTGTACTGTTACATAAAAACGTTGTGATTTAACCTGTTGATAGACATTACAGTGAAAATACTAATTGATTGATTTTTTAATGAATTTAACTAGGCAATTAATCAATTAATAAAATTCCTTTTTTTTTTTTAATTCCAATCATTTATAATATATAATTAAGTTAAATTAAGTAATTAATCAAGTTGTTAATTTATTTAATTTCTAAGGTTTTTTTCTTTCTTTCTATGTTTATTTAAATTTGAAATTCAGTATTCATGCATTCATTATTATTTTCCAGTTACTTAGATTTGTTGTTTTTTTTGGGGGGGGGGGGGGGGTTCTGTTTTATTTGGGGGAGGTCTTTTTTTTTATTATTTTTTTTTTTGTGTGTGCATGTAATAGAAAAAATTATATTCATTGATATTAGAAAGCAATATGTATCCATTAGAATGAAATTATTAGAATCCAGGTTTATGAAATAAAAAAGTTTCATAAAAAATTAATAAAATGTGCATAATTGCATATGCACTTGTAAAGTGGGTATTATGAGAATATGGTGAGAATATTATTTAAACATCAGCTAACTGTGTTGTTTTGTACTGGGATAGAGAGGCACCCCTGTATATGTGTGTACATGCACTATATACACAGCTGTTGACACTTGGTCAAGTTGACAATAAATTCCTTTTGTTCAAACACCTGTTCTCAGCTAGTCTGACCAACCCCCCTCTGGCAGGGCATGTGTATATACACTGATCATTAACTAAGTTCAATTGTTCTTGACTTTCATAATTATTGAATTGTAAAATAAATGATTTTGTAATATGATCTTCTTTTTAGATACTGGTGATATGTTTTAAATAAAATTTCATTTTAAGGACTTAAGCACACACATAAGGAAAATATGAATTTTGATAATTTTGATACTAATAATAATGATAAATTAATAAAGACCTTTTAAATTAGTAATACCTGAATAATATTCATAGTTTCCTTATGTTCCCAGCTCTAGCCACGTGGAGGCCTCCGTAATTGTAGAGCCATGATTTGAATTTTGAAACAAAAATATTAAAGCCAAAGGACCGAAAGATGACCGAAAGATAAAAAGAAAATAAAAAACTTAAAAAAAAAAACATACTTTATCATTATTCCTAGTCAATCTTTTGTTCATGTAAAAACATATTACAGCCTAATGCAAGTAATTGACAATAAATCAAGAATTATAAAAAATTTCATAGAAAGGAATTTATAATTCAATTAGCAACATTTAAAAAAGAATTATGTTCCTAACCTAACTTAACCTAACACAACACCAAACAGTATTCACTGGTCAGCACCCGTCTGGCGGGGGAAGAATACTGCCTGATATTAACCCTATTCTAAGTTCTAACCTAACACAACACCAAACAGCAATCACTGGTCTGCACCCGTCTGGCGGGGGAGGAATACTGCCTGATACTAACCCTATGCTAAGTTCTAACCTAACACAACACCAAACAGTATTCACTGGTCTGCACCCGTCTGGCGGGGGAGGAATATTAAATTCAACCAATATGTGCTGAGTTCAAAAAATACCTTCTCAGCACAAACAAAAGGGTACTGATACATAATGTTGCAAACTCATATTGGGGCACTGGTTGCAATGGCAAAGGGAAAAATATTCAAGGTAAACTCCTAATGCACTTTAGGCATAAAATGGCCAATGCAACCAGTGCTCCATCAGTAAGTTCCCCTACAGTTCCAGCACCCATCACAACAGCAGCTTCATCAATTCCTCACCCTGTACCCGTACCAAGTCCTCCAGCAGCTCCCTCAACTATTTCCCCTATTACAATGCACCCTGTACCCGTCCAAGGTACTGCATCAGCTCCGTCAATTCCTGCAGCTTCATCAATTCCTCCTGCATGCTTCAGCACCGTCAATTACACCAGCTACAAGCCATCCTGTACTCATCCTGAGTCCTTCAGCATCTCCCTTAATTACTCTCCCAACAGGTCCTACAACAGCTTCCTCTGTAGAAACCCCTACATCTCCTCAGTCACCTGTTCGATCTATTACTTATTCAGAACGAATTGCGGTAATTGGGCAAAATCATGTGCTAGAATTAGGGAATAGTGTAGCAAATGGTTCTGTGAATTTTAAGTTGCCAAATAATTATTGCGTTCAATTTTTTAGTGACATAGATGCTACAACAAAAAGCTTTATTTATAGTCAATCTTTCGCAAGAGCAGTTGAATTTTGTCCAACAAAAGTGTTTCTACAAGTGGGAGAAAAAGATATAAATTCATCTTCTGTGTCAGAAATAGTGTTAGGAATCCAAAACATTATTGAAAAACTGTAATTTAGAAATGATTCGGTTCAAAAAATATTTATTGGAAGTCTGTATAGGCAAATGATTTGTGGAACCATGGATCCAGGAAAGTACAATTCTACGGTTTTTGACATAAATAACACACTGCGAAGGAAATATGGAAATTCTCAGAATGTGATATTTTGGAGATGTAGGGGTTTAATGAATTCGAATAAAAACATTTGGCGTGTCAATGGGATTAGTTTGAACAGAGAGGCAATGGAAATTTTTAGTCGACAGATTCAACTGGCAATGAAATGTAAAATTACATAAAATACCTATGCTTGGAGATGAAAAAAGATTTTCAGTTCACTTTCAACCAGTCCATTTTTTTCATAGTTAAAATTCAATAAAAACTTATTTTATTTTGTGATGTTTTTTTTTTTTACTTTACTTTTTTTTTTTTTTTTTTTAATTCATATTTGTTTTAATTTAAAGACAATTAAAAATGTAAACAACTGATGTAAAATATTTAAAACATCTGATTTTTTTTTCTAAGAAAAGAACTTAGAAAGGTTACTTTGAAATAAACTATTTATATACAGTGTATTTGAAACTTTATATTTGAAAATTGATATTAATTTACTATTTCTTTCCAGGTTTCAGTGTTTTCATATTTTGGCAGATTTATTTTTTGTTCTCTTTTAACATTTAAGGTAGGATTCTTCTCATATTTCTAATATTTAAAAATTAATGAAATTCTCACAGAATCAAGAAGACAATATCAGTAAGTGATAGTATCAGTGAGATTAAATTTGACCATTTTATATCAGAGGCAAGGTCAGGTCAAGGTCATTATCTGTTTCTTTGACATTAAGAATAATAAAAAAATACTGTTGCAAATCATGTGATACCTACTTCTATTTCAAAAGTTTAAAGATTGTTCTTTTTGAATAAAAACATATTACTATATCTGCTCTATAACATTATTTTACCAAATTTACATAAATAATTTAACTAAACTGGATATTGGCTAATCCGAATTTTCTCTGTTTTTCTTAATTTTTGGGATATATTAGTTATTTTCAGATGCTTCCTATATTTAACTTTTTCTTATTTTCACATATATTAAAGTAGTCTTTTAAATGTTCAAAATGATACAAAAACAAAAAGTTTTATCGTTTACTAAGATAGAAATAATACTTTTCATGGATTTTTGACTCAGATCTGTACTTTGATAGGAAGCGTTTAAAAGCTAACAAAGTTCTAGTTTGTTTGAAAAATCATATTTATTTGATATATTTTGAAAGTTTAATCCCTCATTATTAATTTAACTTACATTTGAAAATTCTTCCAAGTCTTCGATTGTGTAAAAATTATAATTAAATTCATTGATCTATTATAATTTTGAGAGGCAGAGAAGAAGATATTTTCATACGCCACCATTCCGCCAAAAATATAGTCCCTGCTAGTTTTCAAACGCAGTTTACCATTTCTATTTAAAGTTGTACAATTGTGATGGGGAAAGAAAAATATGGTCTTTTAAATCCCTTACACCTCAATATATAATATATATAAGCAAACATACTATGAATGTTTCATCTAGTCAGAAACTAGAGAAGAATCCTACCTTAAGCAATTATTATTTTCATTTTTAATTATTATTGTTGCTTTGAACCTTTGAATTTCATATTTTTATATCTCTAAATTCAGAATTTGTCTAAAATCTCAAATAAATTCACTATTTTCATATTTTGAAATTTATTTCTTTTTTTTTTTTTGTTCTCTTTGAAACATAAAACTAATTATTAATGAATTAATTATCATTACTATTTTTTATTATTATTGTTGCTGTGAAGCTTTTGGATATGTTTTTTAACTCTAAATTCAGAATTTCTCTAAAATCTTAAAAAAAAAAAAAAAAAAAAAAAAAAAAAAATAAATTATGGCTCTACAAAAAGGAGGCCTCCACGTGGCAACAGCTGGTAACATTGGGATAATATGAATAATTAATACACAAATTCATATTATCTTAATGGCTAACGTCCTTAAATTTTTTTTAAAAATATGTATTACATAATATTTTATATATATCTTGCATAAAAAACATATTAAAATTAAAATAAATTATTTTAACTTTATCTATACGATGATAAACAGCAGCTCGCTTCGAAATTAGATCGGGCGTGGTGTACGGTAAACCAGTAATAGCGCCCGATTTCTGTCGACTTTGAGGTAAAATTGGCTATAAAAGTTTACGGATATCAATATCAGTCTTTTAAACATCACCTTAGGGTTTTATGTACCCCAAATCATTCAATTTTATGGGGCTTCTACCACTTTATTGGGGCTTCTACCCTTCTGTATGGGTATTCTCCAAAAAACGGGGGGCTTCTGGAATTTCCAGTCACCCCATGTAAACAAACACTGAAACAGAAACCAACGATTGCTTTCCGTTTGCGCAATTCATAAATAGGAACAAACAATCACAGAGTTAAATGTAATGTATATTGGATTTGACAAAACGCGTATTTAATATTTATGAAACGCGAACAAATCCAATCTCTAACAGGACAACCAAAATCAAGTAAGCTACGGTAAGTGGGTACGGTAGGAACTACTTGTTCGCATGAACATACGAAAGTAAGGTACAACAGTCAACACCAACAGCATTGTCTTTTTTTATTTATAGTATGCAGATAAACTAAAACACAAAAATACACTGTGAACTATCACTAATTGCACAATACTGTACATTAGTTAATTGACCAACTGACCAAGATTTTATTGAAATAATAAGTGGAGTGGCTCTTATTTTTTAATGACATGTAGTATTTCAGAACAATTTGTTAGCCCATGATGATGTGCTGCACTGCCTGCAGTAGCTCCAATAACTGAATTAAGAATCGGTTAAATACACAAAAATGATCAAAACCATGATTTTTTTTTTCTGGACTGCTCATTCTTTTCTTGCCATCAACTTTTTTTTGTTCATAGAAGTTTTAGAGTAACAGTGAACAAGGTTGAAAGTTTGTTTATTTTCAGTCCATATATACATCGTATTTTGGGTTGGTATATTGTCAGGATTATGTACTCTATATGCTCTAAGAGCCTCCATTTTAACTATTATTTTAAATTTCTGAACTTCAGGTATGAAAGAAGTATAGATTCAAATTAAAGGATGGATTCATCGGTAGATGATTTTGAGGTTGTTGATGCTACCAATGATGAACAGAAAGAAGAGGGATCCTCCGTGAAAAGTGAAGAACTCTGTGCAGGAGAAGAATTCAGACCCTCCTTACAACTCTCCTCATCAGGGGAAGAAAACCAAGCAACCAATGTGACTCTGTCTTTGAAAGATTTAGATCTAGCTGACTTTATTCTTGATGACTTGTCTCTGGATGGAAGTGATCGCGATTCTGAGTTTAGTTTTGTAGAAATGCCTAAGGCACCTGAAACAGAAGTAGAGCCGGCCATGGCCATGATGGGTGAAGATTTTGCAACTACACCAGCATCGTCAACATGGAGTCTGTTGGACTGTGATTTCATTTCCGACAGCGATGGAGAGCTTCCAGAATCAGAGGAAAGCAGTTCCTGTTTAGCCAGTGAGGAAGATGTAGAGATACACAAGCAAGGAGAAAAAGAAGTCCCACCGACAGACACAGGCAAGGCAAACAAAAAGAGAGAAAAGAAAAAACGGAGAAAACGAAGGACAAAAAGGGAGGAAAGCATGATAAAGCAACTTTTTGGTGAACTGAGTAAATGCCAAAATGAGGAGGAGGATAAACTGCCTGATTTTGTAGAGGCTGGGTCTGCTCCCTCTGAGTCAGATATACCAAGCCTGGTAGTCCTGTGCATGAGGAAGATCCATCTCTATCGGAAACGGAATCAGATAAAGAAATTCATAAAATCCTCAAACTTCCCTGTTGGAATGAGAAAAACCGTTTTGTCTTCCAATTTACAATATTCACTGACTAAATCTAATCTTTTATGGCTTCAACAGAATGTATCAGCATTTGAAAGCTTGATGACCAAGGAGATGAATAATGTGTACTCAAGAGACAATGACAAGTTGATGTTTTCATTTTGCATTTTAAGCAACCTTTGGAAGGAAATGGATAGTGCCAATTCGGTGTTAATTGAAGCATGTTTTGATAATGGAATAAATGATGCTTACTATTTCTTTGATAAGAGGGAATGTTATCTGGGTAAGTCAAACTATGTCTGAATTACATGCACAGCACATATGCTCCTTTTCAAACAAGCATAGATATTTACCAAAAAAAAGCACACCTGACTTCACAATTAAATATATATGTACATATACTGCATATTACAATTTTTGTGCTTTACACCAGTAAGTATTTTATTCACAGTTTATGCAACACTGATGACTTTTATGATGGAAAATACATCCAAGTATGTTGAAGATAAAGGATGCAATGGTAAAAAATTTTCAAGAGCCCAAGGAGTTTCTGGAAATTCTGGAAGCAAGCAGCTAGCAGTTGTACATCAATTTTTGAAATCAAGGTACATATGCATTATTTGAACAATGAATCCTTTGTTAATATGTATATTAATAAATAATATTAGTGTCATAATAAGATAAGGTAGATATATTCATATTTATGCATGTATCACTATTACTTTAATTAGTACATTTAGTGACCTTATATTACTAACTTTTATTCGATCCTGACATCTTTATTTCGCAATTTACCAGGGGTAAACTAGTTGGCGACGATTAATTTTCGCGATCAGGCCTTTTTCTATCTGTTGTAAATATACAGAGAGATTTTAAGTACCAGTTCTAGCAAGAAATATTCTCGATGACAAGGCTCTCGCAAACTTCGTGAAAATTTCTTGCAAGCAAATAAAAGTTGGTTTACAGTATATTAAATTTCATGTATATTTGTATATTAAAATGTGTTTAATGATGAGTGTAAAAGGAATTCATAAGTACTGGAATTTAGAAGTGTTACATGTACTATTTCTATTTGGATTACAGGTACCCTAAGATGACTGAGGTTTACTTCGACAAAAGTGTCCCCTATGTGTACTGGGCTTGCGGAAAGTATCGACAATCCCTGCTGGCTTTTGTCAAACTGTACAAAGAGGGATCACTGACTGGTAAAACATCAGTAAAATCTATGTCTCATGTTTTGCTTTAATTTGACAAATATTTTAAAAAAAAGAAAGGCATATGTATGAACTCCATGCTTTTCTGATTTTGCACTGAACGATCCCGAATGCCATTGCCAAATTAATAAGTTATTTTTAAAACCTTTTTAAAAAAAAATAATTTTATAGATGATGTTTATTGCAGTAACTGAAAGTAACATGCAGATAAGTTTTATTCCCTTTACTTGTTCAGGCACGTAGCATCGTTTTTGAAAGTGGGGGGGGGCCAACCAGAGAAATTTTTGGCTCTACAGTTTCGGTCTGATTTCAATATAACTTGGCACACAAATAGACTACAATAAGGTACATCATTTTATTTATCAGTTTTTGATTTCGATGAACGGTGTTGCCGTGGTTACTAAAAATAGAAATTTCTTTGAAATTCTTTCAAAATGCAATTCGTCCTACAGTTTTGGTCTGATTTCAATATAACTTGGCACACAAGTAGACTACACTAAGATACACAATTCTGCATATCAGTTTTTGACTTGGATGAATATTATTGCCTTGGTCACTAAAAATAGAAATTCCTGTTAAATACTCTCAAAATGCTACTCCAAATACCATTTTAGTTTGATTATGATATAATGTGGCATGCAAGTAGACTACACTAAGAACATTAAGAGACCTAATCAAGGATCATTATTCTATTTATTGCTGTTGTAAAGTTTCAATTCCCAACTGCTTAAGTATTTTTCTCTTCCTTTGCTATAAGTACAAACCAGTAGAGCTTCAGTCTCGACAGAGACTTCTGTTTTTTTTTTTTACTTTTTACAACCTGTAAAAGTTGACAGGCAAAACAAAAAAAAAATGAAATTGCCCAAACTCAAAAATCATATTTCCTTGAGTGTTTGAGGGGTAGTGGCCAACTGTTTTCAAGGCCAACTTCCTTCCACTTCCAATTTTTTTTTTGCGTACAATACTACATTTCCTTGATATCACTACACTGTGGTTAGAAGTGGGGGGGGGCAACCAACCTTTCAATGGAAATTTTCAATAGTAAAGGTAATGTTGGGAAAAAAGGGGGAGGGGCAGGCCCCCCTGTTGCTATGTGCCTGTTGTTTCAGTAATTTTGTTGGAAAAAAAATCATGAAAATTTTTTTTATCTTATATTTATTTATAGAGTTGTATATTTATATAAATACAATATCATATATAGATAAGGAAAAGCTATTCATCATTGGAGAAATAGGAAGAATGTATGCCATGAAATATGAGCCAGAAAAAGCCGTCAGAATGTATCGTCTTCTCGGGAATTGTCTTATACAGGCTAGGCCATCTGAGAGTGAGATGACGGAGTGCCAGACTTTAATGCTCATAGCAGACCTTCAAAATCAGGGGTATGTTTTGTAAAGTGCTTGTTTGGCTATCAGTTCAGAATTAAAATAAAATTCTAAAAAAAAAAATCACAGTAGTAAACATCTGTTAGATGAATGTATGCATCAACTGTATGATTTTTTAAGCCGAAGGCTCAAGTGAGCTTTTCTGATCAAAATTTGTCCGTCGTCTGTCGTCGTTGTTGTTGTTGTCGAAACTTTTCACATTTTCAGGCAAGAACCACTGGGCCGATTTCAACCAAACTTGGCACAAAGTATCCTTGGGTGAAGGGGATTCAAGTTTATTCAAATGAAGGGCCACGCCCCGAAGGGGAGATAATCATAAATTTGTTAAAAATTAATGGCATTTTTAAAAAATCTTCTTCTAGAGACAGGCAGAATCATGTGGAAGCATCCTCAGGTAGTGTACATTCAATTTTGTTCAAATCATGACCCCCGGGGGTAGGGTGTGGCCACAAAGGCCCATCAAAGTTTTACATATGAATATATAGGAAAAATCTTTAAAAAATCTTCTTCTCAAGAACCACTGGGCCAGGAAAGATGAAACTCATGTGGAATTGCCAGTGTATCAATCTCATGACCCCTTTGCCAAAATTGACCCTATTTTTACATAGGAATATATAGGAAAAATCTTTATATACACTAGGACAGGAAAGATGAAACTCATGTGGAATCATCCTCAGGTAAAGTAGATTCAAGTTTGTTCAAATCATGACCCCGGGGCAAGGGTGGGGCCAGAATGCAAAATAGTTTTACATAGGAATATATAGGAAAAATCTTTAAAAATCTTCTTCTCCAGAACCACTGGGCCAGGAAAGATGAAACTCATGTGGAAAAAAAGTAAATTCAAGTTTGTTAGTATTGGGGCCAAAATGACCCAAGTTTTACATAGGAATATATAGGAAAAATCTTTAAAAATCTTCTTCTCCAGAACCACTGGGCCAGGAAAGATGAAACTCATGTGGAATCATCCTCAGGTAGTGTAGATTCAAGTTTGTTTTTGCAAGGGTGGGGAAAATTTGAAGTTTTACATAGGAATATATAGGAAATATCTTTAAAAATCCTTCTGAATATCCACTGGGCCAGGAAAGATGAAACTCATGTGGAATCTTTAGTGTAGATTCAAGTAAAAATGTTCTCATGACTTTGCCAAAACATCAGTATTTTAGGGATATATAGGGAAACCTTTTAAATTTATCTTCTTTTCAAGTACTTCAAAGCTATGATTAGTGATATTTATATGGAAATGTAGTGTAGATTCTAGTTTGTTCAAATGATGAACGCCTGAAGCACAATCACAAAATTTTCAGGTAGCGCTGTGGCCCCTGGGCCTCTTTTTAAAACTGTAATTTAATTTTTAGTGTGTTGACTGAAAGCAAGGCAAGAAACTTTCTGTCATCTTGGAAAGCAGTATTGAGAGTTTGTCCCACCAGCCGGTGTTCAGATATTTACCTAGAGACAGCAGAATCACTACTGCGTTTACATTTAGGCCATCTACAGGGTAAGTAAACATGCGAGCTAATGCATTTTTTAGACAGAGACATTTTTGGGGGAGGATGTTTTTGCCACCGTATATCTATACCATTTGTTGCTATTTTCTAAAACATAAATTATATACAATTAGGTTAACAGCACTCAATATCTTATTAGTGGAAGTGAATGCAAAATAGAATGAGATTTCTTTTAAATTTCCTAAAAACAAAAAATAATTTGAAAAAAATAAAACATTATGTAGTATTTCTTACAAATGTGAGTATGATGGTTCACAATTGATCTTTAGCTGAAAGGTTAATTTGATTGCTCTAAAATAGGTTTTTGAATTGAAAATTTGAAGTAAAAATAAAAAAAAGAAACAGTTGCTGTCTGCTTTTTAGATGAAAATTGCTTGACTTTGAAATCAGTATTTTAATATAAGTTTTTAGCTCACGGCGTCGGCGTATGAAGTTGGGGGGAGCTTATGTGATACCCTCGGCGTCGGCGTCGGTGTCGACGTCGGCGTCCCAGGTTAAGGTTAAGTTTTTTGGAGCAGTTTTCTTTTTAAGTACTTCTATGTCCTATATTGATTAGACATGCATGGAAGATGTTTCTAATGTGTTTCATTGTACCAGTCAAAGTTTCAGATGCTGCAATTTCAGCAAAGGAATGACCAGGTTAATGTTTTTGGTGCAGGTTAACATTTTTGGTGCAGTTTTTGGTTAGGTCTCATTTCCAGTAACTATAAGCCCTATGTTGACCAAACTTACATGGATGGTACATCTTAGGATGCATATATACTTGCTTAAATCTGACCTACATTTTCCAGTTGAGTGAACAGGTTAAAGTTTTTGGTGCAGGTTTCATTTCGAAGATACTATGAGCCCTATAATGACCAAACTTGCATGGATGGTACATCTTAGGATGTATTCTATTAGACTTGCTTCGGATGCTGAATCTGACCTACATTTTCCGGTTGAGTGAACAGGTTAAAGTTTTTGGTGCAGGTTTCATTTCCAAGTTTCTATGAGACATATAATGACCAAACTTGCATGGATGGTACATCTTAGGATGCATACTACCAGTCTTGCTTCGGATGCTAAATTGACCTACATTTTCCATAGTAACAGGTTAAAGTTTTTGGTGCAGGTTTATTTCCAAGGTACTATGAACCCTATAATGACTAAACTTTCCTGGATGGTACATCTTAGGATGCATACTACCAGACTTGCTTCGGATGCTGAATCTGACCTACATATTCTGGACGAGTAAACAGGTTAAAGTTTATGGTGCAGGATTCATTTCCAAGTAACTTTGAGCCCTAGAATGACCAAACTTGCATGGATGGTACATCTAAGGGTGCATTCTACTAAGCTGGCTTCAGAAGCTGAATCTGACCTACATTTTCCGGATTAGTGAAAAGGTTAGTTTTTTTATACAGGTTTCATTTCCAAGTAACTCTGAGCTCTATGTTAAACAAACTTGCATGGATGATACATCTTAGGATGCACACTAATGGACTTGCTTCAGATGCTGAATTTGACATACATTTTTCAGATAATAGACCTCGTTAAAGTTATGGGTGCAGGTCTATCACCAAGAAACTATAAGGCTTATATAAACCAAAGTTGCACAAATGATGCATCGAGGGATGAAAACTCTCAATCTTGCTTCAGATGCTGGATTTTAATTACATTTTCATGATGAAGAACTAGTTCTAAGTTTTTATATAGGTCAATTCCAAAGTATCAAAATTGCACAAATTTTGCATTTTTGGATGCACACTTTTTGTTGGTTAATTGTGTGACTTTATTTGCCTTACTTAAAGACAACATTCGTTGAGGTGAGCTCTGTAATCTCTGATTACCTATGTTTCTTTTTGTAATGTAGATGGAAACCATTTGGAAATGGTGAAATGTATCTTAAGGGAATACAGCAAGCACAATCACAAAATTTTGTATCATCTGGCATTTTTGAATGCCATCATGGGGCACTCAAAATCTTCAGACATCAGCTATGGGGAATTCTTTAAATGGTAGTATTGATATTACTTGGTATTTGTAACCTATCTAAAGAGGGTTGATAAATTAACAACTTTTAACAATTTTAATTAAAAAAGTTTCAAAGAAATTTCATGTTTAATTCTCAATGTTTCAAATATTGACTTGATCTCTCAACTAAAAAGACATCCAGTAACTCTTAAGATATGTATATGAAAGGGTGCAGCCTAATTACCTTTTATTAACAGTTTTCAAGGACAAGACGCAGATATTGATGAAGAGGCTAAAAAATCTATACCTGGGATGCAGATGGTGGATATCCTTAGAGAGAGAAAGCTGGCCCTGGTGCACCAACATTATGACCCCCTACTGTTAGCCGTTCAGAACCCATTTGAGCCCTTGATCTCATTAGGTGGAGTTCCAGTTATGAAAGTGATATGGAGACGTCAATTTCATTATTCCTCGTACTATACGGATGATAAGTAAGTGATAGTTAAGTGTTCAAATTGATTGGCAGAGATTTGAATCGTACATATATACTGTAAATCACTTTTTGTTTGCAAGGACTTTTATTTTCGCGTAATCACCCAAGACAGAGTGCTCTCGAAAATTTCATTCTTGCACATGTAAGTATTCCTTAATTAAGATTACTGTAAATCACTTTTTATTCATGAGAACTTTATTTTGGTGTAATTACGCGAGACAGTGTTCTTGCGAAAATTTCACTCTTACATATATTATTATTTCTGTAGGTTATATAGAGCAATAACCACAATCTGTGAAAATGTTGTCTTGCTTATAAAGATTTAATGAATATCTTGCGAAAATAAGGTGTTGTCACAAATATAAATGATCTACTGTATATAGGGCAATAATCACTGTTCATTTAAATTTTGTCTCGCTAATTACAAGTTAATAATATCTTGCAAAAATAAGGTGTCATTGAAAATATATGTAAGTGATCTGCAGTTTATCTCTGATGGTGATAAATTAAGAGTGGGCTATAATTAGAGAGTTTTGTTTATATACATGCAATGAAACTGTGATCTAATTCTCAAGTGACAAAATGTGTCTTTTTTTCAAAAGACACTTGGACACTTAGGTCACTTTCCTATATTAGATAAAATTTTTAAAATCCATTTTTTTTTGCTGAAATAATTATTATTGCTAAAGCATTTAAATTTTTAATGCTCAGTTACAAAGTACTTCTTCCCAGGATTTAATTATTGTAAATCCTTTTTTATTTGCAAGAACTTTATTGTTGTGTAATTACTCAAGACTTTTTGCTCACGAAAATTTAATTCTTACATATATTAGTAATATTATAGATTATACAAAACTATGACAAAAATTCGTAAAAATGTCTCACTTAAAAATACCAAATTATAAGTCTGTGAACACATGTGTCCTGCAAAATAAGTGATCTTCAGTATTATATCTGTCAAAATTATTTAATTTGGTAAACATTATACTTCTTCAGAGGCTGTAGTGGATTTGACATTTCCAATCCTGATTTGAAGCTAAGAATGACCAAAGATGGCTTCATCACGGGGGACTGTTCTATGATATGTCCACCAATAGCAAACATTCTACTGAACCCACATACAGGGTAAGTTTCAATATAACATCCTAAACTTCAGAACTAAGTTTTAATTGATCAAATTGCAACAGGCAGCAGGTTATCTACTAATAGCAAACATTCTACTGGAACAACATACAGGATAAGTTTCAACATCATAACCTAAATTTTGAAACTTTTTCATTGTTCAGATTGCAACAGTAAGCAGGGCTCTTTCCTCCACACAAAGGAAAAATAAAGTTAGTCAAAGTACTCAGATTCTCAGGTTCTGAAAAACAGGTATCGACTAATTATAAAATGCTTGCAAAATGTCTCTGAATTCTTAAAGTAATGGGTTTTCACCCACGATAATTTTTCAAACTTCATCTAAGTTAATTTTATTATATAGGGAAAATTAGTAAAATCTGGAAGTGCAAATAAAACACCTACTATGCATTTTCCAATTCAAATTTGATTAACAATTTTTTTAATGAATTGAACCTAAGAAAATTATTCATATTTAGTGAGAGTCTGGGTGGGTATCAAAAAGGGGGTTAACAATCAACCTGCGATACTTTCCTCCAATGGAGCAAGTAATGAGGAGCAGCCTGGTATTACTCGGGACAGAACTTTACAGAACTTTCTGAAACATGAATAAAATTGCATGATACAGTAGTGGTTGACCTGCTGCCTCAGTTTTTTAGCTCACCTCAACGAAGTTGGGGGGAGCTTATGTGATACCCTTGGCGTCGGCGTCGGCGTCCCAGGTTAAGGTTAAGTTTTTTGGAGCAGTTTTCTTTTTAATTACTTCTGAGTCCTATATTGATTAGACATGCATGGAATATGGTTCTAGTGTGTTTCATTGTACCAGACAGAGTTTCAGATGCTGCAATTTCAGCAAAGGAATGACCAGGTTAATGTTTTTGGAGCAGGTTAACATTTTTGGTGTAGGTTTCATTTCCAAGTAACTATAAGCCCTATGTTGACCAAACTTGCATGGATGATACATCTAAGGATTCATACTACCAGGCTTGCTTTGGATGCTGAATCTGACCTACATTTTCCGGTTGAGTGAACAGGTAAAAGTTTTTGGTGCAGGTTTCATTTCCAAGGAAGTATGAGTTCTTTAATGACCAATCTTGCATAGATGATACATTTAAGGATGCATACTACCAGGCTTGCTTCGGATGCTGAATCTGACCTACTTTTTGTGGATGAGTGAAAATGTTAGTTTTTGATGCATGTTTCATTTCCAATAAACTATGTGCCCTATAATGAGCAAACTTGCATGGATGATACATCTAAGGATGCACACTGATGGACTTGCTTCGGATGCTGAAATCGACATACATTTTTCAGATAATAGACAAGGTAAAAGTTATGGTTGCAGGTCTATTTCCAAAAACTATAAGGCTTATATAACATTGTATAAACCAAACTTGCACAAATGCTGCATCAAGAGATGAAAACTCTCAAATTTGCTTCAGATGCTGGATTTTCATTATATTTTCATGAAGAAGAACTAGTTTAAATTTTTTATGTAGGTCTATTTCAAAGTATCAGATCAAAATTGCTTAAATTTTTCATTTTTGGAATGTATACTTTTTGTTGGTTAATTGTGTGACTTTGCCTTACTTAAAGACAACATTCATTGAGGTGAGCTCTGTAATCTCTGATTACCTATGTTTTGACAAGAAATCATAACATAATCATAATTAAACACATTCAAGAAATAAAAATCATTAGGTGTTATTTCAGGCTTTTATAGAAATTGCACAATATTTATACATATAAGGTAATATAGTCTCTTTATTCACTTTAATCATTTTACAATTCACTCATATAAATATAAAGATCATGTCAGTAAACATTGGTATCTGTGGTAAGATTTTAAAAATCCTCAATTTCTTTTAATATGTAATGTTAAAATACATTTAAGGGGTAAAAATTTCGACTACTTTAAAACCTTTCTGAGCACTTTAAAGACCCTTGAAGCACACTGAGAGGTATAAAATGAAAATTGTTGCATGAAAAAATTTTATTTTCATGCTCCATTTTGAAACTTTTTGAATTAAATGATAAATTGAAGAGTTATCCTTCTTGGCTGAGGAGCAAAGTACCTTAAGTATGATGTATACAGTGTATATCATTGAATAAAACTGATTGTCTACATTGCTGTATTAATTAAGAAATAAACAACACTGTTAAAAAGTTCTCTAGGAAATGAACTTTTAGTTGGTCACGAGATGAAATCCTGTAGATTTGATCACGTACCATCTAAAAGTTCATTTCCCAGAGAACCTTTTAACAGTGTTGTTTATTACTTATTTTTACATTTGAGACAAATAGATTTCGAGCAAAAACTACATTTATTACACGAACGGGCCACCGTAGCTATGTTGTGACGCGCAATGACCTACAAGTTGTTTGGTCTAAAAAGTTCACTTCTCTCCAACACTTGAATGTTTACATTCATGTTTAGCAGTCCAGTTCAGGAAATATCTGTATACATGTATAGTGAAAGAACAATGATCGCAGCTGAGAATAATCCAACTATTTCATAAGTTTGGTGGTATCACCTGTTTTGGTTTACATAACTTCAAAGGAAGTTCGGGTTAAAAAGGTATGTGCGGTTTTAGGCTAATTAGAGTATTCAAAAACTTATTCACATCAAGATCGCAGCTGAGAATAATCCAACTATTTCATAAGGCCACACCAATAAAAATTTTTGTTCGTCAGACCTGCAGGCTCGTATTTAAACAAAACCATACAAATAATATTGATTAAAATTTCCTAACCATAGGAATTCTGTGCTATTTTCTGTTCCATTTCTGCTGTATTTATTGTATTTTTAATCTTCTTACTCTGTAAATCAGAAAAAATATAATTGTCCGCTCAAATTTTTTCAAGCTCCGCCTAAAAAAATTGGCCAGAAAAAAGTAATAATATTATAATTTAACCGCTTGCCCGCTTGTACTTTTTTAAATCAAATGTCCGACAAACAAGAAATTAAATTGGTGTGGCCTAAGTTCGGTGGTATCGCCTGTTTTGGTTTACATAACTCCAAAGGAAGTTCGGGTTAAAAAGGTATGTGCGGTTTTAGGCTAATTAGAGTATTCAAAAACTTATTCATAACGAGATCGCAGCTGAGAATAATCCAACTATTTCATAAGGCCACACCAATAAAAATTCGTATTTAAACAAAACCATACAAATAATATTAATTAAAATTTCCTAACCATAGGAATTCTGTGCTATTTTCTGTTCCATTTCCGCTGTATTTATTGTATTTTTAATCTGCTTACTCTGTAAATCAGAAAAAATATAATTGTCCGCTCAAATTTTTTCAAGCTCCGTCTAAAAAAATTGGCCAGAAAAAAGCAATAATATTATAATTTAACCGCTTGCCCGCTTGTACTTTTTAAAATCAAATGTCCGACAAACAAGAAATTAAATTGGTGTGGCCTAAGTTCGGTGGTATCGCCTGTTTTGGTTTACATAACTCCAAAGGAAGTTCGGGTTAAAAAGGTATGTGCGGTTTTAGGCTAATTAGAGTATTCAAAAACTTATTCACATCAAAAGAAGATTTATTGTACATCTTGTGATTATAAAATATCCATATTATTTATCATTTCATCATTATTAACCTAGAAGTGTTCCAAAACAAGTTGCACCGTGACAGAAATATTTAGACAAAATATCACCTCGCTATGAGATTCGGTGTCGCTATGACCTCTGACCTCAAATAACATTCACACAGAATTGAACATATTTTCTCTTCAATAGGTTCATCTAGGAAAGAATAATGCAAATGTAAATATTGTAAATTAATATATATTTATATGAATGTATAGATGCTTGACCTGTAAATCTGATTCTTCTGGATTCAATGCTTGGAAGATGTTTCCCTTTAAAACATCAGAAGAATATTATTGTGGTAAGATTCTTTATGTTTAGTCTTTTTAGGTCACCTGAGTAAACAAGATGATACCTATGTAGGAATATTTTTATAATACTTTAAAAGTTCAATGACATTCCTTTATTTTTATTTGTAACATCATTACAAATGTGGTACTTGAAAGGTCTTTTTTCATCACCAGTTTCAAATTTGGCAGGAATAGCACCCATCTTAAGGGGTAAAATTTCAAATTTCTGCACTGAATTTTTTGAGTTCCATTTCAACAATAGGCAATAATACCCAAGATATGCAATTTCAATTTTTTTCAGATATGATAATTACCAGAATTCCTTGTTGAAGTAGATTGACCTCATTCCTATATTATATACACAGTCACATTTTTTTCATATAGGTACATGTAATATAAAATACATACCAGTATATTATATATTATAGTACATGTTATATTTATTTGATATAACAATCTCTACAGCTACAATTGATTTCATACAAGTGGTAATTTCTTTTCTAGGTAAAGCCTCACTCACACACTTCTCACCTTTTATGTGCTGACATTTATCATTTATATATGAAATTATGAATTCTTTAAAAATTGTATTTAACTTTGTATTAATTTTATAAACTAATGAAGTGCATAGTTATTCAATTTGCTCTTAAAGGAAATTATGGCACAATTGAAAATGATTTGTTAACTTAATTCTTTAATTCTATCTCTGATATGCATGTAAGAAGTAGAAACTTATAGTGCAAGTTATGAAGAAAACCTCTACCACTTCATGAAATAAATTTTAACTAAATCCAGGGTGAGGGGTTCTGTATAACAAATTTATATTGAAATTACATGAAGTTAATTCATTTTTTAACATTTTTAACTAACATAAGTCCTTTGTTCTGATAAGCAGAGTGTTACACAAAAAATTGTAGTTGGACCACTCCACTTAATTGTTTAGCTTAAATATATATAAAATACATATTCTTGAGAAAATCTTCTTCTCTGCTTTGGGTATTAAATAAACAAATGATAAGTGCATAGTTAACAAAGAGCAAGAGTTCTTAAAAATTGTTAAAAAAATGATAGGGTGGGGCTTTATTAATTATACAATAAAAATACACTAAATCTTTGAAAGTTTTCTTCTCTATCCTTTATTAAAAGATGTAACTACCTTTGATTGCACTTATGAAAAGGGTTAATATACCAGAATGTATTTAAGGCCCCATTTTCAGGGTTATCCTTAAATTTTGAAAATGCAACTTATAGAATTAAACTAAAATTGTTTGAAATCTTTGTATTATTGTTTATAATTATCATATATTTTTGAAAAGCTGGTGCCTGTTAAAATTGTGCAATGTGTGGTCTGCAAAGGGTAATTTTGTGTGAAGGGCATTGATGGGCTTAACTATTTGATTACTTTTGCATTTTTTTAACCCCTTTATGGGTATTCAGTAAACAAACTAAGCAACTGCTAAATAATTGTTATGATGATCAATGGTGCCTATTCCACAAATTGTGAATTTAGCATTTGATTAAAAATGAATCAAATTGCAATCACTAAAAGTTTTGCATAATGCTCAGGTGACCTATAAGCCCATGGGCCTCTTGTTTGTTTAGCGCTTCGTAATCTTTGATTATACCTATGTTTAATATTTTTATAATACTTTAACATTCAACAGAGGACTTATGCACTCATTTACCAAATGTGGTGGAAATTTTTCATCACCAAGGCAATGATGCATGAAATAAAGATACCGAGAATCACTGATTTCAAATATGAAAAGGCTTATTTTGGCGGAAATAGCCAACTTAAAACTGACCAAGTGATCAATGTACACTGGAGTGGACCTGGAAACCAAAGGGCCAAATTCAGCCTGGTCCAAAAATTGAAGGACTATATGTATCAAGTAGGTCTTAAATTATGTTTTTCACTAATTTATTTTTTTGTTCTAAAAGCCAACTAGTTAGAAACAGTTTTATTTGCTTTTCCAGAAAGTAGTGGCTGAAATACCTGCCCATGTGATTGATGGTGTAGAGCTTAATAGAGAAGTGACTAGTCTTGTAGAGAAGTGGTACAAACAGGGACGGGCAATAACCAGTAATGTAAGTACTATGTGGTACCAGTAATGTAAGTACATAGAGAAGTTGTACTAGTAATGTAAGTACATAGAAATGTGGTACCAGTAATGTAAGTACATAGAGAAATGGTACAGGGGCAGGTTATAACCAGTAATGTAAGTACATACAGAAGTGGTACCAGTAATGTAAGTACATAGAGAAATGACTAGTCTTGTAGAGAAGTGGTACAAACAGGGACAGGATATAACCAGTAATGTAAGTACATAGAGAAGTGGTACCAGTAATGTAAGTACATAGAGAAGTGGTACAAATAGGGGCGGTTTATAACCAGTAATGTATTAAGTACATGTTGTTGTACCAGTTCAGTGTATATACATATTTGGGAGTTCTAAGAATATCAGAGAAGCAATCAGTAATGTATTAGGCCATATTTAAAAAAAATGTTTGTTTGCCCTTTCTCAACTGACTGATTTAAAATGGCCTTACTTGAAAACTTTTTTAACATCCAGGAAACAATAAATCTCTCACCTATTTTATTCTTGAATTTTTCTCATTTGGTCAACATGCATAAAAAATTTCCAACCTACCTATTGACTTTTTAGCTCACTTCAATGAAGTTGGGGGAGCTTATGTAATACCCTCGATGTTGGCGTCCCTGGTTAAGGTCAAGTTTTTTTGAGCAGTTTTCTTTTTAAGTACTTCTATGTCCTATATTGATTAGACATGCATGGAAGATGTTTCTAGTGTGTTTCATTGTACCAGTCAAAGTTTCAGATGCTGCAATTTCAGCAAAGGAATGACCAGGTTAATGTTTTTGGAGCAGGTTAACATTTTTGGTGCAGTTTTTGGTGTAGGTCTCATTTCCAAGTAACTATAAGCCCTATGTTGACCAATCTTGCTGGATGGTACATCTTAGGATGCACACTACCAGGCTTGCTTCGGATGCTGAATCTGACCTACATTTTCTGCATGAGTGAACAGGTTTATGTTTTCGGTGCAGGTTTCATTTCAAAGATACTATGAGCCCTTTAGTGACCAAATTTGCATGGATGATACATCTTAGGATGCATACTACAGACTTGCTTTAGATGCTGAATCTGATCTACATTTTCTGGACGAGTAAACAGGTTAAAGTTTTTGGTGCAGGATTCATTTCCCAAGTAATGAGCCTTATAATGACCAAACTTGCATGGATGGTACATCTTAAAATGCATTCTACCAGACTGGCTTTGGATGCTGAATCTGACCTACATTTTCTGGATTAGTGAAAAGGTTAGTTTTTTTTATATAGGTTTCATTTCCAAGTAATTTTGAGCTCTATGTTGAGCAAACTTGCATGGATGATACATCTTAGGATGCACACTAATGGACTTGCTTCAGATGCTGAATTCGACATACATAATGGACCTGGTAAAAGTTATGGGTGCAGGTCTATTACCAAGAAACTATAAGGCTTCTATAAACCAAACTTGCACTAATGATGGATCAAGGGATGAAAACTCTCAAACTTGCTTCAGATGCTGGATTTTAATTACGTTTTCATGATGAAGAACTAGTTTGAAGTTTTATATAGGTTTATTCCAAAGTATCAAATCAAAATTGCATAAATTTTGCATTTTTGGATGTACACTTTTTGTTGGTTAATTGTGTGACTTTGCCTTACTTAAAGACAACATTCATTGAGGTGAGCTCTGTAATCTCTGATTATATACCTATGCTTTTAAAATCCAAAGTCGTAAGAGGGCAAGCAAACATAATTTTAAAGATGGCCTTAGTACTGTAAATCACTTTTTATTAATGTATTAAGTACTGTATGAAGTATTGTACCAGTTGTGAAAATTATATCGCATATAATAGAATTCCTTAAGATTATATAGAGCAATGACCACAATTCGTGAAAATTTTGTCTCGCTTATAAAGAGTCAATGACTATCTTGCGAAAACAAGGTGTCGCAAAAATGAAGTGATCTGCAGTACTTTAGTACAGAAACATTGTATATGTGTATTCCCAAATTTAAAAAAAAAAATAAAACTTGTACATCTTTTTAAGATTTATATGATCGTGTTTTTGTTTTGGGGTACCTTAATTACTTATTCCAGATTTCAAGAAAGGTTGTTTAACTTTCTCAAATCCTTAATGATCATCATGAATTTATTATCAGTATTTTATTTGAATATGTTTTTTTGATGGTGTATTATTATACCTGTAAATTGCAGGTTGTAAATATAGCCGTTTCCGCTGTTAAAGAAATGTTGGCAGACAAAAGAAAAAAGAAACATAAAGCTAAAGGATATAAACCGTGTGAATTCAAGATGAGGTTTATATCTCAGCCTCAAAGGATTGAATCCAGTGCAGTGTTGCTCAGCATTCAAGTTTCAGGGAAATATTTTTACGTGGTAAGGCTACCAGGAGGATATTTATATATGAGAAGAAAAAACAAGTTTTTCTCTAGAAAAAAAATTGTCAAATTTAATGACTGTAAACAACTATTATTTGCATCATCTTTTTTCTGCAATTCGTTAGTTTGAATTCAATCCAAGATGATTAATTTATGAAACTCCCGGATATTAATTGCATGCTAAATTGTGTTTTTACTGATGAAAAGACTTTAAAACTTATCCAGTATAATGAATTGCTTATATTTTTGTTCCAAAAAAAGTAATACAAGATTAATTATAGTCCTTTAATCTGGTCAATCCATGGATACTGTAGACATACTTTTTTCCACGGGGTCATAACTCTGCGGAATCTCTATTTCTGTTTAATCCGCTGGTAGAAAATTATGCGGATATCGTAAGACTCTCTACATATATACCTTATATTAATATATAAATTTCCTTGGAAACTTCGTGGCCGCGTACATAGCGTAAATTAATACCATGCAGAAAAAAGTACTTCTACAATATATTGATTTCACAGAAAAGTGTATGACTTCTACTAGTGTGCAGTTTATGTGCTTTATTCATGTCCTATACTCTCATGTTTAGGTCAGCGTTTGAAATTTCAAACAGCAAGATACAATTTGAAATTGTCAATAAAAAAGAATTGTTTTCTTTTTTGTTCACAGATAATAAAATGCCAAGACAGAGATAGTTTCATAAATCCAGTCATATTTCAAGCATTTCAAGATGACATCGCATTTACTTTCTCCAGATCACCATATTTTTGTATGAAGAGGCCTGATTGGTAGGTTCAGGTGACAGTGTTTTGGAGGAAAACAAATTGCAGGAAATCATTATCTTTATTCATTCAACATTAAGATAATTTTATTCATATTCTGCGGAGTATAAATTTATATAAATTTTACATCATACAAGTACATTATTAGTTATCCAGGTCCAATCAAGGGTGTACGGGGATTTACCACGGGTTGTATGGAATACATGGGTTGTATGGAATACAACCAGGCAGAGGTAAATCCCCGTACACCCTTGATTGGACTTGGATAATGAATTTATTTCCTATGTACCCCTAAAAATTCTTTGTAAACATCAGAGTCTAATCAATCTATCGATAAGATAACTACAAACTACAATGCATTGTGACGTCATGTTATTTGCTTTTTATCATAGAGAAACTTTGCATTGTGACGTCACATTTTTTTACCCCCGGCTGAAGTTGGGTGTACGGAAATTTACAAAGGACTTTGTAACCAATCACAGCTCATGTTACAAGCTAGATAGGAAATAAATACATTTATTGTTAAATGATCAATTTATGCAATTTAGAATCTTTGCAATTTGATTACTGAAAAGTAACATTAAAGTTTATGAGATTTTGACTCAACCATTGCATTTAAAATGTGCAATATCATAGTTTTGGGGTGTTATATATTTTGTAATAATTTGTTTGCCTGTGATTTAGTCTGAACCACAAAATCTTACAAATATTATACAACCACATAAATTACCTGTCACTAGTATATTTTGTAATTTTTTTTTGTCTGTGATTTAGTCTGAACCACAAAATCCTACAAATATTATACAACCACAAAAATTACCTGTCACTAGTACTGTATATGACCGAAAAGAATTCTAGAAAGTCTGTAAATCAAGAAATAAAATTTTACCATTGAATGAAAGTTAAGTAATTTGATATAAATATATTGAAATCAAACATATTTGTTGCTAGGAATACAATTTACGACATTGAAGGACATGTAGTACGGAAAACTAACCTACGTCTTCACCTCTCCTGCCTCAACATGACAATTATTGAAAGCAATTTTATCTTCTTCCATCAGAAAAGGTTGTATCATCATTTATGTTGCAGGCTATAAAATACAAATCGTATAAAATGAGAATTATTATGAAACTTATAAAATAAGAAGGAATTTAATTGTAGAAAATTGGGAAGTGCACTGGGAAAATAACCTATAGGGAAAGATTTTAATTCAATTGTTTAATTTCCATTTATAATTATTTATATTGCATGATATGCCTCTTACCATGAAAATGATGAATAATTTGTTGTTTTTATTATAAGGCTGGGTCTTCTTGACATAAATGATGGAGATACCAAATACTTTGATGATTTCATGGAGTGTGAATTTGTTGGTGTACAACTGGACATTTTAATTTTAACAAATGAATATGGAATCAAGTTTGCAGATGGAAGGAAGAAGTGTTTAAAACCCCTGACAATTCTACTTGACAGTTCAATATTGCAAAGGTTTGTTTCATTAAGGACAGAGAAGCACCTTGGAAATAAATTCATTTAATCAATGTGTAATCAATGTTTAAATGAACAAGAAAAGGTATCCTTGAATTGTTTAGATTTACATGATAAGCACTGGTTACTCCAAAGTAATGCAATAAAAAGTTAGATGTACTGGGCATCAGCACAATTGTATTGTGACTCAAAAGAAGCAGGCTATGGTTACAGGGAACATTTTTTTGGTTTGCTGTTTCATGTGTATTAAAAAATTTGCACATATTAGGTTGTTAAAAAAAGAATTTTGAAAAAGAAATACTCATGTTTCATTTGCATTGCAGTGGCCTCCCCTTTAAGATTAGTGAAAATCGGGAACAATTAAATGGAAATTTTTCTCATGTCGAAGTACTCGCAGAGGAACTTGAAGAAACTGGCGCCTTTGCTGTTAACAACTGTGTCGTTCTGTTCACAGTGAACACCTCACAAGACAGGTCAGCCTTGTACTTAATTAAATTTAAAAAACGTATTTATCACCAAAATGGAAAAGTACTGGGCAGTAGGTAAAAATGCACATCTTTAAGTCCTTTCCTTTTGTTATATACTCAGAGTACTTGGAAAAATCTGTCAGGAATTGAAGAATTTGTAATAATTTTATCTCTGTATTACATTGTTCCTGATTTTTTTAGTTTTAGGGAGATAAACATAATAAAAGTCTTAGAACTGCCAGGATTGCCAATGAGGCTAAAATTTCTTCACAAGTCACGTAAGTAAACAAACAATAGATTGAACACTACACATTTATACTTTTAGATGTAAAGTTAATTTGAAATTGTAAAAGGGGGACAACTCATATATATTACAGTTGGCTTCCTGGTCACATGGACTCAACATTCAAAGAAGGACAAAGAACACAAATACAGAGAACACCTGTTTCAGTACAGTTACACTGGTCAGTTACTGGCTGTGCTCCCCTTTCTGGGTCAGTTACAGTCCTCCCTGTGTGTGGAGTACCTAGAGGAAGATAAAGAAATAACAAAAACATATCAATCATGTGGACATAAGGGATGGTACTTATATTTACAAGATGGCAGACAGGGAGTCATGTGTGTCAGGCTTGTCCAGGAGAGAGTGTAATAAAGATGTGTTCAGAGAGAGAGAGCGAGAGAGAATGGAGTGATGGACATTTAAACATATACAAATTTAATATATAGTTGTTAGATAGAGTTTCACTTATGTGAGAAAGCTCAAGATGCTAAGGTAAACTTAGATCAATAGTTTTGTGTAAGGGTATTACATTTAATATGAATGTTTTCTGAAACATTCATTTTACCTTAAAGAGTTTTGTAATTTAGGTATGGAGATTTTGATTTTCTCTATGCTAGATGGTTTTTTCAATCCAGTTTTGGATATCTGTGATACTATTTTATTTTTTGATTTATTTAGCTCACCTGAACCCAAGGCTCAAGTGATGATTGCCGATTAATAACATGTCTCAAATGTCTGAAATTATTTTCACATTTTTTCTCCAGGAAATACTGATTCAGTGTGTCACAAAGCAATTCTTGAGGAATGAATTTTCATATTTGTACAAATGGAGAGTCACACCATTTTCAAGGGAAGTTACTCAAAAAAATATTGAAAAGGGTGGGGCACTTCAAGATCTCGTCAAGAATCAGTAAGCCAGAAAAAATAGGTATTGTATTACAGCTTCTTTGAAAAGTTAACATGATCTCAGGTCATGATATGGGGTCAAGGGTAGAAATAAATATCTTAAAAAATCATCTCTAAAAGAACAGCAGGACCATGATTAATTCACAGTGACATAAGCATGTTAGGATATTTATAAGTACAGTTTGAAGTTCAAAATTTCAAATAATGATCATCTAGGCAGAGAGAGGTAAAAATTTACAAAAGTAACAAGCGTTTAGAAAAAAGGTGCGGAAAACCAAGTAGGACAGACTGACAGACAGACGGGGACAGACAGATAGTCCATAGTCTATCATACTGAAAGAAAAGCATCTTCATGTAGAGATTCAAGAACAAATTATATGGAAAATGAGGTACTAAAATTATTTTTAAAAGCAAGAATGACAAAGACCACATTTTGTTATAAAATATAAACTAACCAAATAATAGGCTTGTGCCCACGATACAAGACTTCACTTTTAAGTCTGTGAATGCTGTATGTTATGATGGAAATCAGAAATTTAATTTGAAATTTCTGTGGGAGGCTTTATTTACGTGTATTTAAATTTCAAAAGAGGTTTGCGTCAGGTGTACATTGTTGCCCATGGGCCTCTTAATGGTATATTTGTATACTGTTAAGACTTGAAAACCTCATTTCTTCCCATATGCTCTGTGATATATTTTTTTTTATTAAAAGTACATGTATTTTTATTAAATTCATTAATTTGTTCTTCATTTGTATGCCATTGAGTGACATATTCTTTTTTTCTTTCAATTTAATCCATCCATGATCAAAATGTGCATCAAAACTCTGATAGTTTGTGCATTGTTAGCTGTAATCTCGGTGAGATGGGTAGAGACTGAAAATTTGGTCTGACGTTAGACCAAATTTTCAGTCTTTACCTATCTCGCTGAGATTATGTAAGCTGTAGTAGATCTAAATTGTATCAAGCAGATAAATAGACCCGAGGACTGCAATGCTTACATTATCTGACAGGAGCACGAGCACGATTGAAGTCTGTGATATTTATTATGCTCATAATGTAATCCTAGAGCCTTTGACAAAGATACTTGTAAAATAAATTATTGTTTGTCCCTTTATTCTAATATGAAAACTATTAGAGGGGGATTGCAAGCAAGCAATTTAATTAAAACCAGACTTCTTAGATCCACGTATTCACTCTACGAAAGTGCCAAATTTATATCTGCTCTGCTTATGCATGCACCTTTATATAAAAAGTATTCAAGTTTATTGCAAAATTCAGTGTAATATAAAAAAAATATACCAAGCCAGGTGAATTTTATTGGGAAAAACAAAATGATAAAAAAACACAGAAAAGTCACTTAAGCTGAATTTTACCATTTTGCTTTTCATCACAAAATTCCTCTTACTTGGTATGATTTTCTTAAGTTTTTATTACACTTTTAGCACCAAGCTAACATATTCTGAAGTTTGTTTTCATCTGTAAACCTTTACTGAGTTTGATTTGTCCACATTTGTAATTTATTGAAGTATTAACTATAATTTGTTCCAAGTCTTTTTCATTTTCCAAATCTAAGGAGAAAAAATTCAAACAATTATTCACTTTTCTAAACCATCGGCATGATATTGTCTCCTCCAAAGAAAAAAAATGTTTGTATCATCTGTCCTTAAATTCAAGTTCAAATACACTAGAAGTGAATTTCAGTGGAACCTTCTGAACAACTATCTGGTATTAGTTTCTTTGACCCTCCCCTAATTGACGTTGGGAATAGTTGTTATTGGCATATATTAATTCTTGAAGGCAGCTGAGGTTTCAATGTGGAAAACGGAATACATATCGATAATTGAAATATCTAATCTAGGACTGATGCTACTTTTGGAAACACTCGACTTCATAATCTCCTTAACAATGTCATTTTCCATGAGCCATTCTAAATTTAGAATCCGAATCTATCAAAGTTATTGCCTTGCATTCACTCTTTTCATCTGTCTATGGGTTTCGGACAATATTTTACGTATTTTGTGGTTAACCAGAATTTTTTTTTACCTTCTTTGCGTTATAAAGGTAATTCATTGGTATTTGGTAATCCCTAAGAAAATGGCGGGAATCAGATACAGAAAGTATAAATATATCATCCGGCAAGAGTTTCTTAGTTTGTTTGGAAATGGCATCCTATCTTCAATTAACAAGTCTCTACTGTGTTTTATTTAACATTCTAGGGTTTGGTAAGTACTAGCTGACTTATTCTGCCCTATTTTTACTTTGCTAATCATTTTTCATTTGTAAATATTTTCTTAAAAGTGGAAAGAGAAAATAACTTAATATTCCATTATTTATTTCCATTGACAGGGTATGTACAATTTCAGTAAGATTTGAATAAGTCTGAACAAAGTTATTCATTTTTAGCTCACCTCAACGAAGTTGGGGGGAGCTTATGTGATACCCTCGGCGTCGGCGTCGGTGTCGGCGTCGGCGTCCCAGGTTAAGGTTAAGTTTTTTGGAGCAGTTTTCTTTTTAATTACTTCTGTGTCCTATACTGATTAGACATGCATGGAAAATGGTTTTAGTGTGTTTTATTGTACCAGACAAAGTTTCAGATGCTGCAATTTCAGCAAAGGAATTACCAGGTTAATGTTTTTGGAGCAGGTTAACATTTTTGGTGCAGTTTTTGGTGTGGGTTTCATTTCCAAGTAACTATCAGGCCTATGTTGACCAAACTTGCATGGATGATACATCTAAGGATGCATACTACCGGGATTGCTTCGGATGCTGAAACCCACATTTTCCGGTTGAGTGAACAGGTTAAAGTTTTTGGTGTAGGTTTCATTTCCAAGTAACTATAAGCCCTATGTTGACCAAACTTGCATGGATGATACATCTAAGGATGCATACTACCGGGCTTGCTTCAGATGCTGAATCTGACCTACATTTTCCGGTTGAGTGAACAGGTTAAAGTTTTTGGTGTAGGTTTATTTCCAAGTAACTATAAGCCCTATGTTGACCAAACTTGCATGGATGATTTAAGGATGCATACTACCGGGCCTGCTTCGGATGCTGAATCTGACCTACATTTTCCGGTTGAGTGAACAGGTTAAAGTTTTTGGTGCAGGTTTCATTTCCAAGTAACTATAAGCCCTATGTTGACCAAACTTGCATGGATGATACATCTAAGGATGCATAAATTGCTTCGGATGCTGAATCTGACCTACAATTTCCGGTTGAGTGAACAGGTTAAAGTTTTTGGTGCAGGTTTCATTTGCAAGTAACTTTAAGCCCTATGTTGACCAAACTTGCATGGATGATATAAGGATGCACACTACCAGGCTTGCTTCGGATGCTGAATCTGACCTACATTTTCCGGTTGAGTGAATGGTTAAAATTTTTTGGTGCAGGTTTCATTTCCAAGGAACTATGAGTTCTTTAATGACCAGTCTTGCATAGATGATACATCTAAGGATGCATACTTCCAGGCTTGCTTCGGAAGCTGAATCTGACCTACTTTTTGTGGATGAGTGAAAATGTTAGTTTTAATGCATGTTTCATTTCCAATAAACTATGAGCCCTATAATGAGCAAACTTGCATGGATGATACATCTAAGGATGCACACTAATGGACTTGCTTCGGATGCTGAATTGGACATACATTTTTCAGATAATAGACAAGGTAAAAGTTATGGTTGCAGGTCTATTACCAAAAACTATAAGGCTTATATAACATTGTATAAACCAAACTTTCACAAATGCTGCATCAAGAGATGAAAACTCTCAAATTTGCTTCAGATGCTGGATTTTCATTACATTTTCATGAAGAAGAAGTAGTTTAAATTTTTTATGTAGGTCTATTTCAAAGTATCAGATCAAAATTGCTTTTAAAAATATTTTCATTTTTGGAATGTATACTTTTTGTTGGTTAATTGTGTGACTTTGCCTTACTTAAAGACAACATTCGTTGAGGTGAGCTCTGTAATCTCTGATTACCTATGTTTCATAAAAGTATTGAGAATTAAAAGTAGTCACAAGAGGAATGGTGATTTTATTTCCTTTCTTAAGGTATACCTTTACTCAGATGACTAAAAATTCCACTGATAAGACCGAAAAACCATCTATTGCACATTGTACACATATGATTTTTGTGTTAAATTTCAATTTCAAATAACTAGGTCAATGACCTCGTTTTCATTTTAGGGGCCCCTGAGTATTTCTCGGGAAATACCTCAATTTTTCACACTATGACCATTTTATTCTTCACTCACAAAATATTACAAGCAACAAAACTCTTTAAATAATGAAATTTTACAGCAGTGGAACAGAGTTGCTCCATATAAAAAAATGAGTAGAGATTGGGCCATAAATGTAATAATTATTACAGTCCGAATTTCCTCTGTCATATTCATATTTTTTCCCTATTTTCAATGAAATATTGCAAAAATCTGACTTATAAGAACTCTAGATTATTTATAGCATAAGGTTACCTTTGTTACCCTCATTCTCAAGTTATCAATATTATATGGGGTCAATGATCAAATTATAGAGATATGTTGACTGCAGAGGATTTTGTACATGTTTTTGAATTTCTTTAGTTCATAGCATTCATTTATTTGAAATAACTTATGAGCTTAAACACATACAAAATTTGCAAAATGATGTCTTAAAAGACATGTAACCTTTACTTTGTGATTAATATTGCAAGAAATAAAAATTTCGACAAAAATGAAAAATTAAAAATTTAGTCCGAATTTCCTCTGCGTAGCCATACATTGAGTTTTGTTCCTGTATATTTTCTTCAAGTACTTACAAATTAAATTTATAAATTGATATTGAGATAAAACTGAGTTATTTTATCCATTTAGGACAATTTTTGATTTAATATATTATACTTTATAAAATTTCCTCTCTGATTTCTGAAACCTGAGTAAACGTCATCCTTAAATTAATACTTCCAGTGAGAAGTTTAATAATTTACAAGCAAGGTTGTGAGGAATAATGGTATACATGCTCTTTCTATAGCATTTTTATAACCTTTTCGCATTCTTTAAATATCATAACTTCAAACTTTTGATTAAAATAAGTTAATTATGATTCGAAGGAACAGCGAAAGTATTTTTATTACCTTTTGTTAGGCCATGGAAAGTCGATTTCTGTCTTGCATCCAAATCGTCTGATCATAGGCGGAAATGACGCAAAGAGATATACGTGGCCTTGGCAAGCTGGGCTTCTGATAGCAGACAACTTTATATGTGGCGGCACTCTAATAGAATATGATGTCGTACTTACTGCTGCTCATTGTCTGTTGGGGAGAAGGTTGGTTAAGAATATTTAAAGAACCCTTTCGTCCAAATTATTTCGAGAATATTTGATAAATTCAATGTTTTCCTTTAAAATAATACTTGTTTTTCAGTATTGATGCCTATAAAGTGGTGGTTGGAGAGTATGACAGGTCAATCGCTGAAGGTGCAGAACAATTCATACAAGTTTCCGGATTTCAAGTTGTAAGTTTCATTCTTTGAATATTTAAGAATAAATTGCATTTAGGATATATGCTACTAAAAGTGAGAAGCATGGATTGGTTTTCTTCTTTTGGACTATTTTAGTTTAATAAGCAGACCCTATCAAATCTCTTAAAATTTAGAAATTAAAGACTTTTTTAGATGGTCAGTTTTGTCCCTTTTTGCCTTCATAGGCCTATTTTAAATGCATAAAATGAAAAAAAAAGTTATGCAGGTATTAACTTACTGTAAAAGTACTTTTTTCCGCGTGGTATTAACTTACGCTATGTACGCGGCCACAAATTTTCGCGGAAATTTGTCCAAGCGTACTTAATATAAATGTAAGGCATAAAGTGACAGTCTAAGAAATCGCGTAATTTTCTACCTGCGGATTAAACGGAAATCGAGATTCCGCGGAAAAAGTACTTCTACAGTATATATTTTTCAAGAATAAACATAAAAAATCATTTGTTCTTTTTCATTATTCAGAAAAAATATATCATATGAGTCTTAAAGAAGATAAAGAGAAAAATAAGAAACGTACATTATTAGTGACAAATAAAATTTGGACAAAATTATCACAATTTTTTTCCTTCATTCAACAGCATCCAGATTTCAAAGGGAACTTTCTCGGTGGATTTGATGTGGCATTGTTGTATTTAGCGAGGAACGCTAGTAATAGCAGAAACGTTAAGACCATTAGGTTAGCGGAAGAGGGAGACATGGAAACATCCAAGATGTCGAAATATAAGTGTTTTATTACAGGATGGGGAGTCAAAAGTGTAGGTAAGATATCATTTTTATGAGGGTTTTAAAGTGTGGGTAAACGCTTGTTTAAAGAAACCCATTATTTGGGAAAAGATCATTTCGTTTCACAGTACTTCCTAATGAGAAAAAATTGTGCTCCTTGTAATGGCTTTCATATTCTTAACTTCATGACCCAGTTTAATCAACTTTTCAAATAGTCTTTTGATCAGAGTACTGTAAGGATGATATATACCTTTAAATATAGACAACAATTTGTTAAATTGCATTTCCAACGACTAAAACATGGTTGTATTGCAAAACTTGTTCCAACTTCATTCTGAAGTAAACAAAACAAAGGTTCATATATTTGTAAAACAAATAAGTTATATCTGAAATATTTTCTTTACATACGTATTTTTTCTTAGATCAAAAAGGAGAATTACTGGCAAATAAACTTCAAGAAGCAGATATTGAAGTCATTAGCATCAAGAAATGCAACTCGAAGCGCTACTGGAATGGGCTTGTGAAAGACACCAATATATGTGCATTTTACAAGAACACTGCAGCGTGCGAGGTAAATTTTGTCCTCTTTCTTTTCTGCACTTAGATGGATACATGGATGGTTAGCCAAATTTTAGATAAGTGGGATAAGCTCAATTTAACATTTGTTAATGTTCGGTTCTGAAAATATAAAGAATATTTTACCAAAGCTAACTAAAGATCATGACGTTAATCGTATTTACGTCAATGAAGCATAAACTACGCCTATAAAGCGTACATTGTATTTTAAGATGGAGAAGTTTTTGACTTTTTGCAAGAGCAAAAATTTTATTTGAATCAAATATAGTTTTTAAAATGATTTTTAAGCTATGGTTATCAACTCTGAGCTTAAATTCAAAAATGCTGATGAATAGCTTAATTACATCAGTTTAACATTGCTTGTGAATAAATCGCTTTTGTCTATGGACAATAACTGAACGGGTTTGAAATACTAAACACCTTGCCATCAGGTTGATTTACAATAAGAATAACATTTTCCATTTTTTTTCATAATCTGTTAAAAGAATGTACATGTAACGGAATAAAATTCAGTAATTCAACTGTAATTCGTAATTTTGCAATTTGTTATTATCTGTTGAATAGACTGCATTATCCTTTGTTGATCTACTCGTTTATAATTGCAGATCTTTGGAGTGATAAATATATCACTTTTCGTCAATACTGAACTAAATTGATGTTCCTTTTCTACGTAGAATTTTTCTCACCGTATTTTGATGTATATTTATCGCTTGTGTGGAACAATTTAATTTATATTAAAGAGGATGAACCCAGAGCAAGATACTAATGCAAAAGAAAAGAATGAGTTGTTACAAGCTTACGGAAAAAATTATAATTTACAAATGTAAAATAAAGTCTATCTGTTATTTTTTTTTTACAAGACACGAAACCATGTGGTTTAAAAATTGCTTATTAATAAGAGCAATGCATTGACCAGCTTTAGCTGTAAAACTGTGTGCGATTATATAAATTCTTTCTCCCACCCCAACCCCTCTGTCATTGGAGACTGTTATGTGCTTTATAGACTTATACAAAATTTTGAATCTTCAAAAAACTTTCACAACATAAATGTGTATGCTGCCGATACCTAATTAATAGTATGTATTTGTATGAGCTCTGGAATACTGTTTACTTTTAGTCTAAAGGGGTTCATATAAACTGTTACTGGTATCGCATTAATTTCTAAACGATAAACTTTTAGACAATAATTTTTTAATCATTAAAAGCTATTTCTTTAGAGACGTGGACAGCGTCTATATCTATTTCTCAAAAAAAGAACAATAAAGGCAACTTATATCCCGTTTATCGCATCTGTTGTACATTGCATTTTATCCTTAACGCATGGCATGCCTTTTTAGTTAATTAAAGAAATCGTTTCACATTCCTGCATCAACATTTATGGTTTGTTATGAAAGGGGGACAGTGGATCACCTCTGGTTTGTAAGTGGAGTGGATCATTTGTTTTGGCGGGTGTCACCTCTTGGGGGTCCAGCACGTGCAGGAATTATCCCACTGTTTTTACCGATGTTGCCAAAGTCAGTTACTGGATTAAAGCCATGGTAAAATCTCGGAGAGAAACACATTGTGCAAAGGAAAACACAACTGCTGTAAATTTTATCTCAAAACTAGGATTTAAAAATTGACATTATGTAAACGTATGTAGAAAGAGATCGAAAACTACGACAATTTTCTCCAGATGAGAAAAGCTGTGAAAGAAAACAATAAACAAGTGACAAAACCCATAGTCTTGTGTATTTTTTTAAATCTCTGCCAGCAGAACCAGAGAGCTTAATGACAATTTAGATAACAACCCCATACTTAATCAAAGATAAAATCCAAATCTTTAGAATGTCCCCACTATATAGGAAGTTCAATACATTTGGGTCAAATATTTTTTAATCACTTGCTTGTCATCGTGACCTTGAATTGTCATAGAAATTAATTTCAAATTTTATAATATAGTTTTATAATGAAACTAATCTTATGAAACTCTAATTATGTTTACTTTTTAGTTAAAATATACACGTGCATGTGGCACCGATAGCTTAGGTTTCTGTTTGATTTGCACGAGTAAACACAGAGTAAGTCTTACAGGTAAAAACAACAGTCATGTGATACGGTGGGAAAAATGTCATGGGTTCAGTTTCTATATATACATGCATATATTGTAGTTTTGAGACCCCTTTTAACTCTTCGACAAAAACGCACATTTAATTACTTTTGGTAACAAATGAATAAATAAAATATAGATACTAAGATGTACTCATGAATGGAAATAGCTTCAATGTTTTTAAACGTTCTCATCCAACTGTGGCGTTAATCCATATCAACAAAATACTTGTACAGACAAAGTCAGAAATATTTATATAATTTTTTTGTGTTTTAAAGTTTGACTAAACTTAAGTAAAACAGGGTTGTTCAATTTACGCTCGTCATATGAACTAAGTAAATACTATTTCAATGACAACTTTATGTGGTTTATGTTGTCCAACATGAATGGGAGAATCTTCAAGGCCGCTCTCGTTGTACGATGGTCATGTGATGGCATTGAGTATCGTTATGTTGTACAAAAAAGTTAGAGTTTATTCTAATCGAAAGAATGATACACTAATGTCAGCACATTAGCTTAAAAGGTAAGGCTAACTTGTTTTTATTTTTAATTCTGAAATTAAAGAAATAGCAAACAAGTATATATTAATTTTTATTTTTCTTCATTATTCAAAATGCTAACTTTTTTATTTTTGAATTCATTTTCAACAAGCAAAAGAAAGAGTTAATCATTTATTGATACATTTCTTTCGCATTTTCTGCTGACGCAATTTTTTTTAATTGTTGGCTATTTTGTATTGTTCACATATTGACCGTATATTTTCAGGCACACGGGATAAAATTCAGTCTTTTATTAATAACTTTTGACCATGTATTATTGTGGAGAATATAATTTTACGGACATCTGGGTGGACAATGGCCTTAACAGGTGTTTTTACGAGACTGTATGGTCCATCATACTAGTAGCATTTATGACCATCGCAGGTTCAGGACAATTAGCAACTTTTACCAAATATGGAAGGAGAATTGAATCAAACTTCAAACCTAGTGCTATTGGAATGGTTCTTCAGATCACGATAATTGTTCTCTTAATGAACGAAGTGATGATTCACGTAATACTTCACGACACTACTATTGGAAACAGGGATTTATCAGGGTTCCATGTTGTGGTATTGTTCAGCATGTTTTACGTTTGGTCCTTCTGTCTGAAACTGATTGTGTTAGAAAGGAATCAGACATTACCCCGATTTGTCAAAGGTCATGGATTTGTGCTACTGATGTTTTGGACTTTGGTTTTTGTCAAAGAGAGTCTGTATTTTGTTTCTTGGAACAGCAAGATATACTGGTGGAATGAAGACACGTAAGAAATTTGGTTTAAATTAAACAATGATTTTAATATTTTATTTATCAATCAACATTGAAGGTATTGGTACATTTGTGTTTTTTGTGTTGCAGTGTCTCCAAAAAAGTGGAATTCGGACTATGGCTTGTCCGGTATATTGGAATAATCTGTTTAATGATTCTTGGCTTCTTGGCCCCAAGTATGCCAAAGAACAGCGCCCACTTAACCACAAGCATTAGAAAGGTATAAAACAAAGTCAACAAATTATAAGTTAAAAAACATCAAAAATACCAGAAAAAACATTTGCAATGGTTTTTTCCTTAATAGGAACCGAAATCAAAGCGAAAAGAATCAAGTTGGGGAAGTTTGATGGATAACATTAAAATGATGATTCCAATTGTTTGGCCGACGGGAAGTATTTGGCGCCAGATGTTGGTGTTGTTCTGTTTCGTCATTCTTGTTTCTGGACGTGTTGTTAACCTTTTTGTTCCCGAATACACAAAACTTATAGGTAAGTAGAATACCAAATCACATAAATTCTACCGTGAAATCTCAAAAGCCTGAGACAGTCAGGAATTCCCGGACCCCGATCAACTTTGCCATGATAATATCCAGATGCACATTTTTAATAAAATGGTTGTGTATTAAAATGACATGATATCTGCTTTTGATTGCAATTTTAATGTTTGTTTCAGTCGACAGTTTGACCCCATATAAGGACGAGTCAGGTCAAGTGATTTCGCCAGTCTTCAGATGGGACTTGATTCTCTTGTATTGTCTACTGCTGTTTATGAGGGGAGGTGGAACAGGTAAAAACCTATACTACGATTTCTTAAAAGATTGTCGCCCGCGTGGTGCAGTGATAAGAACGTCTTCTCTAGAGTCGCGGAGTAAGGAGTTGATTCTTAAGTAGCGGGTTCAACCTCCGGATGAGAATTCATAAACCGAGGTCCCGTGTCGCAGTAGGTGCTGGCACAAAAGATCCCATGTTGCTCAATGGCCCTGAGTGCGTTTAGGTCTAAGCTGGTTAAACAAATTTCGAGAGGGACAGTAAACAACAAACAAACAAACAAACAAAAATAAGATTACAATAAGAGACCAGATTGCAAAGTAATACAGACACATAATAATTTACAATGTTCGGCTCACGCTAGAATGACCAGAGGCTATAGACAGATGATTATGAATGTATTAGTATTTCAAGGCGGCACGATAGAAAATGTTACTTAAATCATGTTTCTGTCTTGTAACATTTATTCTGCATTGTGTTTTTGCACCTTGAAAAGTATTTACATTATCTACGAGATGCACATGAATGACAAGATTTTGCATATGAAGCTACATGAAGTTACAAAATGTAAACAACATTATTCAAAAATGAATCGTAAGATTATAAATAAATTTCCAAGTGAAAGAATAAACATTTTTTTAATTATATAAATATACCGGTTATATACAAAAAAAAAATCATAAATTGTATATTTTGGAAAAAAATATAAACAAATAATTAAACAAAAGATACGACTATGGTGCAATTTTATTAAAGTTTTTAAACTGATGATTGTCATTTCTATTTGTAGAATTTAAACGCTACCTTAATATCCGTATTTTAACCTGTTTTGAAACAATTGAGAATCGAATTAAAAAAAATCAGTTTGATAAAATTGTGTCAAAGACTTAGAAAGATATGTATATGATACTCCTGTGGAAATGGTGATCAATAAAAAAAATTGCCCCCCTCCCCCCCCCCCCCTAAAAAAAAAAAAACTGAAAACTTAGTTTGGAAGAACATAACGGCATTTCGGCTGTTTTCCCCCCTAAAAAATAGGAATGGAAAAAGTGTGCCAAAAGCGACAAAAATCAGATCAAAATTTAAAAATTTAGAAAGGAAGGTGAAAATTTATCGTTGCAACATGATAATCATAATCTTTCAGACTGTTGGAAATGGTATACATGTACATGTATCTGGAATACCTTGCTTATAGTACATACGTTTAAGCATACCTAGAATGAAAAAAAATAAGCAGACAATTTTTTAGTCCCTGATTTTTCTTTGTAGCCATATATGATCGTTCCATCATGATAATTTAAGCATTTTTTCCTTGTCAGGTACAACTGGGTTCCTGAACAATATGCGAGCTTTTCTGTGGATTCCGATTCAGCAATACACGACACGACGGATACAACTTAAATTTTTACGGCATCTTCACAGGTAAATTTTAATTGAACTAGATTAAAATACCCCCCCCCATTAAAAAAATATATGTACCTTAAAATACCAAGAAATTTTATCATAATCATCATAAATGTGATATCAAGTGTCTATTCTTTGAAAATAGTTACATGTAATTTCTTTTAATTTTTTATAAATTTACCAACTGGTTTGGTTTCAGTTTATCTTTGCGCTGGCACTTGGAGAGAAAAACGGGAGAGGTACTGAGGACGATAGACAGAGGGACAACAAGTATTAACAGTTTGTTAGGGTGAGTCAGCCAGCTCCTGTTAGGCCCGATTTATAAGTATCATAAGGATGTACTGCTCATAGCAACAACTTATAAAAAGACAAATACCCCCTTTCTCCACTTTCTTGTCTACCTTTGATGCGTTGTGTTTAGTTTCAGTAAAATTGTTTGGTATTTATTGCAGGTATATATTATTCAACATCTTTCCAACCATTGTGGATGTTATTCTTGCCATTATGTACTTCGTTTTGGCTTTCAACTACATTTTTGGGATCATTACATTTATGTGCATGCTGTTGTATCTAGGTGAGTGACCATAAACAGGAATATCTAGAAACTAAAAGTTGTACATGAACTCATTTATTTTTTATATATGGAACAATTTTTTAAAATTATAATTATTACATTACCAATAAAACACAAAAACAAAATTATTTCTATATTCATATAATGTCAATTTCATTGTTTTAAAGAGATAAAGAAAAAAACATTTTGCGACTTAATACAAGCATTTTCATTACGATAATGCCACTAGAATCACGAAAAAGCGCTACAAGAAATGGACTATTAGTTATACTTTTGGTTTTCTGACATTTACCAAGATCTAAAGATAAATCAACATTAAAAAAAAAATTATTATTATAATACATGTACTTTAGTTTTCCTATAAAAGACAAGTGAATATATTTGTCTTCTCGACAGGTATCACCATTTTGATAACAGAATGGCGTACAAAATACCGACGACTTCAAAACAGGCTTGACAATCAACGAAACCAGACAGCCGTGGATTCCTTGCTGAATTTTGAAACGGTATTGTGTAATAGAAACGCACGTGAATGTATCTTAAGTGCGAGAGAAATGTAATAAAAGCAAAATGATTTTTTCTCTACAAATGATTTGTTCAAGTACAATGAAATTTGATAATTTCTCTTACTGTACCAGTATTTATCAATATGAAATGAAACAAATTGTGTACAAATTATTAACTTCTTGCTATTTTTTGGTTCAAAAGGTGAAATATTATGCAGCTTCAGACTTTGAAATTAGCAGATACGACAAAGCAATTCACAGTTTTCAGGTAAAAGAAAAATCCATTTCCTGTTCTAATTAATTAAATAAAACATTCTTTTGGGTACAAAAGACATAATAAGTATTATTCATGGAGAAGAAAGTTGTGATAACGAAGTTGTTAAAATTTAAAATTCAATTTCTCAGTCATTTTGTGTGTGGAAATACCAGGATTTATCAGAGAAACTCATCTTGTAAAGTGAATAATAGTATTTATCTTTTTCAAAACAAAGGTGGCAGAATTTAAGTCAACTGCTTCCTTAAACTTACTGAGCTGCCTACAGAACATCACAATCACCGTGGGGTTCTGTGTGGGATCCTTATTGTGTGCCTACTGTGTCATTGACGACATTGACGGCCTCAAACTTACTGTAGGAGACTACATCCTGTTTGGAACCTATATCACTCAGTTATATGGTCCGCTGAATTGGATAGGAACATACTACAGGTAATAGAAGTCTTTCTCTACAAGAATAAGTTTATACCGAATGACAAAAAGTTAAAAGTCTATCTTATAGTGTTCTAAAATGCAAAAATATTTTATTTATTTTACTATTTTTTCTTTTTTACAAATTTAGAAGTCTGTAATTTCGTATAACGTGGATGTTTCTCATATTGCAATCTCACACTCTCTCTCTTTCCAAATTTCACTTAACACAAGCGCTCTCCAGATTTGATAATCCATCTTATATCATAAACAAATAGGCATAAACAATTGATATTAATTTTGAATTGCTTTTTATTAACATAGGATGATACAACAGGCCTTCATTGACATGGAAAACATGTTCGAATTGTTGCAAGAAAAGCCTGAGGTATGAATTTGAAAACTGATTAATCTTTTCGTATGTAGCTAAACACATAATTTGAATACATATCATACATACAGAAAGTCTTTTAGGATACAGATATAAATTGTTTACAGATACAGGTATAAATTGTGTTGAAAAAGTATACATTGTGTATCAATCGCAGGAATAAAATCAAATGAAACATGATATACTTCAATGTAGTATGTTGCGGTAAAGTGAAATTGTGGTAAAATAAAATTGTTTTATAGATACAGATATTTATATATATTTTTAGATCACTGACCCAACTGGTGCATCAGATCTTGTGTTACACGGAGGACAGATTGAATTTAGGGACGTCAGTTTTAGCTATATGAAGGAGTAAGAATAAGCAGATTTTTAACCTTTAAGTTAGGGCAAAATTTTTAATTCATACATTGTAGAAGAATAAAAACCATGTGTCTTAGGTTTTATTTAAAAAATGTAATTCATTGGAGGGCTTTCCAAAATCATTGTTGAAAACGAAACGGATATTGCAAAGTTTTCTTGAACACTTTAAAAAAAAATTGTAAAGTAAATTTTTCTTCTACATCGTCAGGCAACTATAATTATTTTAATTTTCTTTTCTATAGGCGTCCTATTTTGAAGAATTTATCCTTTACTGTTCCTGCAGGACAGACCTATGCATTGGTAGGATTACATGTGAAAATTAAATATGGTCCTCTAACTTAACTGAAATGTTTAATTTATTGATTTTTTTTATTATTAAAAAACACATTACTAGTTATTAATTTCTCCTTCAAATGCTCTTTCTTTTGAGAAAAAAAAAACAGGTTCTAAAAATTTTAATGAACTTTTAATTCTTGCAAAAAAGTAGTTTTAAATCGTGTTGCGACTGTATATTTTCTGTTATATTTATGTAATAATTAATTTTCAAGGTTGGTCATTCTGGTAGCGGAAAAAGTACAATTGTTCGACTTTTGTTCCGGTTTTATGATATTCAAAGCGGAGAAATTCTTATTGATGGGCAAGATATTTCACAGGTACTTAAATTTGATCATTGTGATTAAAACCAAATTTTACTAATTGCATTATTCTAACTGTCAACTTCATTTCCAGTTCTAAATTTCAGAAATGTGAAAGCTGATACTCTTTTCTAATTTTCTAGGTCACTCAAGTCTCACTCCAAAAACAGATTGGGGTGGTTCCTCAAGACACAGTTTTGTTCAATCAAGACATCCGGTACAACATTCGCTATGGTAACCAGGATGCAGATGACATCGATGTTTTAGATGCAGCAGAAGCAGCCGACATCCACAACAGGATTCTAAGCTTTCCTGACGGTGAGAAAATTCTCCATAATCATCTGATTGGGAAAAAATTCCAAAAATTAAACATTTATAACCAAGTAATTGTAATTTAGATTGTTCTTTTTTTATTTGAGTGTGTTGGTTATGAAGTTTGAAAACTCTCTCTAGTCCTCATTCTTTCAACACATAAAATTCTACTTAGACTATTGAATTTGCCATTTTGTATGATTACAGTGCATATATGTTTTAAATGATTTAGACTAATAATATAACGAAAAAATATGCAGTGTTTGATGATCATTATTTTTTAAGGCATTAATGATTTAGATCTTTTTCTAATGTCATTTTTAACATTAAATTTTAAGCCATTTGCCTTATTTATGAATGTTCTGATTTTGATTTATTGTCAGCATTTATAATATTACTTAAACAATGGTATAATTGCACAAATTTTGTACGTATGGTTATTCCAATACTTTAATCAACTTACTGACTGACATCTAGCAAATAGATTTTATACTCATACCGTATGTTGGATATTTTCCTAATACCAGGATATGATACGGTGGTTGGAGAGAGGGGATTAAAACTGAGTGGAGGCGAGAAACAAAGAGTCGCCATTGCAAGAACTATACTGAAAAATCCTACAATCGTGCTTCTTGATGAGGTATAGTATTTTATAAAATTAATTATCCTTATCTAATATATCTTTTTTTGAAAAATTCAAATCTTTTCTTTACAAGTCTATACATACCTGACTCTTTTATACTTAAAACGTTATTTGACAGTTTTGAAAACACAAGGAACCATTTTGATTTTTGTATGTTATAGTATACAATGTATTTTACTTTATGTAGGCCACATCAGCTCTTGATACAAGCACAGAGAGATATATTCAAGCCTCTTTGGAGGAAATTTGCCGCAACCGAACTACGATTATCGTAGCTCATCGATTATCGACGATAATACATGCACATCAAATACTGGTGATGAAAGAGGGTGTGATTGTGGAGAAAGGAACGTAGGTTTTAATTTTTTTCTTAAAATTCATGAAATTCTAATCGGTTAACATACAGTAACTATATCTGTAAAGTGAAAGTGAAATGTATATCTGTGTTCAAATACGAAAAAATTAAAGAAAGAGTTTTAATGAATAAAACAAGAATGCAAGATGCGAGAGAAATAAAAATAGAATTTGAAATTTAGGGGTTTAATAGGAGTCGAACCACTAAACAAGACCTGAAAAAATCGTTTTCAATTAATTTAATCCTTAATTCATTTAATTATCTTTCGTTGCTGTCTTCAGAGAAGCATGCGATTTAATTATTAAACATTATTTTTTTCAGCCATAATGAACTTTTGTTACACGGGGGATTTTACAAGGAAATGTGGAAACAACAGTTACAGAGTAACCTTGACAAAGACAATGGGGCATTAAGTTCTACGTCATCAAATGCTTCAGCGGATGACGGTGCGAGTTGATGAAGGCATGAATTAATATTGATCTCGTGTTGTTTTTTTACCTGTGAATCGGCTGGATGGCCAGAAAATGTGAAGAGATAATCAATGCATTTTTACATGATACATTTTGTATCATTTAACTTTATATGATACATAGAAGAACGTTTTGAGAGTGATTAAACATTTATTTTCAAAACAATTTTTAACAGATATCGTCATGTAAAACAAATCATCATTTTTTGTATACATGGCTTTATCTGCCGGATTTACTTTGTATGCAATAATATTCTTATAAAACAACAATTGAATGCGACTGAGTGATAACTGTAGTTGTAATAAGGATTATGTATGTTTATAAGGCTGGTCCTTAGAGTAAGTTTGATAGAATATTTTTTTCACGAATGAAAGTTATTGAATAAAATTAATATTTTGCCTTTAAAATAAAAATTATCAGATTTATTTTAAAATGGAATTGCATCATATGGTAGATAGTTATTGAAATTAGCTTGTTATGATTTGTTGTCAGAGCTTATGACGAAGAAGAATAAAAAATAATTCTATATCTTTGGCGTCTTCATTCATGCTTGGGCTAAACAATAATGAACAGGCAGAGTTATTTTAAAGACGGTTCACCAGAGGTAGTTGATTTAATTAAAATAAAAAATTAAGAGTAGAAAAATCAATAATTGCATTTTAGATGTTAAAAATACATATTTTTTATTTATTGAAATGGAAAAAATAATTTGTACAATTCGTTGATTTACCATCGGTAAATTTCACTTTATCGAATATGTGGATAATAAGATTTATTTATTTAACAATAAAGCCGTTTATTTTAGCTTGAATCATAATTAAGTGTTAATTCTGGATTAATTTTTCTTTCCGGAAATTCTATATAAATCAGCTCTAATAATAGTGTACTTCCTTTTCCAATGATTCAGCAGCTGCAGAAACTGACGCTAAGCAGATAAGATAAAAATTTTCTAAGAAGGAGCTTTTGACAACAGCCAGCTCCAATATTTGTGTATGATTCAGTCTTCAAATAATAACTATTGTAACAGACACCTTACTTCATAACCCTGAGTATATGCCTTTTATGATTCAGTAATATATTTTTTATCAAGGACATTGCAAGGTGAAGCATCCCCTCGCAAATATAAAATCTATTTACAAAGGCATTTGACATCGATCCCGATGCAAGTTACGCCAGTTCTGTTTCACACAGGACATGACCCCCAGCAAACACACCATTGCGTTAATATATTTATTCCAACTTTTTTGCGAGAGGATGAGACAACTTTGTCTCGCTTGTTTTCGTTTTTATTTCATTTGACAAATTATAGATACCCGATTAAGGAAGTAATTTTAATCGAACACAATTTTGATATTTTTAAAAAAATCGATTAACGACTTTCTATTCAATAATGAATAATGAATGTTTTTGGTATTTGAGGAAATCATATGGTGATTGAAGTTTCATTGTGCTCAGAGGGATGTATAATAAAATTCTTGAAATGGATATGTCAGTTAAAACTAAGTCTTGATTACAGATATAAAGACTAGTTTAATTTTTTGAGTATGTTTTCAACATGTTACACTCAAACTACACAATTATTGCTGTTTTTTTTAGGTCAATACAATGATATAGCTATCTTTGAAGTACAATATTCACCTCGCCCTTCGAATAATTTGATATGAAATAAAAGCATTTCATTATTGCATTACTTAAATCGAAAGAAAATATATTACCATCGTTTAATGCGAGAAATATGTCCAATTTAATTTAAAAAAAACTAAGTAATCATAAATTTATCAATATTTCTCAGTGGTCAGGAGTAGATGTTTTTTATCAAGCCACTTTCTTTACACTTCACGCTAGCCCAGGTTTTCTTTTGTGAAGTTAGACCAATCCATCATTTGATATAAAGAGAATAATTTGCAATCTGTATTGTATTACATAAATTGTAATCAATGTAAGTATTCTTAACATTAAATTAGACCACAATAGAGCAATTAAAAACTTTATTGCAAGTACGTATACTTTCCCAGTTTCAGTAACCAAAAATGATTATAGTCCATTATCGGTACTAATTGTCTTTAAATAGTTTTCTTGGGTGAAAAATGAACGCATCTTATCTTAAAATTTGAACTAGATATTTTAAAATCTTCAGGGCAATGCTATTCATGTTATACTGGTATTTGTTGTTATAAGTGCGTTTCTTGTAAATTAAGGGACTTGCACACATATGTTAAATTTTAATTTAAAGGTGCATCCTCAAGTCGTCCTTATTTTCTTTAACAAATTAATAAAAATATATTAAATATACGAATTAAAGTTCAATAAAATAATATCCTGATTATTATGATACTGATAGGTAGTTAAAATAGGGAGAATAAACGGATTTTGTCAAGAAATTCTTTCCTCCTGATTTTATATAGAGAAAATTATTTGAATTTAAAAAGAAATCTTTCTTGTTTTTAAAAATAAGGAAAGCATTCTCTGTATATTTAAATTTGCAAGTACAGTAGTGGGAAATACAGAAAATTTGAGAAAAATTTCCTACAATGAATTAACTTCCTGAACAATAACACCTATAGATACAAAATAAAGTAGTCATTATTTCAAGGCAGTCATACTTTGATTTTGAGTGACTGCCAGTTGTAAACTTTCGGCGGGTAGCTCTATCAATTAAAGCTTTTGATTGTGTTTTATCAACGAATGCGTGTTTCTAGGGGCTGATATATGATAGCTCGGGCTTATATCCCATGTTATGTGATAGTGTTAATACATGATGTGTAATTGAAGTAAATTAAAGCAATTTCGTGAATACTGTGTTCTTACTTATGAATTTAAAACCGATGACTTAAAAATACGAGAAGTCATGTCCTCCACTGTTCCCTTAACAGAATAATTTGAATTAGTAGTGATATCAGTTTTGATTGATTTGTTTCATAACAGCTGTTGGACCTTTGTTTTATACTAAATGCGACTATGGGATGTATACTTTATATACACAACCATTCCCAACGATAAATTAAAGTTCAGGCTTTTTGATATCATTGACAACTGCTTTTTCAATAAAAATTGGACCACGTAAATTTACTTACATGGTCATTGGTCATTTGCAAAATTATTTTGTTAAAGCACGTTCTGATTTCACACACAAGTAGTTTGAAGTTGATATCAAAAAGATGCTTGAGTTACTGATTGACAATATCTGTGTGGTTTTTGGAAGCCATGTCTTCCAACAATCTATTGGAATTCCAATGGGTAGCAATGGCGCTCCGTTATTAGCAGACCTTTTTTGTATTCATATGAAGCAGAATTTGTGCAAAATCTTATGCGTGTAAGGAAGAAAACACTTGCTGTGACCTTCATTTCTATCGTCAAAGTCCCTTACTTATGCAGCAATATACCATTATTTATACACTGAATCGACGACGGATTTTTTTCCGTTATTTCCCTATCATAACAAGGAGTACACGGCGGTTGTGACCTCTCAGCAGGGGATGCTAACTCATCCATGGCACCTGATCCCACCTCTGATGTTTTGGAGGTCCGTTTGCTCCGCTCCTATTTTTTTTTTATTGTTTTATGGACTTTGACATTAGATACCGTTCGTTATCTCCATATCCGTCATCAATACATACATGTAGGGCTCACGGTGCATTGGTGTGACCGATCAAAAAGGGCATCTTACTCCTCCTGGGCAATGGATCCCACCTCTGGAGTTTCCGGGGTCCGTGTTTAAAGCTGAGTATTGTTTCTGATGTTTTGATCGATCACTGTTATTTTCATGCTAAAAATATAACAATAACACAAATGAGGAAATATGTTGTTGAGGCATATTGCAAGGCGGAAAATAATATTGAACTATTTGGAGATGAAATATCAATGTTGCAGGATTTTTTTGGGGGGGATTACCACTCAAGGTATAGTCATAATAACTTACCCCAAGATCATGAACCTGCCTCAGATTTAAATGAAAATTTCAACTTCGTTGCGAGGGGATGAGACACCTTTGTCTCGCTTGGTTTCGTTTCCATTTCATTTAGTAGATAAACGAAACCTGATTAAGGAAGTATTTTTGATCGGACACAATTTTGATATTTTTATTAACGACTGTCTATTCAATAATGAATGAATGTTTTTGGTCTTTGAGGAAATCACATAGTGTAAAATATCTCAATTTCAAGATAAGACGCGTCCCTTTTCCACCCAAGAAATATAAAATACATGGTTACTGTCTTGAAATATAAGCGATATTTTGGCGAGGGTAAGAAAACGTGATAGAAGGCGAGGCTTGCCGAGCCCTCTTACGTTTTCGACCGGAGCCCAAATATCGCTTATATTTCAAGACAGTTGTCATGTATTTTGTTTATCCCGCAAGATATTCTTTACATTTGAACGTCAAAAACTAGCTATTTTCTACACTTACATGTAGTACTGATAATTGAAAATAATCATTTTTTGCTCACTGAAACTGGGAAAGTACTTGCAAATAAAGTTAACAATTACTGTATTGTGGTCTAATTTAATGTTAAGGATATTTCATTTGATTAATATTTGTGTACAGGTTGCAAATTATTCTCTTTATATTAAATGATGGATCAGTCTACTTTCACAGTTTAAGTTATCCAAAGGTTAGTGTGAATTATAAAAAAGTGGCTTGATAAAAAAATCTACTCTTAATATGACCATTGAGAAATATTGATAAATTTATGATTGCTAAGTTTTCTTATTAAATCGGACATATTTCTCGCATTAGCAGATGGTAATATATTGTCTATCGATTTTAGTTATTTAAGGAATTACTGTCTTATTTTTCGATTTCATGATGTGATCAATCGATTGGCTGGCGTGATAATTCGCATAAACGCCAAAGGCGTTTATGCATAAAATTATCACGCAAGCCAATCGATTGATCATCATGAAATTGAAAAATCTGACAGTTATTCCTTATATTTACATGCTCTTGATTCCGTCAATCCACGTGCTGCAAGCCCTGCTTCTGTCTAGCTATTTGTCCAGCAATGCACGTGATTTATTTTAACCGCGCCTTTTGTTGAAACAGTACATTCATGTAGAAATAAAGTACATTAACTATTTTTAATTTTATCTCGGAGAAAGACATTGGAAATGTAAATATTCATTAATAAAATGCTTTTATTTCATATCCAATTAACATGTTCGAAAAAAATACTCAAATGAAGACTAGTCTTTATATCTGTAATCAAGACTTATAATTTTAACTGACGTATCCATTTCAAAAAATTTATACATCCCTGTGTGCTCAATGAAAGATCAATCGGGACTTGCACGCATATGTTACATTTCAATTTAAAAGGTGCATCATCAATGTCAAATTCATTTGAGGTGCCCTACTCTTTTAATTGAGAAGGAAAAAAACACAAAAGCGAAATAGCGTTTGATTACACAATATCCGAGTTTTGTACAACCTTTTTTGGTGTTGTGTGGTGCTCTATCCCTTTAAAATGTAAAGAAGTAAAACAAACCGTCCTTATTTTCTTTAACAAAAGCGAAATAAAATTCAAACAATGCCGTGATTATTTTAATACCGATAGGTAGTAAAATCACTAGTATCAGAATGAAACAGATTTTATCAAGATATTTCTTCTCAAAAATCAAAAACCGATTTAAAATTCAACAAATCGTCCTTGTTTTAAAAAAATAATGAAAACATTCTCTGTAGGGCATTTAAATTTGCAACCATAGATATGGTTTATCCACAAAAAAAACAAAAAAAATTAAGAAATATTTCCTTCAGTGATTTAGCTTTCTAACACTTATACAAATAATGCAGTCATTATTTCAAACAAAGCAATTGAATTCCAATAGTAAACTTTCGATTCTTAATGTTACGTCCTTCAGCTACGTATTGTGTTTCATTTTTGTATGAAATTTTATTTTCTTGCTCAACAAAATCAATGTTTTCGTACAAAAACATAAATGGAACAAAATAAGTAAATAAATATTCATGCTTTTGTCTGTCAAAAATTGTAATGTATTTCAACTTCTGGTTTTGCAAGTCAAGACATGCATAAACATTTCCTCCTACTGCAATTTAATTTAAAGGGGTATTCCTACCTATGCAATTATTCGATAAGATTTACTAACAGCAAGGTCCAGAGAGAGAAACTTGAGTCTGCATTGCAGATATTAGCTCATTTCTGAAAAAAAAAACTTGTACCAAAAAAGGTGAGCTTGTTTTATTGATTTGAAGTAGAAATTACATTTTTGTGACTTAAAACATAAAGAAATTATTTTAAATGAGTACACGGGGTATTTTCATTTTAACTATTTAGATTTTTTTATTTGCAAGCAACCGACCCTGAAGGGGAAATTAAATGCTGTTTTCTACATGCTTAAATGAGTACATGCGCATTTTTCAAAAATAGTATGGTTATTTCCATGCCATTGTATTTGAATCTTTGTAACTGATCTCTGTAGTTCCTAGTTCGATTACCTGTTATGAAAATGTTGTAAATATCATATTTTGAATCTCCTTATTGCATACTTTGAATATTTCAAAGGATTGTCTTAAATAAGGGAATAACTGTCTTATAATTTGGTATTCTCTTATACACAGAACTTACTAAGAAACCTAGTTAACATGAAACGACAAAAAAATTTAAAAAAAAAAGTATTCATCATGCAGCAAAGCTGTATTCTCTGTCTTTCAGTTTTTCAATGATCCTTTATCAGTTTCAATTGAAGTAAATCGTTGTTCTTTTCCTTACCTGGTTCCGTAAGATCGTAACCAAAATATCTCTGAAATATTTTTGATAGTGAAACATTCAATTTTTATTATATAAACAATGAAACCGAGAGAGTTTCATATATGAACGACACATGAATATATCATTTTTGGGGTAAAACTAAACTTTGGTATTCACAAGTCGATGGCATCTAATGTAATTTAATGATACACATATCTTTTTCTTTTTGTATGTAAAATGATATAATGTATATATTTCGTCATTTGCCATTGTCAAAATCGGAAGGCACTGTAAATAAAAAGTTCACTTCTTAAAGTGAGTATAGTGAAGTACCGTGGGGACGTAGTTCTAATAGTGTAACTTCATATCTCTTTCATGCCGGTGTAAAGACGAATAATGACCGGGGGTCATTTTTCGACAGCGAAAAATGACCCCCGGTCATTGTAAATACAAAAATGACCCTTTTGTCCGTAGAAAAGTGTCACCAATTTAAAATTTGCAGAACCCACGTGAAGAAAAAGATAGAAAAATATCCCTGTGGATTAAAGCTGAAATTTTTAGGGGGAAAAAAAAAATTAGATAAAGAAGCATATTGGCCAAAATGCTCACCTGAGCTTATTTTGAATAAATTGATGATATGTTGATCTCATAACATATGATTATGGCTATATTTTGTGTGCGATGATACAGAATCTAAAGGAGTAAAGATTTATCGAGCCTAAAAAAACATTGTTTTTCGATGGTGGAAATCATCGTATGACAGAAAAAATCAGGTATCACATATTATTATATCCTCCGCTTGAAAAGCGGGAGGTATATAGTGAGGGATTATCTGATACGCTTTATTATATTATTTATAATAATTCTTATATATAAAAAATGTGTTGAAACAGCTATGCCCCTGTATGGCAACATAGCGAAGGTTAAACTTTTCTTAAATGCAATTTAGATATAATGGTACCCAAAGTAGGGTCTTCTCACAAGAAATACAATTGCAAAATAGCAAAGCCCTAGCACCACTTGTTCAAAATTAATGGCTATATATGAAAGGTAGGTCAAACTCAAAGGTCAAAGGTCAAAGTTGATGGTTTCTTAAGAAAGGTTTAATGTAACAAGGATTACATTTGTGAAGTATGAGAGTACTAGTCTCTACAGTTAAAAAGGTATAGCCAAAGTAAATAAAAAATTTGGCATTTTTTTTTTTTTGGTAAAATGGGACAGACTCCAAGGTAAAGGTCAAAAGGTCAAATTTGGTGGTACCCAAAGCAAGGTCTTGTCAAAAGGAATATACACATATTGAATATGAAAGGCATAGCTACAATAAATGAAAAGTTATGGTCAAGGTTAAAGTTTTTGCGGAGAAACAGACCGCCAGATAGACAGAGAGACATACAGATGGACACGATAAAACTATATACCCCCGAATCTTCGATTACAGGGACATAAAAAGAAATGGTCTTCAATTAATTTTTCATATTATGATACAGTATAAGGAAGACGTTACAAAAATGAAAATGTTTGTTCTGATTTTCATATTAAATTCTCTGAAAAATATACTCAGAACTGGGTAAAAGGAGCAGAACTGGAGTAAAACAAGAATTAAGAAATGCAATGAATACTGTGTGCTAAATCAAAAGGTTATGTCTACATGTATAGTTTTTGCATTAGAAATTTTACACTATCCCATTGCTTTACAGAGTCATTGTGTACCCCCTTACTTATTTAGGAGGAAGTCGATTATCATCAAAAGCAACAAAAAAAAACAAAAAACAAAAACAAAACTACCCTACCTTTATTTTTCTATAAGAAGGGACTAAAAATAAGCTTAAAATAATCTACTATAATTATTCTACTAATTTTACACTGTTACTTTGTCACAATACTTTCAAGTATACCCCCACCAACATTTAAAGTATGCTTTAATCATGGCGAAGTAAATTATGATTATATATACTTAACTTCATTTCAATATTTTATCTAGAGCCTCTTTCAGTATTATTGAAAGGTATAGAATTTTATCTATATTTTTGCTTTTCATTTATTTATTTATTTTTTGTTTTGATTTAACGTAATTTTTTTTTTGGGGGGGGGGGTTAAAAATTTCCTCCTCTTTTATTGTCAAGAGGGATTTGCCAAACTTATACAAGCTTAAAATTGAAATAAAGGAAAAAAATAATTTTTCTATTAAATAGTATTGGAACCTGATTGTTGCATGGTTTGATTTCTAAGAACAAGTGGAATATCATTCTTTAAGCAAACAAAAATAGGAAATTTTATATTGACTATTGAATCTCTTTTACTTTTCATTTTCCAATGGGGGTCAATTTTTTATAGGACTAACATATAAAATAATTACCCCTATGACCCTTTTTCTACAAAAAATGATTTTTTTTACATGTTTTTTTTTTAATTTAAATGCCATTTTCTTTACACCGGGCTTTAACATTCTTTGTAAATCAAGACTTATGTTTCTGAAAATTGAAATTTGAGTTTATTAGATAAAGATATATATTACAGAATGAACACAAAACAGTATATAAGAATTTCATCCATATATACTTGTCTAAATATGTATTTAACAAACATATTATTTGTGTGGATTTTCTACACAAAAAAAAAGTAGCTGTATGACTGAAAAGGTAAATATAATTATAACCATCAAGAGTTTTTCAAAAGGATTATTGATATTATATTATATTATTTATAATGATTTAATTAATTGTTCATAAGAAAAGAAATATGCTGTGATTGATTATATGTGTAGTAACCAACTTTTATATATTTCTCTCTCTCGAGAATTTTTTCATCAGTAAGCTGCAAATTTTGTATATCCGGCATTCAGAGTATTAAAACTTCACAATGTTTTCAATAATTTTTATTCCTAAAGAGATAGAAATTTGACATATATTCTCGATTTTTTGCATTCTTATCAACAATTACGATCATAGAATCATTCAAGTATCATTATTCAATTTTTATCAATTTCCAGATATTTGACTTGTAACAGCTTGGTTTTAAATTACAATCCTTTTAAAATTACACCTATAATGATCATTTGAACAATAAATTATGCTTAGTTATATATGCAACCTTGTAATACGTGTCTAGCCTACAAAAGAATAATACAGCATAACAAGTTTCTATACTGAAAAACAATTCATAAAGACAGAACTGTTTCGCAATTAAATTATTTAAAAAAAGTTGTCTTAGTTTGGACTTCGAAAAAAAACTTTCAAGAATCAAAAATATTAATCTATATCGCTTTGAATATTTAGCTACCAAATTAATGGTTGATGTGCTGATATGTTTTACAATCCCTCTTTTAATAAATATCATGTTACAAGTTATATTTTTAATCTAAATGCCACTTTTAAACTGCGTTTACAAATGACTTATTTAACAATTAAGACTAAATTTTATGTTGCAAAAACATATCGTGCATGTTATGACTGATATTATTGGTTTGTATACCGTATGAACTTAAAGATATGCTGTTTGTACGTATAAACTTTTATTTTTTTTCTCTCTCTTTTCCTCATGTTTTCAATAATTTTTATTCCTAAAGAGATAGAAATTTTATATTTGATTTTTTAATATATAAATAAATTATTCAATTTTTATCAATTTCCAGATAATAACATAAATTACAATATATATATATATATATATATATATATATATATATATATATATATATATATATATATATATATATATATTTTTATTTGATTCGGTATTCAAGTGTAAACTACTTTTAAACTGCGACTGACTACTGACTACTTTTTTTTTCAGATCGATCACTGACCGTTCAGTTTTATAAAAGTTTTATAAAATCAAACAGAAGGTAAGTTTTATAAAGTCGAGGAGAGGAAGAAAGCGATAACTTTTAAAAGATACAAAAACATTAAAATATAACTTCGTCAAAAACTTTCTTTTAAAAAAGAACCCCTATTTTCACAGCCATTGTTTGAAATAGAATTGTTTAACTTGACGTTGAATTTTCTATAATGTTGTGCTGGTCATATTTATATCACAGAGCGTGGCGTAGTAGTTAACCGTCTGATCTAGAGTCGCTGTAGATTCTGGCATGAAAAAGACCCTTTCCTTTTCAATAGCTCAGAGTGCCGAGTATAGGTCAAAAGCTGTATCCAATTTTTCCACGGACCTCTGAAAGCAAGTGGTGAAATCTCCATATGAGTAAAAAATTCTCGAGATGGACACTAAACAATAAATAAATAAATAACTACTAGTATCTCATAGAAGATATTATGGATTTAAAAATCCCTTTAAAACATAAAGATGAAGGTCAAGTGAATATATTAATCAAACACATAATTTTTATTTTTGTTTGCGTTTCACAAATATTTGAATGCTACCTTTGATTCACGAGCCAAAAAAATTAGCTCGATTTCACTATTCTATATAAAAAAAAAACTGATATGATTATATTAATTTCTCGAGAGGGACGTTAAACAATATACAATCAATCCCATTGAAATGTCAAATATACATACGAACATGAAACCAAAACCTTTATGCACAGCTGTTTTAGAACGCAAATACAATGATCAGAAAAAAAAACATTGTAATTTTACTCTTCTAAGTGCAGTTGCGGATCGGTATCTTAGGAATTATCTAGAGATTTTTTTTCCACCTACGAGTGGTTTTGTGAAAATAACTTAAAATTAACGTAAAAGAATCTTACGATATAACTTGAGATTATTTTTAAAAAGGTATGGGTTACCTTTAACCTTCAATGAAATGGACTCTTCATTGTTCAGGTTCTTCAATAACATGTATTGAGGGATATATTTCCTTTATGTTAGAACAATCAAGGTTATCTTATACACATATTTATGGGTGCCAATAGATAAAAACACATATTTATGTTTTCTTGTGCCATTAAAATGTTAAAAGGACAGTTTCAGCTGTTTTTTAAAACCAATTTTAATGTTTACAATTTCTAACTAATGCAATTCTAATGATCAGCAAAAAATTTGAACATCATTTGTTGATTTACAAAAGAAAAACAGAGATTAAAATTCTTCATAATGTAAACAAGACTCGTGTTTTGATTTTGTTAACAAATAGAAAATATTATCGCTAGAAACTGTCTAATCGTATTTAGAATTAACATCTTTATTGAAAATACCGCTTTGAACAAAGATATAGAAGTATATTAAACCCATCTTAAAAAAACATGGCACGGACCCTGTTCACATAACAAAGGTTTGGAGCTCTAAATATGTCTTGTATCTTGACAACTGAAATCAAAATTTCTGATGATCATTAAAAACATCTTGGTTAAAGATTTGTAAGCATGAATTTTTTTGCTGAAACTGTGTCTATCTCCCTTTAAAAGTAGTAGATTTGATGTTTCAGAGGTCCGTGTTTGCTCTGCTCCGATTTTGTATTGTTTTATTGACTTTGATATTGAATACTGTTCGTTATCTCCATATCCATCTGTTAGAAATCGATATCTGATTCTGCAAGTCAAAACATGCATTTCCTTTAGAACCACTAATTCATTTAAGGGGTTTTTCCAACTATGTTGTTAACAACAAAATCAAGAAAGAGAAGGTGATCCTGCATTGTGGATATTTGCACTTTTCTGAAGAAAAACAACTAACACCAAAAAAGAAAGGTGAGCTTGTTATAATTATACAAATTGAAATGACAAGTTTTAAGGAATTCCAAAAACTGTAGAAGTATTATTAAAAGAGTTCTATTAAACTAGTCAGAATTAAAATTTTTGATTAGAGAGCAACCGACCCCGAAGTACTGTTAAAACTGTTTTCTGCAATTGAGCACGTGCAAGTTTTTAAAAACTATTATATATCAAATATTGATAATTAATTGTATACTAATTTCAGTTAGTATTATTCTGTTTTGGTGTAAATTGTATCTGGAATCTATGGCAGTTAAAAATGATACGAATTTTGAATGAAAAAATCTCGTTCAAACATTTGATGTAAGTGGCTACTATTCTGTATGTAGGAGACCTCTTAGTGTTTTCTTTTTAACAAAGGATTTTCCCGCACTTTGTCGGCTTGTAAAAGATCCCTCTCATCCTAATTTGAAAACAACTCATGATCAGTCTACGGGGCCAAAAAATGAGATGAACTCACTTTTGATCTCCGTCTCACTTTTTCAAAAGGGGTTAATGTTGGAAAAGTGAGATTAAGACCAAAAGTGAGCTTGTCTCACTTTTATGGCCCCGAATCCAAACATTAGTATATTTTTTAAAAGTTACAATTTTCCTACGATATAAAGATGAAAAGTGGCTGACCGACAAAATTATAATATTATAATAAATAAAATAATATAAATTTAACATTACTCTGATTAATGACATATTTTAAAAAAGAACTCTAATTATGCAAAAAAAAAAAAAAAGCCAAAGATTGAGTTGATACAATGGTTTCGAAAATTCTTCCACCACAAAACCTGATCGGTATATAGGATAAAGATTTAGAAGTTTTATGGTTACCAGTCATTTGACTTTTGCGAAGACACTGACTTTCACAGTTGACAACTTACTTTTACACCAGGAAAATATACGGGAGTTCTTTTGTGAAAAAATATTGATCTTAACATTTAACAAAACGATAATAAGGGTTATTTCAGATATCTTATGTTGTCTAGGAAGGAAACGGCAACATTCCTACGTACCCTCCACACCCTCCATTCCAGTCTTGACTAATTCCTGCCGAATTTTCCGACCGAAAGTTGGCTTCTTCTTAATATCATTTATTAAGTTATTGAAAATAAACGGATATATTAATTCTCGTGAATAAAGTATCTAAATAAATTTTATCCTGCCATCAATTATATTTTATTGTTTGATAAATTATTTCAAAGTCCCGAATACAACCACTTTCACCTTAGTGGATGTTTTTTATCTATATCAAATTCCGTACCTCCGTACATGACACAGGTTTAAATGTCCAAGTAAGCCGTCAACTGTACAGTATCTTCGCAAAAGTCGAGTTATTTTACAGTAAATCTGAAATGTATATAACCGTGTATTGTAATGATTGATCGATTGCAAGTCATTTGTTTTACGTACAATTCAATTCATTTTGGAAGGTTTCTTTTCATTTGTTAACGGAAGTCAAATTATTTATGCCATTTTATTAATTGATAATATTTTTATGATGCAGTCTACAATAATAATACAATGATAATAACTTTTACTATCCTGAATAAGGTATAATAACCCCGGATAAATGTTTCATTTAAAAATTGTGCATGGTTTTTTTAGTTAGTTCTTTTGTCCCACCTCAATGGGCGGAGTTTGGGTAATGTACAGATAACCCACAGTTTTAACGAATGAAATCACAGCTTACTATGGTACAATGTAGAGTAAATCAAGATGACGAGATTATACTCAATGTTCTAACTCTGTTACTATGAAATAATTCTTTTTTTTTTTAAATTTTAGCTATTAAAAAAACCATGGAAGACGAACCATCAACCTCAACAAAGACATCGAAATATTCAAGGCATCAATCGAAAGTATGATATACTAAAGCTTAGAGATGAAATATTAAATTTATTTTCTGACCTAATAAGATCGATTTTGGATATCTTTCAATGTTCATATTAAAACTACATTGTTAGAGTCAAAGTTGCGCATGGACGTTTTTAAAGTAATCAATGTATTGCTTTAATATCAAGTATTCAATAAAACTTTTGTTAAATTTGTGTTAACTTCTCTGTACAAGTACAAGATACTTGGATCTACATGTATTGTATATCACTTAAAATGCGAAAGATTAGAGACAATACCATATATCGGGTTTTTTTCGCGTGTTGGAAATTTTGCGAAAAAGGGGTAGATTAGTACAGTTTATATTTTGCATAAGTTATTTTTTACGATTGAAATTTTTTTGTTTAAAATGGTAATGTTTTTATGTCACATTATAGCTGATATAATTTCTGCGTGTTTTATATTTTGCGAATTAAAAATCATCGCAAAAAATGCTAAAAATAGATCACGGCGAAAAAACCGGATGTACGGTATCCATTATGCAGCAGATCTGTGTTTGTTGTCTTTCAGATTTTCAATGATCCTATATGGGGTCCAATCGAGCTGAATCCTGTTTGTGTGAAGATTATTGACACACCTGAATTTCAACGGCTGAGATTCATAAAACAACTTGGAGGCTGTTCGTTTGTCTATCCTGGTGCAGTTCACACACGATTCGAACACTCCATTGGGTATATCTCCTCTCTCTCTCTCTCTCTCTCTCTCTCTCTCTCTCTCTCTCTCTCTTCTACAAGGGGTAATCCAACTTATACTCATGGACTTATGGTACCCTTTCTAAGGAAGACAATCTTCAAAATTATATGTTAGCTTTGAATATTTTTAATATCCCAAAGATCCAAAGTGAATTTGAACTACAATATCCATATTGAATTCCGAAACTTTACATCGAAAAGATGCTTGAGTTTCTGATTGACAATATCTATGTTGATTTTGAAGACCAGGTCTTCCAACAATCTATTGGAATTCCCATGGGTATCAATAACTCTCCGTTATTAGCAGACCAATTTTTGTATTCATATGAAGCAGAAGTTGTCTAAATCTAAAATGCGTGAAATGAAAAGAAGAAAACACTTGTTGTTGTCTTCAATTCGATATTTAGATATATCAACGACATATTGTCAATTAATAATGTTATTTTCCATTCTTATGTCGATACGATATATCCTGGTGAGCTTGCGATAAAAGATACCATAGATTCTGACACACCTGTTTCATATTTGGATATTTTACTTGAAAAAGACGTTAATGGTAACCTTACAACCATGCTCCATCATAAATGGGATGAATTTAACTTTTCAATCCTTACTTATGCAGTAATATATCTTTATCATGATCAACTGCATACGAAGTTTATATATCTCAGTTGTCAGCAAATACAATTTATCATATAGTTGAATGCTGTCTGAAGTTCTTCATATTAATTGTTAGTCCATTTTTTTTTTTACTGAATTAACGAAGAATTTTTCGTTATTTCCCGGTCATGACAAGGAGCACACAGCAGATGTGACCGATCGGCAGGGGGATGCTCGCTCCTCCGACAAATGGAAAGACGAACAAAGCCCCCCCCAAAAACTATGCATCTCCGAATGTACGCTAACGTAGGCAAAAAAAAATCACCAAAAGAAATATCTGCAGGAGTTTGTATGAATGCAACGGCATTAATGCTGACAGACGTCTAACAATATTGTGGGTTATACAAAACTGTATCACACGATGACATATCTGTCGAATAAAAACTAGTTGCTGTTAAGACATCCTTTTATGAAAGGATAAAACGACAAAATAGATGTAATGATGTTGAGAAAATGATTTCTCTTATATTATATTATATACGCAATGTATTTTTGGCGTCCTTTCGCTGTCTGCTCCGGTTGAAAATAAAGCTTTTTGAAGCTTGATAATTTCATATTTTTTTTACGACTGCATTTTCCTAAAAATTGATAAACAATAACAAAAAAAAGGAAATTTTTTACTTTATTATGCAAATTAAGGTATTGATATAGAGGTTGTCCTTGAACATACTAGTAGATGTCGAAATCTGTGTATTGTTATCTGTGTATCATTATGTTTTTTGTTACCTTTGTCTATTACAGAACCTCGTATCTAGCAGGATGTCTGGTTCGAAATCTTAAAAAAAAGTTGAAGAAACATAATCCAGAATATAATATCAAAATAAAGGACAAAGATATTCTTTGTGTGGAGATTGCTGGACTTTGCCATGATTTAGGTAATAATGCTCTTAGGATATCAAATGAGGAAAATTGATATTTTTTCTTAGCCATGTAAAATTATGAGTTTAAAGGGGCACCTTTTTATTTGTTAATGTGAGAATGTCTGAGAATGAGAAGCACCTTATCGCAGCTTCAATGGCAATATTCTAATCAAATGTAATTTGTGTTGTAGTTTCGACCAAGAATGAAGTATGGATATATATTATACTTTCATGTAAATTAGTTGAATCTGATTGGTCGGGAGACATTTGTTAAAAAACACAGGCACTATTACCCGCTGAATAATGAAGCCACGCCCTCCAGCGAGGCAACAGTCAACATTGCTTGACGACGGGTAAAAAAAGCGACTGCGCAGAATTTATGCGCGCACGGTTTACTGTTATATGTATTTGTATTAAACATTCAGTATATTATAATAAATATTGCATGTAGTTGAGTGTAACATTGAAAATTTTCACCCCAAGAAAACCATTGTCAACCGGGGCTGCGCCTCAACTACATGCAATATTTATATGATATAATTTAGCATATGTTACTTGGTGTATTTAACTAATTGAGTTTAATAAACTAAAGGTATTGTGAGCACTGAGCTTTCTAAATAATACCCCCACCTCCCATATGATTATAACTGCGAAGTCTCTATTTTGCTCTGGGCGACCTCGAAATTAGTGTCAGATCAAAAAGTAAAACAGAAGGTGCTCAATAGCATTATGTAAAAAGAATAATTATGTGAAAGTATTAAAATATTTATTCAGTGGCATAGGAAAAGTTGCGGATAAGAGATGGGTACCCTTCATAGTATAGAAAGAATGGCAGTGTCCATGTTTTGCTACGGGGATCCAAAATATATTTTCAATCAAAAAGTTAAATAGGTAACAAGCGCATTATGTAATAAAAGTCTCATTAAATGAAATTAAATTTTATTAAATTGTATAATAGGGGTTGCGGATAATATACTGAAAGGAAAAAGAAACGCATAATTAACATAATATGCTAAAAAAATTGACTATGTGGCCGAAAATTATGAAAATTGGTCAGATGTATATTTGTTACTTTGCACTAAAATTGATGGCAAAAACTACTCAACCATAAAATGTATGGCGTCACGTAGGGGAAGTGATAAAAAGCGAAAAACACTTGTATGTTGATGATGACAATTGTGTGACCACATTTCGTAGTGCTTAACATTAGAATTAAAGTTAAGATATCGTTTTTGCTTAGTTGCAGTCAGTATAAATTTCTTGCAATCATGGTATGGATGACGGAATTTACATTGGGTTTAGTAAGTGAATTGCATAAGTGAATAAAAAAGGCAACAACATGTTGCTGTGCAGTTTGTTTTTTACTTTTCAACCAAAGTTTTTTAAGTTGTCAGAGAGTAACTTAAGTTTTTCAACCAACCATGACGGTGACGTCGGCGCGTAACAACGTCAAATCAAGATAGGGCTTTTCATCATGCTACCTCGGTTATTGTCAAGGCATTATCACTTCAACCGGTATTTATACAGCAGACAATCATACTCATCTTAGTACTGACAGAAACTCACTGCTCTAATTTGTTGTGAAAAACTGGCAACTTTATACTTCGATTTTACTCTCATACTCACACGTACGCGTCGTATACGTAATGTTTTTGACACTTTCACACAGGGAAAATGTAGCCAGTGTCAGTGTTTGTCAAAGCAAGTTTGTTATTCTGGTTTAAACCACGACGGATACACGTGTATTAGATTTAGGCAAATTCCCAAATGTGCAAAAATGCACAACTCACTCGATATTGGTTTTGCTAAAAAATGGCAATGAAAATTAAAAGGGGTCATATTTTGTCATGAAACATGCATAGGGTTCCCCTTGATAACAAGTGACGTCATTTCAATCTCGCATTGTATGGAAATTCGTAAAATTAAAAATATAATAATTAATAAAAGGATTTGGGTCAAATTGAACTGTACCTCGATGATGTTGAACTGGAATAGCAGGTAACAGGGAAACTAAGGAAGTTACAGTGGATAGTGACTCTGAGTCAGGTGCCTTCTCGACAATGGCGACATCATGTTCAGAACGTGGCGGTGCATGAGTTGCTACAGCTACTCAATGGTTTTAGGCCTGGATACGGAACTTCTTGTGATTTTACTGATTTATCTGGAATAAGGTCTCCTGGCCTTCTATAAGCTCTTGATACACGTAACATATTTACTTGTATTTGACAATAAATGAGCAGATGATGATCGATTAATTCTTTTTAAAAAATGTTGGCGTCTGCTTCATTCAAATTACAAATTAAAAAAGGAATATTCTAGAGGACATGCGCATGTAAGAAATATCAAGAACTTTTGAGCACCGAGCCCCATGATTTATGAAGTTCAATGTTAAGAAACTCAGAGTTATCTATCTTTGCATGTAAAAAAATTAAGCTGCATGAAACATATTGGATAAACCCCATTATTGTCAAGGCATTATCACTTCAACCGGTATTTATACAGCAGACAATCGTACTCATCTTAGTACTGACAGAAACTCTCTGCTCTAATTTGTTGTGCAAAACTGGCAACTTTATACTTCGATTTTACTCTCATACTCACACGTACGCGTTGTATACGTAATGTTTTTGACATTTTCACACAGGGAAAATGTAGCCAGTGTCAGTGTTTGTCGAGACTTTCTTACAAACATTTACGTGTACCAAACCAGCTTGATTCTGTAAATTCTATCCTAAATCGAGAAATTGTGAGATTCATTATGCGGGGGATTTTTTTGCTTTGGTATAATACAGCTACTCTCAACCTTTAAAACTGTATCGTTGAAAGGCCTGAATAATAATCCTATGAGAAAGATAAATGCTCTTGTGAACTCAAAATCAAGTTGAGATTGTGAAAATCAAGGCTGTTAATGATGCGCAAGGGAGATATTGAAAATTTTTATTTTAATGGGGGGGGGGGGGGGAGGGTAATCGACATATCAATTTTAATAACTCAGGAATTATCAGTCAAAGTCACACAAGAAGAAGAAGGTATGGTTTTAGCTTTATTGTGCCCTAAAATTGTAATGTCATCAAAAAGTCTTGAAACTGGCTAAAATATTAGTCAAGTATATGAATGTGATAAAGCAGGAAAGAATATGGCACTAAGGATTACCATTCTGCAAATATGACGTCATTAATGTGATGCATTTCTGTATTTTTAACAGAAAAAGCCTCAAATTTGCCAATTCAAGGGTAATTTTCCTTTAGAAAATACTGTCCGCAGCCGTCGCCCACTTTCATTTTTTGATATGGTGTGAAAAAAAAAAAACAATAAAAAATCACATATCTTAAATCCTTGTGGGCGATGCCTGTGGATTAAATTTTCTGAATTAAAATTCCATTGAAAATTGGTCTTCTGTTACTTTTGAAGAAAATACTGGAAAATGCACATGTTTATGACGTCACCATTAGCATTTAAAAACACATGTGAGAAAAATGATTTGTATGATTTTTCTGCATGGGATTTTAATGATTCAGAAACACAACAAATTAAACTGATCTTTACTGTTAATCTTATTTTCCCTCGGTATCTCTGAAACGGAATGAGCTCTCTAATTCACAGCCACGTAGCATCGTTTTGAAAGTGGGGGGGGGGGGGGAGCCAGACAATTTTTTTTTACTTACCCTGACTTACCTGGAGAAGAACTTTGACAAGCAAAAAAAAAATTGCCCAAACTCGAAAATCCTATTTCGGGGGGGGGGGGGGGTCAACAAGAGTCAATAAGCAGTCAATTTTAAAACCACAGTTCAAAACTTGGTCTTGCAAACAAAATAAGTATATGTACAAATTTAATAAAGTATTTTTAACATCATTCTTTACAGGTCATGGGGCATTCTCGCACTTGTTTGATCAGCTGTTCATCCCTAGAATAAGAAGAGATTCAGATTGGACGGTCAGTGCACATTTGGAAATTTATTATTTTTCCAATGCTTTTATTTTTTTAAAAAATATATCTTATTAAACCGTGCGATTTCTTCAATTGAATATTTTATTACAGCACGAGAAAGCTTCCGTTGATATGATGTTCAGGATTTTCGAAAATAACAAGGATCTTACAGAAATCGCTGACAAAGAAGATCTAAAGCTAGGGCCTAAATCTAACGATAGAAATTTTATTGAGGGCTTAATACGTGGGGTATTTTGTATTCATCACATATGAGTTGCAAACTGAAACACCTACACTGTTAATTCTTTCTAATATAGATTTGTGTATTAAGTAGTACTTATTTTCAATATAACTTTTTACATCACCAAATATTATAAATATGATTAAACAATTTTCAGAAGAAAAGTGCGGGGGAAACAGGGAGAGAAGAGAAATTGGACTTTCTTTATGAGGTAATTTTCTCGAAAAAAAATGGCCTTACAAGAATTCATTGTTTGGTTTTTTGTGGGGAAAATTGTTATACAAGATTTTTGATTTGCAGATAGTGGCTAATGAAAAGAACAAAATTGACGTGGATAAATGGGATTACTTCTCTAGAGACTGTCATATGCTGGGCATGAAACATAACTTTCAGGTTATGCGTAGCATAATGCTGGCTCGTGTTATTAAACACAAACATAGCGAAGATGACAATAAATACCAGTATCATATTTCCTTTCCTTTATCGGTAAGTTGCTTGTAAAAATATTATTCTCTGTACTGTGAGAAAGAGCTGTATGTGGTATAAGTATGATTGCCCCCATACAAGTCAACAAATTTTGAAAATTTCTTGATATATGATACATATATATATATGTGTATGTATGTTGTATGAAAAATCTTAATTGATGAAAAATATAATAATTTCGAAGTACTGTAGTTTGTTGGCAATTTTTTCCTTTGACGTCACATACTATTTGGATTTTTTAAATTTTCTGACAAAATGGGCAAAATTTGTTAATTTTTAGTATGTAATTTATAGAGCGCAAAATTTGCTCCATAACACTATTTACACATTTTACTGATATTATCATTCTACATATAATTATACAAAGCACTGAGTTGGAGCACACCGTCGCTCAGTAATTTTCAAACAATATATTGACACGAGTAATATACACATTTGCCCATGTAAATCATGGATATTTTGAATTTACTTCATTTTTCTGACGTCATATCTATCATTTGACGTCATGACTGATGAAAATATTTAATGTTTTAAATTCTATAAATATCCCCCTGGCATATGCATAGAACATATAGTATCCAAAACTCCGTCACTATAAGCTAAAAAACATCCCGCATGTCTTTTCAAATTATATTTCGATTTATGTCTTGTTTGCTAAACATAGTAACAAACCTGAACATTGTTTTAAGTGGTACAAAGAAAAAAGTGCAGTTTGTTTTGAGGCATTTTTGAACTTTGCTGTCAGAGTAGCTTTGAATTTGATTATAAATTTTCGGCTTGCAAAAATGACGTCACAATCGCATTCGTTTACAAACAGCGCGGTATTTACCGAAAGTGACGGAGTTAGGGAGGTTTGATGATTTAGGTCTATTTGTTCGTCAAAGATTGATTTGGGGGACAAACATTGGTCATTAAAATATATTCCTTTACAATGCATTTATTTAAAAAGCTAATTCATTATTTATATACAAATACATGTATATCGTTTATCTTTCAGGAATACATGAACATTTTTGATATGTACCATGCACGCTATACCCTACATCGTCGTGCTTACCAGCACCCGGTCAACAAAGCTGTTGAACTAATGTTAGTTTTGTTTCAGTAATTATACTCAAAGTATATAATTTTTGCAAATAATCGGCCATCTTAGACCACGTTTATTACAATCAATGTTTTGTTATGTATCATTAAAGCAAAACGTTCACCTACATAATGTGCAACAGGTATTTTTCTCCCATTAAATGTCGTATGAAATAAAGGGTCATAAAGGGTTAGAATACTAATTTATTTCCTAAAATTGGAACTTTTTCAAAAGTAATGTTAAGGGGGATGTCCGGCCAAATTTAGTGAAGTGAGAACAAAATGTAAACATTTCTTCAAATGGCTAAAATACATTATATTTTGATCAAATTTTAAGTCCTTATGATAAAGATACAATAAATATGCATAACTGAATGCATGTTGTGTATATATAATCTATACTTTTGCAGAAAAATGCTTTTGATATGCTCTTTAGAACTGCACAGCTACAGAATTCAGCAGAGCCTTAAAAATCCAAAAAAATATGCAAACTGTGCATTAATGTTCTCTCTACAACCATTTGTTAAGAAAATGTCTAAATTTTGTACTTTTAAATGATAATTTCAAGTTCAAAACAAGGTACCCTTGTCTTCAAAAAGAGTGCAAAGAACCATGAAAGTAGTTCATGGATAGCAGCACGTGGTCTATTTTTAGCACAGAATTTTGTTTTCCAGAATTCTTCTTAATATGGAGGGACATAACAATCTTTAAATGTAGAAGAGAATTACAGTTGCAAAATATTTCAAATAATATGAACACTTTTAAGAGAGGAAAGGTGTTATAGTGTTGCTTGAAGTAATTTATTTAGTATTATAATTATCGAACAGTTGTTAAATAGTGTACGTATTGATATAAAAAAAATCTTAAAGTCTTTGATTCCAGGTAAGGAAAAATAAGCACCATCAAAGTTAAAAATTAAGAGTTTGTAAGTTTGCCATAGATAACTTACTAGTATATTATCTATCAAAATTTTAATTATCATCTATGAAACACAAAGAAATAAGACACATATAATCGATATGAATGACCTTGTTTTAATACCTACTAGTACGAGGAGTGATCAAAAAGTTCGAACTATCTCTATATCTACAAAACCACAATTCAGATTAGAAACATAGCCAAACACAAGTTCTATAAATAGCATATGCTGAAGTTTTGCTCCTTGTTTATGATGTCACAATCTGAAAATGACGTCATGCAGGTACTTGTGACGAAAATTCTATTTGCCCATATTGTCAAAATTAAAATTTTATAAAGTAAAGAAAAAAATCAACATAATTAGATATTTTATACCATCTTTAAAATGACGTTTGTTGGTCCTCCCAACTCAGGGAAAAATTATTGGGTCCGTATTTATAGGTGAGAAAGAAATTCCTAAAAAATTCAAACATAATTGTTGACGGAAGAAAAAGAAAAAAATATCGTGTAATGGGATGTAAAAAAAAAAATGAGTCGGGCCATTTCCAGGCAGTAGATCGGGAGAGTGGGAAACCAAATATTTTTATAACAAGTGGTCTTATAAGGCTAGTACATATTCCATCACGTACTTAGTAATGCAAAATTTTTTAATCTTTTGCACTATTTTGAAAAACAAACATAGGATTTTCGGGGGGGGGGGGGGGGGGCTCTCACTTTTTTGCGATGATAGACATAGCATACGCAATGGACCTTTCTTTGCAAACATTGTACTCGCTTCTAAATTTCAAAGAAACAACTTAATATATTTTATCAAGCTTCGTATGTTCAATGAGCGAGAGCTTACGACGTTGTCAACATAATGAGACATGATGCGTTTTTATGTCCAAATATTACTCCATACAATGTGTTGGTCATTGCAAACAATCTAGCTATTTATGTGAGGTGCTTGAAGGAAATCCTATAGCTGTCTATTTTTTCTATCTAACTTCTAAACAAAATATACATATGTACCAATTTTCGAATGTAAGACATGTAATTACAATTTGTTTTTCATGCACCGCATACTGTTTAACATTTTCAAATTAAATGCTAAGCATTCTCCTTGCAGTGCCCAATTTGAAAATAACTTCTATCGCCACAGAAAAAAGACCCGCCGTAAACACATATGTTTAGGACATTTATATCTTTTTTTCTTGAGTTTTAAAGAAACCAACAAATTATCAAGACTTGTTCCATGAAAAATTAAATACAATCATGGTAATAAACGGATCTATCCACAGCAGATATATGCACATGCCAACCACGTGCTCAGTGGAATAATTTTAACGAGGAAACTCGAACTGTTAACAGAACAGTTTTTCCCGATTTGCTGGAGTGGGGTTAAAATCGCGTTTTTTCATTAATCAGATGATGCGATGCAACAAATAAAAGTAGTAAGTAATATAACCTATTAATTCTTACTTAGTGATTTCTTGTCTTGATGTTATTATGGTCGCATTTATTATAAAATCAATGTTATTCGAACTCTGTGTGACAGAGGAATGGCGGACGAAATAAACACATTGCCTCAGGAAGACACCCATATGAAAAATCAAATTTTCAAGAATTATGGATAATGACAAGAAAAAAGCGAAACAAATGGTTGTAGCCATATTATCAATGAATCAAACTTACACCATTTTCAAGGCATTTATCATCTCGTAAATGCTGTAGCTGCGCAGTTCTAACATGATTAATTTCCTCCTAATTAAAACAAAATAAACTTAATTGTTTACTAATTTTGGTCTCTAACAGTAGGTAATTAATGCATTAGCACTTTGAGTAACTTTGGGCTAGTTTAGTGGAGTATTAAGCGCATTCTTGGTATTTCTTATTTTACACCAGACTAGATCCAATATGGCTTGTACATCCCCCTTAAACAACACATATTCACTATAATGTTATATCAAACACAGAATTTAAATTTTAGATACGAATTTCATTATCAATTATCGAATATCTGAAGAAAAAAAAATTAAATCACATCTCATCGAAAATTTGGATGGAATTGCATATTCGTGCGTGTTGGCACGAAGAAGATCCCTCACTGCCCAAGGGCCCTTAGTGCCGAATATGGGACAAAATGTTTGGCTCTCCACCGTCAAGTGGTGGAGTCTACATTTGAGTGAAAAAATTCTTGAAGGGGACGTTAAACAATATACAATCAATCTAATGTTCTGAACTCTTTATATAGAGTTATTTAATGAGTCTTCTCGTAGGAGTTTTACCTACTTTTATAAAAACTAAATAACCTTGGCAATAACTTATTAATAGGTGGTGCTAAGATTTTATATTTCACGATTGTATTTTTTGTGAGAAGGCCTTACTTTAGATACCAATATACTAGGGCTGTTCAATAAATAATATCCTCGGAGTTCGGAAAGAAGCAAAAGACGCTTTGTAATGAATTAGCCTTCGTGATTTTACTTATTAATCTCTTTTAATTAAAGGTACTTGGACACAGATTTGAAGTTAATATTTTCTGTATAATTTCACGAATTATATATTTAAATAGCATTTCACACAAAATTAATTAAAAATCTTATTTCATTTAAAAGTTATTAAAACTTTAAATTTTTTGGCGGGTTTCATTGACACATCCTTGCATTTTCACAAATTTTAACTTTATTCACAATCCTTAGGAAAAGTGGCAATCTTGTTGTGTATTAATGAGAAATATTAAAACTTAAATCCAGAAAAATAATTTTATTCAGAGTAAAAATGTTAGAAAGCAAAACTCCTTCACAAGTATTGTCATTCCGTTGTGTACAGAGTTTAGCAAATCGAGCACACTTGTGTTATGTACACAGTTTTTGTAAACAAGGCTAGAGCTCTGTTATTGTTGATTGTTTACGATTCACTGGGTGCGTTTAATCGCCAAAGTCTGCTCACCACAACTGTACGGACTGACAATATATTGTGTGTTTGTTGTCCCCCGCTTGAAAAGTGGGGGATATTAATTTGGGTTTGTCCGTCCGTCCGTCCGTCCGTCCGTCTTTCTGTCTGTCTGTAACGCTTTCGTTTCCACACGATATCTCGAGAACCCTTTGAGCGTTTGCAATGAAATTTAGCATAGCAACTTCCTATGGATTAAAGAAGACCCCTATTGATTTTGAGGTCAAAAGGTCAAAGTTCAAGGTCGTAAATTTATACATTCTGTCTGTGTGTAACACTATTATTTCCGGGCGATATTTCAAGAAGATTTTGAGCTTATGCAATGTAATTTTATACCAAAACTCCTTAGGACCTCTCTCACCCCTCTCAAAGTGCCCCGCCCCGTTTGTTTTTATTAGTATTTATAGTATTACATGTCGCTATTTTTAGCACAGGGGCATGAGGAGAGTTATTGCGTATAAAACAGGTTCTCGGCGGACTTTATGTTCTTAATACATCTATTAGAACTGTTTAATAAAGGCTAAATAAATCAAACACCATGGATTGTGTAAAATTTTGAGAATACCGAACATGAATATATACATGTATGTGACTTCAGTTCTGCATATACTTCACTTTATGTAAAGTGAGTCCGTGGTCTGGTGGTATGTCTCTCGCTTCACATGTGAGAGGTCCCGGGATCGGATCTCAGTCGATCCTTTTTTTTTTTTAAAATACTTTTCTTTTTTTTTTTACTAAATGATAGTATTCAGCATGTGAAATGAAAAATTTATGAGGTTATAAAATCATCATTACAGTGTGATAAATATTCCATATAAAAAGAATTATCTATACACATAATAAAGAATAAGCAATCAAATCTTTATATGCATATTGACATACATATATTTTAAGGCTCTTTCACAATTGGCGCACGAGCACTTTGCAACACTTTGCGATCGGAAAACTTTAGCTTCGCACGAGCTCTCGCCGAGCTCTTGCATACGTTGCACGATGCTTCGCGTTCGTTGTATGCGTTTTAGTGGTCGCATCAAGTCTCCTCAAAATAGTCGACATGCACACTATTCAGACGCGACCAAATGCGATCCACATTTATCGCAATTCAACGCACGAATATTAGTACGAGCGTCTTACAACGTTTTGTGTACTCGCAAGAGTGATGCACGATTTATAAAGGTCGTAAGATGAATCGCAGCTGGAAATGCGTGCGACCATGAGACTGTTGCTCAACGTGTCTCATGTAATCTTGCAACGTTTTACTATGCACGATTTATCATCTTCAATTTCCCGTGCTTTGCCACGAGTATATGTAAACCCTGTATAAGCATCTCTGTTTCAGACCACAATTGACCATGGATGCTGCTTCACCAATACCTCCTCGCCGTCTGCTTGGTATACTGAATCTCCGAATACAACTCCAAGTACTACAGCAAAGACATATGGTCGTGCAGGCGTTACTTATTCTTCGTCTACAAAGACAAGGAAGACATAAAAGACGTTGGTGGGTTAAGCCATAGATTGAGAGGCGCATATTATTTGGCCAGTATGAAACATTGATGAGGGAGATAGAGAGAGAATGCCAGGGGGACTTTTTGAACTATATGAGAATGCCACCAGTCATGTTTTACGAGCTACTGCAGCGCATTACTCCAAGAATCCAGAAAAGTGAACGTTACAGACGGCCACTAGAACCTGGACTAAAGGTGGCTATTACCATCAGGTATATAGTGACAGGAAACAGCTACAAGAACCTCCAGTATTCCTTCCGTGTTGCGCACAACACCATATCAATGTTCATCCCAGAGGTGTGCCAGGCCATCATTGACGAGTATGAAGACGAAGTGTTTGCCTTTCCAACTAACCCAGATGAGTGGCGAGAAGTGACACAGAAATATGCATGGTGAAAGATGGAATTTCCACCACACATGCGGAGCCCTGGACGGAAAACATGTTGCCATAAGAAACCCACGTCGGTCTGGTACCCTCTACTACAACTACAAAGGGTTTTTCAGCATCCTCCTCCTGGCCTTAGTCGACGCCGATTACAAGTTTACCTGGCCCGACGTTGGTACTCAGGGCTCCTCATCAGACGCCCAGATCTTCAACCATGGCCCACTGAGAAATGGACTGGAAAATGACACTCTTGGCCTGCCAGATCCAGAGCCCCTGCCACATGATGACAGGCCTATCCCGTACTTTTTGGTAGGAGACGACGCATTTCCCCTCAGGTCCTGGATGATGAAGCCCTACTCCAACCGCAACATGACTAACGAAGAAAGGATCTTCAACTATCGTCTGTCCAGGGCTCGTCGTGTGGTTGAGAACACCTTTGGCATCCTTGCACACCGCTGGAGATGCATGCTGGGTACAATGCAGCAGGATCCAGACCGAGCCAAGATCATCGTCATGGCTGCCATATGCCTGCACAACCTGATGAGACTCCGCTATCCTGGCTTGCAGAACAACCACCTGGATCAGGAAGATGAAGCTGGAAACAACATCCCTGGAGCATGGAGAAACGACCGAGTTCTACAAGATGTGGAAGCAGTTGGCAGAGGAAACTTGCCAAATCGGGATGGCAAGAGAATCCCAACCTACCTGAAACATTACTTCAACAGCAACGTTGGGAGCTTGCCGTGGCAGCATAATATGATATAGACTGTGATATTGATCAAGTAAAGATGTAAATTTGTATATCAATAAAAATACTTTTGATTTGATGAGATATAGTGACGTTGGCAACCAGATTATACAGTATAAGCTATTTTTTCAACCAATCAAAATGTTAATCACAACCAGAATTAAATTATTTAAGGAATCGCTTTAATTCTTGGCCATATTATCGAGTAAAATCAGGTCTGGGTCAGTTTACGCTCTATAATCCGCTTCGAACGGATTATAAAGCGTAAACTGGCCCAAACCAGATTATAACTCGATAATATAGCCCAAAATTAGAGTAATTCCTTATAATCTTAAAATAATTAATCAACTTTTGATGTAAAATTGTGTTGCTCTTTGAAGCGAGGGGAGGTAATAACTGATGCATAGGTCTAGCAGCCATGATGTTTGTTTAATAAAGTAAGAAGAGTAACTATTTGAAGTTAAAGGTACATTAATTGATTGGAACATATTTTATTACGCCCTCTCCCTAATTACATTAATAAAATCTGGAATTTTCAATGCATTCCGAGGACTGGAAATGAGGGGATTAAATGTATAAGATCTTTAAGCTGGTCATCAAGAGGGTGTGTCCCCATACCAAACCAAATTATACAAAATAATTTGAGTCCCTTTATAGAAATCAACCAATGAGAGGCGAGACTACAAACAAAATTATTTTAAAATGTGACATGTTTTATTTTTTATTAGTTACATCTTTATGCAAAAAAAAAATTACAACTTCTTTATTAATGTTACATTCATATACAAAATCAGAATCTTCTGCTGCTTCTTAGACTACACTTATCCCTCATTCAGGGTATGGGCGGCGGCGGCCAGAACATCTGAAGACTGTGGATACATCTGGTTGTACATCTGGGGCTGGGACTGGAGCTGCATCTGTGTGAGGTCTTGAGGCCATTGGGCGGGCACTGACGCTGGTCTGACTGAAACCATCTGGGGGGTCGCTGGTCTGTGTGGTTTTTGCAGAGGCTGCAGTGCAAAGTGCTCCCGCTGCTCATTCTCCGCCCTGTCCTGGTACTTGCTGACGAGAGCAAACGCCTCTTTCGTGAAGTCCCGCCAGAGATGTCGAGAAGGGGTTGGAGGGCTTGCAACATCCAGTTCACCCAGGCCTGCTTCTCGTCGCTGCTGTGACTCATTGCTGCGTCGACTTTTGCAGTCAGGTCAACCGTCTGCCTGTCAGTCCTCTCCAGCAGGTCAATGATTGCTGTATCCAAGTCCTTCTTTTTCTGCTTCTTTCTGGTGGGTGCCCGTGTAACCGAGGAGGAGGGCTTACTATCCTCGTCCTCTTCATCAGCTGGTACTTGTCCGAGCTGGGATCCCTGTGGCCGGTGCACTATGTGTCTTCTCAGGAAGCCTAAGTTTGTTTCCACCCACTTCTGCCTGGCTGTGAGATTGCACCTTTTCTGGCCACTCTTCTTTTTCTGGACCTTGCCCAGGATGGTCCGCTGGGATCTATACCAGAGCCGGATGTCTGATACTGAAAAGAAACAAATGCCAGTTTGCTAAGATAAAGAATTTAAAATATTCAACAATAAATTAAATATATCAAAATAAATCATTTAGAATGTTTGATAATATAATTTTGATTTACGCACCAGTCAAATTCATAGCTACTGCCTTTTCTTGAATCAGGCGATCTTTTTTCTTGGTGTTTTTAAAGTCACTCCGACTTTTATCATAGAAGCAGGGGTTCTTCGAAAAAGTCTGCTAACTCTTGTTCCTGCTCTGGAGTTAGGTCTAAGGATTTATGCTTGCAAGGATCTTCCTCGTCCTCATCCTCACTGTACCCATCGGGTTGTAAAGGTTCAATTGGGTGGTCTGGTGGCTCTTCCCCCGCGTCGACAAGCTCAGTATGAACAGGGCTCGGCTGCTGCGGCAGGTCCTGGACCTCCTCCTCCCCCTGGGCCTTCTTTCTACGGCTTACTTTAGCTTTACTTGTAGCTTATGTCTTTTTGGGCGGCATCTCTTGCATTTGATTGATGAGGGTCAGAAACGGGTAGTATATATATATATTCTTCTTCTCACCCGCACGATCAGTCGTACCATGAATCGCATGATTGTATGAGCGCTTTACGTCCAATCACATTGGTGTACGTTCAATCGTCCGATCACCTGATAACTCGCGCGATACTTTAGCATTATCTTACAACACTCGCTTTCATTGTACAACAGTCGCTTATAGACGCAAGATATATCGTAAGATTTAATGCACAACGGTCGCTTTAGATCGTACGAATTTCGTACGAATACTTTTTCATATGCGATTATTTCAGCAACAGTTTACGATCCTAATAACATTTTTCGGTCGTACGAATATTTTGTCGCTTCTGCTCGTGCGCTAATTGTGAAAGGCCCTTTATTTGCTTCAGTATACATGTATACATTTTATAATTCTACCAATTCAGTCAGGGGGATCCGACTTTTTCCCTAAGCGGGGGACACGAATTCTCTGAATTAGCTTGTTTTGCTTTCGAACATGTCTACTCTGAATTTTCAGGATTATAATATTAATATTTTTCATTCATACACAACAAGATTGTCACTTTTCCAAAAGATTAAGTATAAAGTTAAAATTTCTGAAAGTGCAAGGATGTGTCAATCAAACCCGCCAAAAAAATTAAAATTTTTAATAACTTTTAAATGAGATAAGATTTTTTATTAATTTTTGTGTGAAATGCTATTAAAATATATAAGTCGTAATATTATCACTCTTAAAGAAGTTTTACTTAGTAGTCATTTTTTACTTGAAATAACAAAGATAAGTAATAGATAATTACTAAGCATTTACTTAAAAATTAAAATCAATTACTGAAATATATGTCAATTACTAGATTCAAAAGTTTTACTTGATTTTTGTATTTTAAAGAATTGTTTTACTTACACACTAAATCGTTTTACTTAGTAATTTATATTTACTTAAATTTGTGTATATAAGTAATAACATTACTTGGTCTTTACTTACTTTTTACTACTATTTACTATATAATTAATATTTTAATGCCCCCGTAAACGAAGTTTCGGGGGTATATAGTTTTTGTCGTGCATGTCTGTCTGTCTAGCTGTCTCTCTGTTTGTCTGTTTATCTGCAGAAACTTTAACCTTGCCCATAACTTTTGATTTAGCGGAGCTATGACTTTCATATTTCACACGTGTATTCCTTTTGACAAGACCTTTCTTTGAGTATCACCAAATTTGACCTTGACCTTGAAATTTGACTCACTTATACACAAAAATTCCAAACTTATTCTTTATCCAAATCTTTTGAACAGTAAATACCAGGACATTTATACTTCACATATATATTTTTTGTTGAAAGAACTTTCATTGAATACCAGCAACTATGAAATTTTGACTTTGACCCTGGAAATTTCCATCCTTGTGAAAAAAAAAACTTTAACCTTGGCCATAACTTTTGAACGGTAAGGAATAGTGCTTTCATACTTACATATATGTAATCATTTTGAGAAGACCATTCATAGGATACCAAGAACTCTGACCCCTTGACCTTGGAGTTTGACCCACTTTTAAAAAGCAAACCTTGACTGTAAATGGATTAGGGTTAGTGCATGCATACTTTACATAGTTCATCCTTGTGACAAGACCTTCTTTGGGTACCACCAAATCTGTCCCTTTATCCTTGACCTTGGAGTTTGACCTACATTTCAAAATTGGTAACCTTGACCATAACTTCTGAAGGGTTGAGGCAAGTGTTTCCATATTTCAAATATGTATTTTTTGTGGCAAGATCTTTCATTAGGTACCAATATCCTTGACATTTTGACCTTGGAGATATCAAGAAATCCCAATAATTTAGATTTGCATATAAGAAAAGTTTAACCTTTGCTATGTTGCCATACAGGGGCATAGGTGTTTCACAAACACATCTTGTTTGAATTGTATTTAATTAATTTACTTAAAACAAAAATTTATTTACTAAATCAAGGAAAATTCATATCAGTAATTACTTAAATATGGTAGTCTAATCACTATTTGCCTGTGAGAAGGAGTTATCTTTCTTCTAAATATACCTTCATGTGAAAAAATAGTCACACTAATAAAAATGCGATATTAAGTACTTGAAATGTTTAACCATTTTTAAAATGGTCCTTAAAAAGATACAACTTATTCAATTTTTAAGACTTTCGAAGTTGGAATCAAATGTTATATTGTTAAATATAATAAAACAATTACAAGCAAACTGGCAAAAGAAATAGAAAGTATAATTGTTTCCATCAGAAGTAGATTTCTTATATTAAACTATTTAGAGGGGCCAAATAGGGAACTCTAATAAATAAATCTGTGAGTAGTACTCACATGTCAGAGGGTCGGTACCTCGCAGTGTTTCTAGTAAATAATGTCGATTTTAGTAAATATGATAAGTATTTCTTAATTTCAGAATTACATTTACTTAGTAATAATTCATAAAATTTAGTAAATAGAAAGCATATTATCTCTAAATTAAGTAATAAAAATTTAACAAAAATGAGTAGTTCATTTACTAACTTAAAGTAATACAATTCCTATAATGTAAGTAATTCTATTGATACTTAGTAAATCATTTTATAAGTAAATGAATTCATCCTTATTACTAATTATGTTTACAATTACTAACCATGATAGTCATTTACTTGCTATTCTGACTAAATGGATTACTAATAATTACTAGTTTTTCTTAATCTAATATCTTATTTTAAAAACAACAAGTAAAACTTTTTTTAGAGTGATAGAGAAAATATTAACTTCAAATCTGTGTCCAAGTACCTTTAAAACACATGTCCGTTACATTTTTTTATCCAGTTTCTGATTGTTTTTAGAACTCATTTTTGGGTATGACCCTTAGTATACTGGAAAATGGCAGTCTCCAGTGATTTCCTGGACTTGTTTCTTTCTTCTGAAAGAAGTTTTTTCAAGTTTAGAAATAGAAACAAGCCAAAAGGTCAAAGATCTGGCGAATATTGTTAATGTGAAAAAATATTAACTATCTGTGTGTCCCGAAAAACCCCTTTACTCTTCGGGGCGTGCGGGTTTTGACGCTGTCATGAAGAAATTTAATGTAGTGGATTCCTGATTCTAGGTCCTTCCTCTAATAAACCTTTCGATTTTTGTGCAAAAGAAATGCTTTCTAGACTACTTCAGAAATTAAACTGTCTCCCCGAATACGAATTTGAACAAAAATACCACTTATATTTAAGAAAATTGCATATAAATCTGTCTTTATGCTCTTACATATCTTTGCTCTTTTGAGACCTTCGCTGTTTTTATCAAGTACATCTTATGGTAAATTTTGTTTTGAGGGTTTTAAGCAATAGATTTATGTTCCATTATTTGTTTGAATATCAAACAAACGTGGATAACTACAATTACTGATCTTTTAAAATAGTTGTTAAGACATTTGTACACGCTGTCGTTTTCACTCATGTTTCAAAATATGGGGTGACCTTTGAGTACCAAGCTTTTTTTTTTTTTTTACCGGCAAACGTTTCTTAAAAACAGTGTAAATTACTCCCTACGTGATGTCTATCAAATTTGCTATGTATCTTAAAGTCAATCCTACATCATCAAATATTATTTGTTGAAATTTAGCAAACAGTACATAAGTTGTTATAATTTTTGTTGGCAAGGACGGTACCCATTTTTGATGCCCATTATCTAATTTTTTATCATTGACATCCACCTGCTCATTTGTCTATAAAACAGGTGTTGGTTGCTGTAAATGTCACATATTTCAGTGAATATTTCTTTGAGATTTTTAACAAGTTTTACAGCAGCTTTAGTGATGCTTTTATTTTTACTCTAGTTTACTGACTCTTTACCACTCATTTATAATGCAGTGTCTCGAATAGCCCTTGTTTCCCAGCTTCTCACGATGAAACTTTGTGATGAAAAGTGGTCACATAAACTTTTATAAATTCATTAAAGATTCAGTAATGAGAGAAAGTCAAGTTTAATGTCATATGATATCTGTATTGTATGTCATACAGTTCAGGACATTATTTATTGAACAGGCCTTGTATTTTCTTTTCATTTGAGAAAGTTTAACCTTCGCTACGTTGCCATATAGGGTACATATCAGTGTTTCACAAACACATCTTGTTTAAATAAAGACTTTGTTGCTCTTACCTTCAATTTAAACTGTCTAAAAATTGTATAAAATCCATTTATTTATTTACTAGTATTTATTTTAATAAATTTTCTACATAAAAAAAGTAATTTTTCAGTAAATATCTTTTAAAGGACATATAATTATAACAATGTTTTAAATTATTCTGAACAGGATTACCGACGCATTGTGTAAAGCCAATGACAAGCTGGTTTATAGGTTGGTTTGTTTTTATATTTTTAAGCAGAAGAAAAAATAATGATTGGGATGATGAAGCATTTTACATTGAAATGTTTGATTGAGATATAATTTTTAAATATAAGATATTAGTTCCAGAGAAAAAACCTTGGCAGAAACCATTGACGACATGGAGTTATACACTCAGGTCACAGACGGTGTCATTGATCGCATTCGTTTTGAAGAAGTCAGAGATGATAAAGATTCCAAATTCATGGAAGCTAAAAAGATAATTGATAGAATTTTTAAACGTGAATTGTATAAATGTGGAATGGAAAGAAGAGTAGAAAGGACAGAGGTATATATTTCATCTTCGAAATATTAATTACAATCATTTTACGTTTTAGACTGTAGAAAAATGTCATTATTTAAATACGACAGTTTCATACACATATCACACGCTCTGATCTCTTGTTTCACACACACGAATAATAAATACACAAGGTAAGAATCGGAAGATGTCCACGAACTGTCCAGAGTCAAAAAACAACCATCTCGAGAAAACTTACACAAAGCCTTGTATGCAATAGTGCAAATGATGTCCTAGAACTTATCCAAGATAAAATATTCCAAATATCAAATGTTTAGTAATAACTGTTCCAGAAGTGAGGAATAATAAATGATCTGCCATCCTGAAAAGCAATTTGATTTTATTAGAGTGGGTGTGGACGATGGCTCATGATATCGTTGTTTTTGTTCAATTCATTTTATAATCATATCGAAAGAATCATATGTGTGAGCTGTACCTTGAACGGTCATGTTTCCTTGTCCGTTATCTACCACGCAATATCTGACTTAATTGACTGACTCTATCATACTAAGAATACATGTTATGCTAGATATCGTTGTAACGATTGAACGAGAAGCTGGAGCAAGAGCCTCAGTCGAAAGGTAGTTGTTGGTGCGCCTTCAGTCCTTGTAATGGCTGCCTACGATTCTGGCATGGTCATAACATATGAATGCAACAGCAACTGATCCTGACACGATAGGTTGAGCATATGGACTCTTGGACTTTGATGTCCTTAGAATCCGCAACATTTTTTTCATATCTCTAATGACAGATCGTCGATTTAAACGGTTTTTCAAACGGATATCAAACTCAAAAGTTGATTTTAAAAATGAAAGAAATGATCGCGCATATTCATAGTAAACATATTCACGAAATTGACAGAGCGGAACACGAGAGGGTAACTACAATTGACGTACTGAAAAAACTACTGCCTTCCTCCCATAAGAACATATGCAAAAGCAGTTCCTGCACTAAATAACCTGGTTTACTGTTATGAGAACTATATATGGTGATTGGTCACATTTTGTATTTGATCTAGAGTACTGATTGAGGCTGTAAGTTTATTGCAGTCTTCACACAGAAAGAAATACATATTTAATTTGACGATTGTGTCACGCATTTTGACCAAAGTTTACAGTATACCGTATCACTTCGCCGAGTACAACAATAGTTTATATTTTATCATATTTGCACAATTTATGTCTTTCTTTTTTATCATGGATACGTGACGACATCAAGTTTAGTCTTTAATTTTTTTTCAATATAGATTTTGAAAGAAGTACCTAACGAGGCAATCGATAAAGAAATTAAAAAATATCAAGATAAATGGAAGATTCATTTAGAGGTAAAGTTCTTCCTTCTTTTTTCATGCCTTCCATACGAATCATTTCTTGATTCGTAGTCGATGATTATTTTCTAAATACGTCGTATGAGAATTAAAAATTAGGTTGATTATGAAAAAAAATCTAGTTTTATCTTTTTTTTAATTAGCCAATAGTCTTCAATTACGGAGCTGGAATACAGAACCCAATGAAAAATGTTACATTTTACAGTGGTAGTGTTGAAGCGGAACCAGATGACGAGGTATTCGTAAAGTGAATTTAAAATTTATCATAATCATTTACTGGATAAATATTCTTAAAACAATTATATACATAGAAATAACTAACGTTGTTGCCGCGTTTTTTTAAATTTTTATTTAAATTCCAAATTAATATATTGATATCGATGAAAAATTATATATATACATTGTGTTGGTGGTGTGGTGGATGTGACACTGGTGTATTCCCATTAAAGACAATAAATACACCTTTCATTTGCAAATTTCTGGATGTATATGATTCAAAATCAAAATGTATTTCCTCGATTCAGAAACCACCAATGCTTCCTAAAGATTTTGAGGAAACATATTTACGTATGTATTTGAAAGAACCTGATGAAGACGGGAACAAAGCTGTTAAAGAATTGGTTTCAAAATCTACCAGGTAGGTCTTGTATATTATTAATCCTCTTTGTTATATAAACGCCGATTTTTTAAAAAAGTAAATAAATATGAAACCTGAGGGGGAATGCGTCGTCTCCTACCAAGAAATATGGGATGGGTCTAACGACATCTGGGAGGGGGTCTTGATGTGACAGGCTCTAATAATGAATCTTGAGTACCAACATCGACCCAGATAAACTTTTAATAGGTGTCGACTAAGGCCAGGAGGATGGTGCTGAATAGCCCTCGTAGTTGTAGTGAAAGACATTGACAAGCTGTCAGAGTGGAATATTTACATCCACTAAATATTTTTACATTTATTTTTTATGAAGACCATTGCCGTTTATCAATGCAAAAACGACACTAAACAAGACACGTTCATAGATTTCTTTCTACAATGGAATAAGTTAGGCATAAAATGACATAATTAATCATCTATAATACAATATTTTACATATTTGATTTTAATTTGAATGTTTTTTTTCATACAGATGTAAATATTAAAAGTAAAATGTCTTTCTTTCTTTGTGGGTACGGAAATTAACGCACCTATTGCACAGGTTATGTATTTTTCTGCAACAGCTACATTATTGATTCCCGCAGTAATAACCAAAGAAAGCTTTTATTATTTAATTAAATGTTTCAAATGTATGTTCAATCACATTAAGAGGAAGAAAAAACACTCTATCTTTCTGTGGTCCATAATTCAGAAGTGTAAAAAAGGAAGCAGGTAAAAATATTTTCTTTGTTTATAAGGCTCATTCTTTAAATTGTATTTGAAAGAAACTGGAATTAAATCGTAATTTTAAACCCATAAGCTCCCTTCCTGAGGAGGAAAATCTTTAAAACTATTTGAATATTTTTATTATTCCCAACAACCTTGAAAATTTGAATTACCATATCTACATACAGAGATAGTAATAGTATTTCCTCCAAAGCAGCGAGGGTTACACAAATTCGAGATATTGATTCCATTCCTATTTTCTTTCTTTTTTTCTACGAATGGTAAAATAATAACATGATACACAGAGATTTTGTTTTACTGTTAGGCGCCACTCTTCTTTAATATAGACATGAAAACTAGAGGGTCTGTGAGCAATGAGCTCACTAAATAATAACCCCCTCCTCAAATATACGGTTAAAATGCTCAAAGCTGGGAGACCCGAAAAAGCGTCAGATCAAAAAGTAAAATAGGAGATGCACAATGACATTATGTAATAAAGAATCGTGAAAGTATCATTAAATTTTATTCAGTGGTATAGGAAGAGCTGCGGATAAGAGATTGGTATCCTTCTATATTATAGAAAAAAAATTACCATGCGCATGTTTTACTCTGGGAAACCGAAAATATATGTTCGATCAAAAGTAAAAATAGTAAGTGCACAATGGCACTTTATACAAAGATTCTGTTAAAGTCTGATTAAATTTCATTCAGTGGTATACAAGTACGAGGAGTTACAGATAAGAGATAGGCACCCAAAGGCGTAACATACTGATTGATTGCATGGCCCCATTATTTATTTTGATAAAAAAAATATCGGAGGAAATGCTTCGAAAAAGTGATTTATTCGTAAGAGACAATTACAATACAACTAAGTGCATTAAAGTGGTAAAATTCTTCACTTGAATGGAAAGTTTGGTTGCATCGTATTGAACGTCAAATGTTACATAATGACACGCCAATTTCTTCATGAGTTGCACTGAAATGGAGATTTTAAAAGTTATAAATGCGAGTTGAAAAATCTTCACTTCTGGTACACGTATTGCAACGAATTTGCACATAATTTTGAATTTATCATGTTTAGATTTCGTAAATTACAATATACATCAAATATACATTATTTTCTTTCTCTTTTTTTTTTAAAATAGAAATCATCGTGGAGGACGTACAAAAGAAAAGATACAAAAAATTTATCTTCCCAATCCGTCAAACAACAGCATAAAGGAGAAAAAGACTACTTTTGTGGAAATTTTTACTTGTCTCTTATATAAAGTGACCTTAGGCTGAAATGGGATTTGAGGACGATCATAGGCATTTATGTTTGCCGTTCAATCCAGTTTGATAAATTGAATAAATATTTATTAAACCAAATAGGATACGATATGAAAACAAAGCAAGTAATATCATTATCTATTTAGAATATATGCTGTATGATATTAAGAATTCGGAGTTCTATTTGTTTTCCAAATTAATTAGAATTTGTTTTTAAATGCACTGACATATCATTTTCTTATTTGTTTTACTTATGCTGCATGTTGTTTGAAATATGTTTTGATTTTTCTGTCTTATATTTTTGTGCACTACAAAGTATTTCGGACATCGATATCTCGAATACCATGGGTATATCGAAGTGATTTGTAAGGTCAACCCTTTATTATTTCGGCAATTTACCCTCGCTATCTCAATCATTGATTATTTCAATTTTTTCTTTCCTATCGCGTTGGAGATAACGAGAATTCTAAAATAATATATTTAAAATATCTTTAGTAATATATTTAACATATTTATAATTATTTATATATTTTATTATGTTTCTATTTAAGCTTTTTTGCCAACTTTTTCACATTTTTATCATATACATTGTTTAAATTTATCAACAATGCAATATGAAGACTTTTATTTATGCATTGTGTGATAAATTATTAGTAGTTTATATCAATTACTAGTAAATAAATTTTACTTTGATAGTAGATTCTGTATATTCTGTGATCGTTATTTTTGCTGTCTACCTGTTTACCTGTAAAGATTAACAATTTTTGTTGATCGGAAATCACCATACAAAAACTTGGTAAGACGTTAAATGGTAAGTGGTTGAATTTTTCGTTTGAATGGATCATTTATTATGTCATTTACGTCAATTGCCGGTTACATTATGACACGTCAATTTCTTTAGAAACAAGAAAGCAAAAATGGTAGGTTTTTCGGACACAACAGGAATATGGAGATGACGAACAATATTCAAAATATTCAAAAAATGTTTTTTTCAAAAGCCCATTTAAACAATACAAATCAAAAACATGAGTTTGAAATTGGGAGTGATGGAGACTCGTCTTTTATCTAACTCTCGGTACTGCAACGAATATGTACATAATTTTAACTATAATTTTACCATGTTTATTGAAGATATCGGAAGACGTACATTAGTCGAATTGAAGAGAAAATATGTTCAATTCTGTGTGAATGTTATTTAGGGGTTAGAGGTCATAGCGCGATCGAATCACAGAGGGAGGTGATATTTTGTCTACATATTTCTGTTACGGTGCAAGTTGTTTTGGACTATTTCTAAGTTAATAACGATGAAAAAGATAAAATGATAAACAAAATGGAATTCTTCAATCACGGAATGTACAATAATTTATTGGCATTCTTCCTACAGTTTTGCTTAGTCTCACATGAGTTACTGAGAATTCTCTGAGGTTTATAATTAACTAAACTTATTTTACTTCAGAAAAAAAAAAAACAAATTCAAACAATTGACACGATATAACATTTACATTGAGATTATTCTACAAAAATGAATATTGCTAAGCCTACTTTGCAACTCAAAGTTACACATAAAACATCTATAACAAATTCACTTTTTAGATCTAGATTAATTTAATTCGTTTACCGCTCCTACACTCAGAAAATTAAAAAAAAAACTAGAGAAAGTCACCAAGAAGACAATTTAATATACTGTCCAAAAGTAGTTTTAGGTATTGGGTAGATTTACTGGATAATATTAGTAAATCTAGAATTCATAAGTAACGTTCAGTAAGCAAATTTCACTTAATACGACTCGCTGATCCACGGGACACCTAAGACACACTATCTTTGCCAGTAAAGTATCAGTCACATTATCCAGCGATGGGGTATACGATGAGAAACCGATGCGGTTTTTGATAAAAATGACATGGTTGACGGCCGGGCACCACTAGTGATCGGACGGTGACTGAGGCCATTTTGCTAATCGGTGGGGTCATCGGTAGGAAATAATTCGTAGTTAGAATTCAGCGATGTCTCCAACGATGCCTCACATCGCTCCTCATCGGCAACTCATCATTAACACATCTTTCAAGGATCGGCCAATGTATGGCCGAGCATCGTCCAATATCCGTTGAATCTGAGGTCATAGGGGGGTTGAACAGTGTTCACCAGATAGCGGCAGATCATCGGTCGATGTTTGACCACGTAGTCGACCGATGTACAAACGATGTTCACCAATGTATGACGATGTAATATACATCGGCCGATTATCCGGGAACATCGTTTTATGATTAGCACAATGCATCGCTGGGCCTTTTTAAGTCCGGCCGGCAAGCACGCCATTTTTATCATAAAACACATTGGTTGCCCATCGTATATCCAGCGCTGATAATGTGACTGATACTTTAAGGACTACTAGGCCGATGTGTACCGATGTTGGGGCATCGTTAACACCACGGATTACCACCGATTACCACCGGTCTACGGCTACCGGCCGGGAAATGTGACCTAGGCATAAACAGAATGTTTACTTATCACGACGAACGCTTTACGAGGCAAAAAAATTAACTAGGTATTTTTCTCACTGCATTCTATTTTCCAACATTTATTCAAAGTATTTTCAAAGAAATATAAATTGGAGGGTAGAAAAAATGTATCTCATCGTCTCTTAAGGTAGGTCACTCGTCAGCTTTTTGGAAAAGTTCACGCAGAACCTCTTACTTCAAAACTATTTGTCAAAATTCAATTTTTATAACATATTTAATTTCAACAATGTTAATGTTTTAACATTCAACGATAAAACTGCTCAAAAAGCTACAAAGAAGCCAAATTTGTGATGGACTATTTTTTATGGTGGAAGGATATTTAGCAGATAATTCTGCATATTTGCACATTTGTTAAAATTAATATCTTGGAACTTTAGCCTCACATACTTTTACTCAGAGAATATTTTCCATCATGATATTGCTAGGAATATTTAATATAGGTCTTAATTTATATTTTTAGAACAAGTTTTACACCTTCCTTCAATAAAATTTGCCCAAAAAATGAAGATATGTCAAATAAGTCAATATAAAATTTGAATCATTTTTTGCCTGAAAATCACATATTTTGCTCAATATTTCAAAATTAACATCACTGACCCCAACTGTTTCTTTCTTTATTTTGAAGTACTCGATATTTATGACTGATCAGCACTTAAGTCGTAAAAAGCTTGATTTACGAAGATGTTTTATTGCCTATTTAGTTTTTAAATACTAGTACCCCAAAATATGTTACTTTTTAGTGCAAAAAGGTCGCACAAAAATTTACGCGCATTAATTTGCAAGATTTTTTCAATGATAAATATTATTCAAAATATTTTACGCAAAATAAGATAATATTTTTTGCCATGGTTACATATGATAAAATATAATTAAGGTTTAAGTAATTAACCAAAGAGTTAGATTTTAAGTGCAAAAATGTCAACTTCATTGCACCGTACATCAGTAAGATGAACACTGACCACCTATTTTCTCTGCGATTTTGAGTCACTCTATATTAGTACTTATCCAAAATATGCTTCTCAATAAATCCTTGATTTAACAAATTTCACGAGTGACATACCTTAAAAAAAGTAATTGAGTAATTGTTTTGAAGAAGAAACCTCAGACATACAAGGGCTGTTCAATAAATAATGTCTTGAACTCTACGACATATCTTGAACTCTACGACATACACTATAGCACTCATATTTCATTAAGCTCGACTTTCTCCTATGCTTTAATCTTTAATGAATTGATAACAGATAATGTGACCACTTTTCATCGCATAGTTTCATTGCGAGAATCTGGAAAACAAGGGCTATTCGAATTCGAGACACTGCATTAAAAATGAATGGTAAGGAATCAGTAAACAAGAGTGACATTAAAAGCTACATTAAAGCTTCTGCAAAACTTGTTCAGAATCCAAAGAAATATTCACCGAAATATGGAAAATTTACAGTACTGAATATTTGTTTTAAAGACACATGAGCAAGTGGATTTCAATGAACAGAAATGATATAACGGCGGACATCAAAAATGGGTACCGTACTTAGCGACTAGGATTTACAAAACCAATGTACTGTTTGACAAAAAATAAAATTAAAAAAAAAAATCGAAAACTTATCACCAATGATGATTGATTGACTTTCAGACAGTCACACATAGCTTTAATAAGCATCATTTTGGGGGTAGTTCACACTGTTTAAAAGCTTAATACTCAATTAGCACCATATGTTTTGAAAAATGAGTGAAACGACAGCGTAACAGAATATCTAAATAATTATTTTAAAAAGTCAGAAATTTTAGTTTTCTACATTGGTCTGAAATTCAAACATATAATGAAACTTGCATCCATTGCTTTAAACACTTAAGACAAATTTAAAAGAAGATGCCCTTGATAAAAAAGTAAAGGCCTGAAAAGAGCAAAGAACTGCAAGGGCACAAAGCCAGTTTTATATGCCATTTTCTTAAATATTAGTTGTTTTGTTGTTCAAATTCTTATTTGGGAAAGCAGTTCTATTTCTCGAGGAGTCTAGAAAGCAAAATATTTGACAAGGAGCACACGGCTGGTGTGACCGGTCAGATGCTCACTCCTCCATGGCACCTGCTCCAAAACTTTGATGTTTCGGAGGTCCGTGTTTGCTCTGCTCCTGTTTTGTATTGTTTATGGAATATTGTTCGTTATTTCCACATCCTTTTTGCAAAAAATCGAAAGCTTTTTGAGAGGAAGGAACCAGATTCAGGAATCTACTACATTAAATTTCTTCATGACAAAGTCCAAACCTACACACCCTTAAGAGTAAAGCAGTTTGGGTGATAAACGGAAAGTTAATGATTTGTCACACAAACAATATTCGCCAGATCTTACACCCTTAGACGTGTTTCATTTTCCAAACTTGAGAAAAAAACACCTTTTAGAAAGAAGAAACAAGGCCAGGAAAATAACTATTTTACAGTTGTACCCACTCAGTACTTTGGTCAGTAAATACTGTACAATAGATAACACATGTAATACGATGGTGTCCCGTCTTATTAATGTATGGATACATTTTTAGCTCAAAGAAGCCGAAGGCTTACATGACTATAACTTTTTAAACCCGAAATCGGCAAATTAACCTTGTAAATATCTGAACAGGTGTCTGCGGAAATACGATATACAATCACCGCTTTGAAATCTGTTGTGGCGGGCAGATAAATTCAAAAGAACTTGGCTCTAGCTGCTGTGGAAGGCGGGCGTACAAGCGCCGCTATCAATATTGTTGCAATGGACATATCTGTTAAAAAAGCTGTTAAAATTTCTTGAATTTTATTTCAGTGAATAAAATTTGATTGACATTTTATTGTCTTTTTACCCATGCATGTTCTAACCCCAAATGAAAGCTGATGCAATTCGACTCAATAAGTTGATTCCATAATGTGTCCTGATAGATAAAATAATACTTTTAATATGAACTACAATGAGCACACGGTGGGTGTGACCGGTCAGCAGGGGATGCTCACTCCTCCATGGCACCTGATCCCACCTCTGATGTTTCCGTGTTTGCTCTAATCCTATTTTGTATTGTTTTATGGAATTTGATATTGAATACCGATCGTTATCGCCATATCCTTCTACTAAGA